ATGTTTGTTAGTTTGGTACAAAAAAACGCCCATCTCCACTTGAGAGCCCCGGAAAGTGAGGAAGTATTCGATTTTCAAACAGATAGGCACTAAAAGGGGACTCTTTCTTTTATATTTTTCAAGCTTGAAGGCCTTCAAGGAGACGGATGGAGGCATAAACAGAGGCTTTTGTGGCGTATTACATCCTGGTCATTGTTGGTCGCTCCAAACGAAAACTCTAAGGAAGCCAATAAGAGCTCTATATCTCCCCTGTTCAACCTATGGCCGAAGAACCAAACTAACAAACATACCAGTCTTATATTGTAGGTATGTGCATGACGAGCGAGCTAGGGAAGATGGAGACTCTGCTTGTTAAAACCTGCGATGCACACTTACGTAGGCTTAGAGGATCCCTATGTGAACTACTAACTCCGACGCAAATCTTCTTCCTTCATTCACTTTCTCCATTGCTGCTCCATGCCAGACCCTCCATAAAAACAGTCGCCTCGCTTTTGGTTTAATACCAACTACGGTAAGTGATCAGCGACATTACAGTACTGAAACTATGCCGGTAAGCGGCTGTAGCGAATGTAACGGTCTTTTGATGAGTTTATGTATGCTTAACCGTGTAGACTTGCACACACACAGTCAGTGATATGTGTTGGTGACATGGCTAAACCCGAAAGGGGTCAAATTGACTGCGTTCCGATTGAGAAGGAAAAAAAGAACTCATTACAACAAACTGCCATTGTCGTTGTCGATCAAACATTACTGGTGGCATTATGACGATGAAATCGAATGCTACAATGATTGAATGGATAGGTAGGTTTCCTTTTTAACAACCCGACTGGTCTTTCCCCTGTCTGGTTCTATTATGAAGTGTGGGGAATAACGTACCTTCTGTACTATGTTTAGTTTTGCAGAATGTTGCTGATTCCATGTAGGTTGCTGTTAAAAGACGGAATCGATATTGACAATGAAGCGATTCCCCAATTCGCTGATGGTTGTAAGTGTGTGTGAAACAGAAGCAGACAAGGCTATAGTTGCTAAACCCATTGCAACTTCCAATCAGAAATCGGACCATATCAGTTCAATCGGGTATGGTGTAGCGGTAACATCGTTGACTCTCACTTCTCAGGAGTGACTGCTCTCTCAACAGCCCCGGGTTCGACTCCCGGTATCCGAGTCTCAACATTTTTTTTGGGCAAGATCTTGTAACTTTTCGGTTGGTAATGGTTTGCTTGTTGCTTTTCGCACATTTGTTTCTGGCTGTTTTTCCTTTTTCTAGTGTGTGTGTGTTTTTTTTTCCTTTTTTCTCTCCTCTTTCTTCTGTCTGGTTTATCATGGAGAACGTGGGAACAGTCGCTTCCTGTAACATGTTTCATTTCGCTGAATGTTTTGGAACTTTCGCGTGAAAACGGTCAAAGGTATACTGATGAATGAGGACATCGAATTGGATATCGGTACAATGCATGTCTTTCATGGACATGATGGTTCTTACAGCTTAAACGATAAGGATTCAATCAACTGCAAAACCTTGTTCCACTTCTGATCATGTTAACCCGGCGTGTGGTTGGGAGAACAAAACCGAACATGGTCACTTCAACATTATCCACCCTACTAGGGAAGGAAGGCCGTTGCAAGGCTGTGATATGCCTCCTTATGACTTGGAACCACGTCGGCCAGAGTCTATTAGGGATTATTTGGTCCGGAAAGGAGTTTGAAAATTGGTCGGAAGATGAAATCAAGACGCAGGCATGCGAGCAAGAGTACACTGAAGGTGTGATGTAGTGGACTGAATACATTGGTTTGGTTTGTTCATATGAACACTTTGTTACGACAATGTCTCGAAATTTGAGAACATTGTGAGATGGATACTGTGTCTCCATCTTGGTGTATGATAGATAATTTCTGAGGCAAAACAGTTGCACTTTTCGAGTACACCCATTATCATAAATACCATGAGGACTCATGGATATAGCATGCCAAGAACCAACAAAATTCCAATTCATCAAAAGGGTATATACGCCTCATACGCCTCTACGTTTTAGAAAATGAACCATTACCATCAACTCCCATTACCCAAGAAGCTACTCAATCATCAAACCCACCAAACTCATCATCACTATCGTCCACCTTCTTCACCGGAGCCTTCGGCTTGGGCGGGTTCGCCGCAAGCGCAGCTGCCCTCTCCTCCGCCGCCTTGGCCTCGTTCCGTTTCCTCACCTCCTCAATCATCTGCTCCAGCTTGAGATGTTCTTCCTTCTCCTTCTCTGTCATCTCGCTGAACTTCTTGGCCTCCCTCTTTCTCCTCTTCTTCTCGCGCCTCTGCAGTTTCGTCTCCTCCTGCTCCGCCTTGCCGCTCCATGCCTCGTTCTTCTTGCGCTTGTCGCCCGTGTTCTCCTCCTGTGCCCGCTTTGCCTTCTCCTCCTTCCACTTGGCCAGCTCTTCCTGACGCTTTTTCTCGCGCACCTTGTCCTTGAAAGGAATCTCTTCCGTGTTGATGCCCAGACCCAGAGAGCGGTCGATCTTGGCTTCGCGGACTTCGGGCATCTTGGGCAGCTCGAGGAGGCCGTAGCCCTTGGCTAGGTCGAGCCAGTCGAGGTCGGCGATGCGAAAGATGGAAGAGGCTTGGTGTTCGATATAAGAGCGCGTCCAGGAAACGAAAGCGAGCTGGGCCATCTGGAAGATCTCGCGGTCGGCGAGGGCTTGCGATCGGAAGGCGGCGGAGACGCGCTCAACTTCATCGGGGGTGACGGAAATGGCGGGCTTCTCCAGGGGCGTGATGGGGGTTTGGCGGACTTCAAGAAGCTGTACGTAGCCTTCCTCGCGACCCGGCTGGAGCAGAACGACGGCGAGACCACGACGACCGGCGCGGCCGGCACGACCGCAGCGGTGAATGAAAACCTTGGTGTCGGTGGGCGGGTCGTGCTGGATGACGAGGTCGACTTGGGGGATATCGAGACCGCGGGCGGCAAGATCGGTGGTGAGGAGGACCATGGGGGAGGTGGTGTTGACGAAACGCTCATAGTTCTTTTCGCGGACTTTGGGTTCGAGTTTGCCGTGCAGGGAGGTGACGGAAAAACCGGCGGGCAGGACGGCGCCGAGAATGCGGCTGAAGTACTTGACGGCCATGCAGGAAGAAAAGAAGATGATGGATCGCTGGGGCCTGGGCTCGAGCTTTTCGAGGAGCTGGACAATTGCTGGCATTTTCTGGCTGGCTGGGGTGACAAGGTAGCTCATCTGTAGAGACATTGGTGTTTTCCTCTCTTGAATTATGCCGCCGTCCTTCAGACTCTTCACTCTGACGGTGATCTTGTGTGGGTACAGTAGACCAACCGTAATCAGCCTTTCAACGGCGTCACTGAGCGAAGCACTGAAAAGACCGGTACGGCGCTGCTTCGGAAGATATCCGAGAATGCGGTTGAGCTCGTTCGCAAAACCCATATCGAGAAGGCGATCGGCCTCGTCCATAATGAGAACCTCAAAGGTAGACGCGGGAGCCTTGACGTATGCGCTCGACAAGAGTTCGGCAAGACGGCCGGGAGTACCAATTAGGAGATTCGGGGAAAGACGAAGGAATGTACCGAGATCCTCGGCAGCCTTGGTGGTGCCTCCGACAAGTAGTTGGGGGACAACGACAGGCTGGGTTGCTGTTGGGCGCTTCTCGTCGCTTTTGGCGTGGGAAATGGCTTCAGCGGAGGGTTCGTGAAACTTGATGAGGGAAACGAGGACATTGTAAATCTGGGTTGCAAGTTCGCGAGTGGGCGAGATAATAATGCCTTGGACATGGTTTCGCTTGGCTGGCTCTTCGCCGCGCAGGAGTTTCTGTTGCAGGGTTGGTTAGCATATGATCATCTTGAGCTGGTAGACGGTCAGAGATCCGGCTTACCTCAACTACCGGAATCAAGAAGGCAAGTGTCTTTCCACTGCCTGTTACGGCCTCGACGACAACATCCTTGTTGCCACGGAAGAGCTCAAGGCATGACTTTTGAACGGGAGTCGGCTGGGTAAAGCCCATGGAGGAGAGGTAGTCGAGAATCCATTGGGCGAGAGGAGGCGTGAGAGCGTCCCAAGACCTTGGAGGCTTCCGGACCTTAGTCTGCGGTTGGGTAGGCGCCATGTTGATTATGTGGTTGGCGGAGTATCGGGGCGTTGTAATCGATCCCTGAAGCCCTTGCGTCGCCCGTGATGATGGCAATGCGATGTTGTTGAAACAAAAATTGGCCTGGCGACCATCCAAACAATCCTTATCTTATCTACCTATCGATAAAGCTAGCGTGAGCGTAACCTCGAAAGTTGCATACAGTACACAGCAGTACGTACGCAGTACTTATGCACGAAGCGGTACTCAGCGTAGTACTTCTACTGTAGGTAACCCCGCGGCCACACGACGTGTTGAAAGCGGAAACTGGCCTTGGTCCATTTCCCTTCACTTCTTTCGAATCCAATTTGATCGGTCCAAAACTTAGGATCTTCCCATTGGATTCCAGAAACTCGTTGGACAACTCACGATCTACGCTAAGTATATTCCAGATGTGCGCTCAAGGTGATCTGTGTTGTGAATATCAAGAGACAGCCTTCGGATCTCCACGATCGTCTGTTGTTACTAATGCAATAATCAGATACTGGAATGTGGGTCTCATCGAAGAACCCACGCAGCCACGGCAACCTGATATGTAAAGGCTTGATCCAATTTGCTTACATGGTATAGGTACATAGTGTAATGCTACAACTGAAGGTGTCAATATCCAGCTTGACTAAGCTCCAGTGGCTCCCAAAATTCAAGTCTGCGTCGCCTTCATCCAACCTTCTTTGACGACTGGCCGTCTGCTCAAGTCCATGATAGGAAGACATGATACATAAGAACGCTTAAACCAATTTTATATGAAGAGGGGATTGTGTGCAAAGAAACCCTCATCAACCGAACTCAACGAAAGTGGTAAACGTCAACGGTTGAGCCAAGTACAAAGTTTCTTTTCAACAAGGCACGGCAATATACGATGATATAGGTATATCAAGCAAAGCCAAGAACTGAAAATGGCGGCATTCACGCCCAACGGAACCGTCTTCCCCTTCAGTTCAGTCTCAACTTCCTGTCACATGCAAGGTCGCGTTGCTGTGTGCCGTTGCTGCTGTTGAAAGGCCACCACCCACCGATGTCATCACGCCTTGCCGCAGTTGGGGTAACGGACCAGGGCAATGAGCTGGGGAGCCCGGTGCAACCACCTGAAGCGCAACGCAGGACACGCGCCGGCTGATTCCCACTCGCACTCATGGCCGGGCATCCGCAACAGCCGAAATTTCTGTTCTTCACAAACACCGAACCACTGTCATTCGTCTGTGATCGTCATCACTGGATCCTAAACCAAGTCCAGCCCAGGGTAACGTGCCACCTCAGCCACCGAGTACCGGTACAGTTTCTTTTTTTCCTGCTTTGCACATCTCTTTCTTTTTTTTTTTCTTGCTGTCAAGATACCTCTACCCTTCTTTTTCCTGGACCTGATCCCTCCATATCCTATCGATTCGGCAGAAGAGTCAAGAAGAACCAACACTTACCAATCAGAAGCATCATTACTCGTCTTGATGCCACCACGGGTTTCCCTAATTTGCTGCCTTACTTGACTAACGAACCCGGTCCATCTTGGTTACAAGTCACCTATCCCCGGCCCCCCGGTCACCTGTCCCGCCTCAGCTCAGCCTGGAGGTTGGAGCCCTCCCATTCTTCCACTTGTCATCTTTCAAAAATCCCGCCAACTTTTTTCTGAACCCTTTCCCCCCGGCAAGCCATGCGGTGGAGTCATTACACTCCGCCGCATCGTCTACAACAACTTTCACGCTGGATTCCTTCGCCCAACACGTAGCGTCCTTGTTTTCCCGAAACCAACAAATACACCACCGACACCAACAACCCGCTACCTCTCCCTGTACTAGTTGGTCTTCGGCATACGACTGCTTGACCGGCGCGCGCGAGTCTAGAAAAGATAGCCACATCCACTCTTCCTTCTGGCCCCTGCGCTTCTACGACCTGCAACGTATCCTCTCGGGCGCCATCTCGCTGCCCGCCCTGCCTCCCTTCCCCTACGACAATATGCCTACGCGTAGCAGCATCCCGGCGACGCCTCGGATCATCTCGCCCAGCCCGACACCCTCGGAGCGCGATGCGCTAGACTCATACACGGGGCCCATGACCAGGGCTGCGAGGAGACGGCTGGCCACACCGTTACCTGTTAGTGAGGAGGGCAACGAGGAGGATGGCATGCCCGCTCTACGGAAGGCGCGCACAAGAAGCAGAAGCCCGGTAGAGACGCGCCCAACGGCCGGCCGGCGGACATCCAAAAAGAGGACCACCAAGACCGCCGATGCGAAAACGACTTCCACAGACTCTACAGCAGCCGCGCCCAAGGGAGACATGACCGTGTCCGAAAAGCAGGAGAAGGAGGTATCGAACGGCCACCTGCTGCCACCACAACCGGCAGGCTATACAGGCTGGGGCTGGAAAGACATTAGTCGCAGTCCGAGCCCGCTTGGCCTGATCCCAATCCACAGGCACTGGAAGGCCTTTATACACAAGCACGAGGTACCGAGGAAAGCGCTCCACGTGTCCATCGGCTTCTTTGTCGTATGGCTCTATCTGTCGGGAACGCAGACACTGTCGGTGTGCCCTTACCTCATGGCTGCCCTAATACCCATCGCGGCGGTGGACGTTCTCCGGCACCACAACGCGTCCTTTAACCGGCTCTACGTCAAGGTCCTGGGGGCGCTGATGCGTGAGAGCGAGTTTACGGGTTACAATGGCGTCATTTTCTACCTGCTCGGAGCCTGGATCGTCCTGGGCTTCTTCCCCAAGGACGTCGGTGTCGTGGGCACTCTGCTGCTTAGCTGGTGTGACACTGCGGCAAGTACGTTTGGACGGCTGTACGGCCGTTACACACCCCGTATTCGAAGCGGCAAGTCGCTTGCCGGGTCCTTGGCTGCATTTCTGGTCGGTGTGGGCACCTCTGCCTTCTTCTGGGGCTGGCTGGTGCCTACCAAGGGCCCCATGCCCGGCGACGAGCTCTTCATGTTTACAGGCACCCTTCGCCTGCCCCAGCTCCTGTCGGAAGCGGTCGGGCTTACCCCGGCTCAGGCGACGATCTCGGGCGGCCTCGCTCTGGGCATCATGAGCATTTGGTCTGGCTTCGTCGCTGCGGCGAGTGAGGTGGCTAACGTCTGCGGACTGGATGACAACCTCACGATCCCCGTCCTGAGTGGTCTCGGTATCTGGGGGTTCCTGAAGATTTTTGGCTAAACGAAGGAGGATTTGGCACGAGCTTGATTGACAATACCTGATACATCTTCTTTGGCTTGACTGTGGTCAACGATGCATATCACCGGCGTTCTGGGGCGGAAAGGGGTTAAAAGGAGTCCGATTGTTCAACGTTTCTGATGTCGGTGCTATGACACCTTTGTAATTGATGGATTCTGCGGCAAGACCGGGCAAAGGCCCATAGTCAGGTCTAGAGATACACACTCATACCCAGCTGCACCTGTATATCTCACCACTTTTTGTATATATCCTATCACCTACGGCTGCAGCTCTCCTACAACGTCTCGTGTCGGGAGCATCTAGCCATCAACTTTGAAAAGCCATCAAGGGCATATCCCCGTTCGTCCTGCATCTTCAAACAGGACTCGGAGAACAAGGTGCTGATCCGATAATGAACTATGCCGTCTCCTCCAGGACCGGGGTCACCCGGGTCACTCGGGATTTATGTTTATGTTGGTGGAACTGGACGAGGCCGGACGTTAAAGGCCCGCCTCGGGCTGTTCGTCTGCCTGCATCTGTCACGCGGTGTCCGCACCTCTAAATGACATGCATTGACTCAGCCCGGCTTGTAGAGGTAGGCGGTGAGTGTCATTTCCTTTTCGCAGCCAAACCGTGAAAAGGCGGAAAGAACGGGCGGATGTTGTGAGAAGATCCGGGGAAGGAGCAAGGTCGTGAAGCACGACAGCAAAAGGAAGTGCAGGGGAGGGGATGCATTTTTGACAAGGGTTGTCTCGCGCCTGCCACTTTCATCTTGGTATGTATTATCTTTCGACTTCAGTTGATTTTTCTTGTCCCATCCTCCTCGCCGTTAACGGAAACTTGCCTTTTTTCCAGCACTGCGCCTCTCATCCTCTCAGGACTGGACATCGTGATCGACAAATGGAATTTGTTCAGTCTGTTTCTCTACTACCGACCCGCCCTCCAACACCTTACACCTTCGGCTACCAAGCCTTCGTGATCCTCCGACATCGTTCTTCCCATGATTACACGACATGATAATGTCCACGAATGGCCCGGATATCATGTCACGCCTGGCAACCTATCGGTTGATATGATTCGCGAGTTTTCATCGACCGAAAAGCCTAGCCGCATTTGTCTGCCACGAACTGCGAACTGCTGAGGCTTGGCCTGCAAACCAGCCCGTTACAAACTGCGCGGACGTCTACGGGAGAGAGCAATTGGTAGATAGATACCTCTAGGTAGACGAACTACGAGCGGCAAAAGAGTTCTTTGCCCCCATACGGTTTGGCCCTATCCACGATTACTACCTATTGACGTTTCTTTTTCGTGTTTTTTTTTTCTTCTCTAACGACATCTTAGAAGCCAAATGAATGTCCCTTGGACAACAAAGCATGCAGCTAGGCTGCCATCCACTTTCATTTTCCCCTCAGATGGACCAACAGTCAGCATCGTTAATCCCAATGCCTGCCTTCCCGCCACATCCTTCCTTTTTGAAAACCTCGTCACGACACAAAACACAAAGAGGAAGCTTGTTTCTCATACCCCCCCGGGCGCGGATTTGCACATCATGTACGCTTCGTGTACGTTTTCCGGCATGGTTCTCTCAGCAGGCACGTTGGGGCTCCGGCTATGGCATCTTTCATCCTATGAAATCGTGCCCAGTCATCAGTCGTCCGGCGCAAGTTTGGTTGGACTGCATTTCCCTAATTCCACTCAAACACTGAGGTTACATTTTCGCTGTTCCATGTCACCAAATGTCCCCACACGGGCTACATCCAGCCGCGGAACCCATTTTCCTTCTCGAACACCAGCAACAACCAGCCGTCGTCGTCCCCTGCACCCATACGTCTTTGCGCCGTGCCACGCCATGGACGTGCAGGAGGGCTTGATGCGTTGTCCCCTTGCTGCCCTCCCGAGCCTGCATCAGGCACGAAGGGATTTATTCTATGTACGTATGTACACCGTTTGCTGACCGACACCACATCCACGGGCCATGTCACATACCAGCCAAGGTACCTGTTCTTCCACCGGTTCGTCGTTGGAACGTTCGAGCTCTCCGTTGTCAGGCTTCATCCACTCCTCCCCCATAGGATTAGCTGACCACCGGGCTGGACTCTTCACTTTCACCGGCACTTCTGACGCAATGCCTCGCGCCGCCATTGGGGGTTGTTTTCGCGGGGGCGCAAGTTCGCATCCTAGCTATCAGCCATGCGAGGTGAATTGGGCCGGCCTAGCTTTGCCTCTCTCAGATGCTAGCAGGGTCCGGGTTGATGGCGCTTCAAGTGAGTGGCCCGACGACAGCATATCATATGGCTTCTCGCTTCTTGTTGGTGGACGGCAAAACCGCACTAGCTGCGTCTTCGCATGCTTTGCAAGTCATGCTCCTCCCCCACCTTATCGAGGTACCCTCTGGCTAGAATTAATGTCTGGGAATTTGCCTGTGGTTGGGGGACGCAAGATGGAAACGGTTCAAGAAACTAGGTGTCAGAAGTCAGGTTCCGTCTACATCTCGGACCTCTTGGACGCCTGTTTCTCGACTGGGCTCTTTCCTCCGCTGGGCTTCCAATGTATTGGGATGTTTGAACGTGGGATATTACATTTGCAAGCCAATCGATGTTTCCTTCAGTAAGTAAGGGGGATTCAGGCCGTCACGTTCTGTCAGTTCCACTCAGGGTTCCAAATTCGTACGAGATCCTTGGGGCAAGTGCCTCAATGTCTTCTTCTGTTTATCTTTGACCTACATGGATGAACATTGTCGTACATGTCACTTCGCCGGAGTTGCCTCACAGGACAGACCGGCACATGCACCCGCCCTTGGATCTCTGCAGTTCGCCTGAATCCCCCAGGGATAGAGCCCTAGAACGCACCGCTTCTTGTCAAACTGCGTGGCCTTCTGAATCATACTCATGTCAACTGTCACGGCTGAAGGCTCCCGTGGCCTTCCTCGGCATGTCATCTAGGCAAGGCAAAACAGCTTGAACACCACAGCGTCTGAGACCCGCATAGAGGCTTCATTCCCACAGTCCATATAACGATAGAGCGTCCTTCGAAGACAATCTGTGAGGTTCTTCAAGCAGCCCAATGCCCTCAAGAAAAGCCTTGAAGTTGACTACATCCTCAATTTGTACCTGAACTTTCCTGCGAGGTCCATATCCCAAAGCTGTTCTGTCATTTTGACCAGACAAACATTTGGGTATATGTGTTTCGGACATTTCCATCGGGACCCAACTTATGTCATCTATGCTATCTTGCCCAAGGTTCAGCACAATGCGAGTAATGCCCTGTTGGACGTCTCCAACCAATTGCTGTAGGGTCAAGTCTGCCTGATGGTTGGGGACGTCTTCCATTCCACCCAATGGAATTACCTCAATTTTGGAATTGAGTTTAGTCTTACAGCAAGGTACTGGTGACTTTCCCGCTCTCTTATAGGGGAGAAAAGAATGAAGCTAAGGGAACCATAAGCCAAACAGAACGCTCCAGAGACGCTAAAAAGGCACGGATGTCAGGCCAAGGGCATTATTTGAACAAAATGGGAGAAATCCGAATCTCGAGGAAGGGAGGGGGAAAAAATCTATGATGCAGGCATTTCGAACAACACATTGCTCACCCGATTCCCTGCATCACTGCCTAACACACCTTTTCGCACCCTCCGTTTGAACTCAATATTTGCTCCTACCAACGAAAACGGTTCTACCGCTGACGGATCCAGCAACATCTCTGCCATATGGCTAGCATTAACGGACGAGCGCGCTTGTTTCGTTCGTCACCAGTTTTCCAAGTGAGAAGCTCTCCCAACCTACACAGTGCACCATGTACACGGAAGCGGCTTAGGAAAAGCCGGTGCCTTAGTACCGCTTCCCGACCCGTGTTGCGTACCATGGTGCAGATCGACTCCAGTTGGCCAACGCAAGTCTGATACATCTCTCTATGCACAATTTACTCATACTCACAGAAATAATTTTTTTTTTTTTGGGTGGAATATCAGACCCGACACTCACTCTCTATTACCCACCGGTTTGCCATACACCGTCAACAACTCACGCATTCCTCATACCCGAGCCATCCTTGCCTGACTTCTGGCCAGAGCACCCCTTGCTTATTACCTACAATGGCTTATGCCTCCGATGCCTGCTTCCATTTATCGACAACCTGTTGCACACACGCCCCTCCACATGCCGTTGTGCTCCATTCTGGACTTGGTTATCGATCCTCTCGTTCCCTGTTTATTCCAGCCCGGCCTCCCCGTTGGTGCTTCGTTCGCCCTCTGGATGTCTTTCCGGGCTGCCCTTTCCTTTTTCACTTACATGCGGCGTGAATCTGGCAAAACCTGACAGGACCCTCACTTGATATTCCTTTCATCACTCTGGGTCCACCAATACAAACGGTGATAGATGCCTCTCGGCATATGCATTGCCTTTCTCTGAGCAATCGAAATCCATCTGCAGGCGAATCCGAGCCTTCCTTCATGGTCGAAAGCTTCAGGGACCCCCCCATCCGCTTTGCCATCCTCATGCTCGTTGGACATATCGCCACGACGGAAGAGTGGATGACAGGCCAGGCACTATCGAGACTAGTCCATCGTCGTCACCACCATCCCCGTCCCTGCCAACCTGATCCTGTCTCCTGCCGGTTTACAAGCGGGGTCAAGGAAGGCCTGTCCACGAATAGAGTCACCGACTCTTATCCTCTCGAGATCATGATGGCTCGAAGTTGTTGACAGGGGGGGGGGAGGTTGAGAAAGGTATAAAAGGGGGTTGTTTGATGACCAGAGTAGTTGAGTTTTTCTTTCTCCTTCTCCATCACATCTTCAGTCTTCAGATCCAGACCCAAAACTTTCTTGAAGACCTTATTTACACTCTCAGACATTTTTGACAAGTATCTTGACACTGGGGCTTCCCATTACTTGACTCTTCCCAGTCTAGCCCGTGGCATCACTCCACATCCCACTACCCACAAGTCCTCCTCCGAACCTGGGGAACTCCACAAACGCACAAGCCGTCATAACTCTATTCTTGGTATCCACCATTACAGTGACGTCCTCTGCATTCAGGTCATACATTACACAGTTACAATCATGTCGTCAAACTACTCTACTCAGTATTACGCGGCTACTGGCGCGGTCCCCATTCCCTCCGGAAAGGGGCAGTACCCCACGTACCCTGCCTACTACAACAGCAATGACAGCAACTACTCCGTCTCTCCTCCTGAGGAATCCGATCCGTCAGTGACTTCCGGGTCTGGCATGGGTCATTCCACCTATTCCGTTCCCGCTTCTACCTATGCTGGAAGTAGCCAGGGAGACTACGAGAGCGCGGGATCTGCAAGCGGCATCGATCTTAACGAGTACATGCAAGATCGGTTTGCGGACACGTTCTCGCCGATCCCTCTCGATCGCTTGACGGTCGAGCAGGCCAAGATGTGAGTTCGTTTCCGAAACGGAGAGCTGTGTTCTCCTGGACTATTTGCTAATCGGATCCACTTTTTTTTTTTATAGTTCTGGCGGTCTGAACGCAAAGCACCGCGAGGTCCTCGAGCTTCAAGCTAAAGCGCAAGCACGTCTCGCGAGAACAAGAGCCCGATTCGCTCAGGGGCTCGAAGATGCACAGGCAGTGCGGAAAGATCTCGAATGGACACAGAAGAAAGTGACGTAAGTTTTGACTCCCCAAGAACCACAAGAAAAGCGAACTCAAACTGACTGCTTCGAATCAGAGCTCTTTCGGCCAAGGCGGCGAAACAGCACCCCAAGGAGTACAGCAAGGCGCGGGCACGCCACCCTTCTCCGGATGCGTTCTAAACCGATTTTTTACATCTGCATCTTAACACGATTTCTCTTCATTTTCTTTCTTTTGATTCGATACGTAAGGAGTATACTTGCACATAACCCCTTTGTCATGTTTACTTTTTGTTCAAAACGGGGAAATGCCCCGGAGGTCTTTTGCATTTCTCAGCCTTGCGGGAGAGATGACGTTGGAAAAAGAATATGAGGCGCGGCAAATTTAGCCGCGATATACGCCCAGCGGAGACAAAGCAAAAAAACGGAGTCAAGTTTAACGGTTGACGGGGGTGGTCGTTAGGTTGGGCTGGAATGCGTCAAGACGTGCAGCTTGCGGCGTTTTCCTCGTTCAAACTCCACGCCCCCCCTGCTCTTCCCTTGCCACGGACCACATCGTTTCGGGAAAATGCCCAATTTCTTTGATTGGACTGTTGTTTAGGATTTTCTTGGTGGCTTTTTTGATGCTGAATATTCTATGGGTTGGGTTAGACGCCGCATCCAGGGACCAGGTACCAGGCACCGGGCAAATGTACTCCCCCCTCCGTTTTCTTGGCTTCGTTTCTACTGAAAGGGAGGGTGGGAACCCGGATCCTTGGGGAGGTGACGACACGCAGGGTTAGAACACATGGCCGCGGGAGGAGAGATCCGAGCCGTTGCGGAACACACAAGCCTGACAGGGCTGCAGGATCGTGATGGTTACTGCCGGCGTGGGGATGGGTGTATGAGTACGATGGGCGTAGCAGCGGGTCTGACAGTGATGGTTGCTCTACCTATTCGTCCAGCAATCTTGGAAGACAACTCCGAGGCCTGCAAGGAGCTCCACACACCCACTACCCAGGTACGGACATGACACCCTCCTCGATCCGTTGTCCTGGGCGGCTTGCTTGTCAGCTACTTGGCTTGATCCGGCACGTGTCTGTATTTGGGGACCGTTCGACACCAGGGAAGCGGACTACACACTCAGTTCCCAGGTACGGACGGACAGTGTGGACAGAAGTGCCGGGTGACTGGGTACTTCCCCTTCGAACCCTGACGGTGGGGCAACTATTGCCCCTTGAGGCTAGACGGCAATAAAGTAGATGTTGTTGTTGTTGCTTGGATAGGAAAGTGGTTTGGTGTGTGGTTGGTGGATAGCTCATGGCTCTTCTGTATCTAGCCGGGTTTGCCTATACCAGAGAGGGGGGAGGGTAGGATTCGGGGATTTTGTGGCTTGATTTCTTTCTTGTGGATATAGTGTCGTTAGTCTTGGCTAGGGCGTTGATGGAGATGGTTGGCTTGTTCATATGTCGCCTTTGGTAGTTAAAAAGATCTTTTGCCTGTTGAGGTGGGTGTAGAGATGAGAACCGTGACTGTTTGTATGGTAAGAAAGCGTCGTAGTCAGGTAGGGAGAGCACTTGGCCGAGTGGCCCGTACGACATGATATCTCTCTCTCCCTGAATGAACAGCAATGGTGTAAAACGCAAGATAAGAAGAAGTAGACATGGCCTCGGTGAGGGAAACCCATGGATGGATAGAGGTAGTCTCATGTGATGTGGCCAACACATACCCTTTACGTAAGTGAGTGAAGGGGTAATCGCTTGGCTCAACACTGATACATAAACATATACATGCCATCCGCCATCAATCCGTCATCCATGATCTGGATGACATCCATCATACATCCCGCAAGGACGAGACACTAAGAAAAGTAGAGGCCACCCACAGGAAGGAAGTGTTGAGAAGGTGAAAGCCCGATGTGGATAAGGAAACATAAGAACATGACTTGTTGAATAAAGAACTAGGGTATCAAACCATCGATTGCTTCCATAGCAACCAGCATTACCGACAGTAGTAGCAGCACGAGCAGCAGCGAAGCCACATATTGCCTGTCAACGCGCGGTGTCAGGCTTGACCTCCAGCTTCAACTTCCGCTCCAGCTTTTCTGCCCCTGCACACTTCGATACCAACTGATATCGGCCTGCCTTGTTGTCACCGCCACCGCCATCGCCACCATCTTCGCAACCATCATCATCCTAACCACTTGCATTAACGAAGTGAGGAATGGCCTTCATCTAAGCCACGCCCTGCACCTCCTACACCGCTTGCATAGCCGACTGACCCTCCTGCTGCCCGGAACCAGGACCAGAACCAGGACTCCCAAACCCACCTCGACTACCACTACCACTGCCACCTCCAGAGCGACTAGGCAACCACTTCCCCACGGCTTCCATACCGCGCTGCTGCTCCAACCGCTCCCACGGGTTCTCGTTGCTCGAAGGGTCGTAGTAATCAATGTACCAAGGTTTCGTCGGGTCACGACCATGTGTTCCTCCTCCACTTCCTCCACCACCTCCTCCTCCTCCTCCGTGACCACCCCTGCCGCCTCTACCGCCTCTACCGCCTCCTCGTCCGCTGTGCACACCATGATTGCCTCTTTGGTTGTGTTGTTGATTTGACACTTGGACTTGCGATTTAGGCGGTAGAGATAGCGATGAATTAACCGGAAGACTAGTCGTTGATGTTTCAGCTGCAGCTGCAGTATCGTCATCGAGGTTGATCTCGTTCATATCCCCATCTCTCGGCGCATTATTATTAAGAACCCTCTGTCGTTGAACAGGAACGTCATTCGCCCCTGTGCCCTGTGGTGTGGGGCCGACGTAGGCGTCGTCGATGCGGGAGTTGTAGCGCCGTTTCTTGGAGGGACGTTGGCCTCCGTGGGGGTCAGCGGGTCCTTCTTCTTCTTCGTCGGCGGTAGCTTGGTGCCCGAAGGAGGAGAAACCCATTGCTGCGGCCATGGCGGCTGCTTCGGCTTCTGCGTCGGTGAAGATGTCATTTTCGTTGGTGTTGGTGGTGGTGGTGGTGGTGTTGCCATCAATGGGTGGTTGGGTCATTTTGGTGGGTGGAGGTTGGGTGAGGTGGGTTGTTCAGTGGTAAGGGACGGAGCGGATGGGTGAGTGGGTTGAGGTTGAGGAGTTGATGATAGTTTGGGTGAGGTTGAGGATTGAGGATTGAGTCAGTCGCAGGACGCAGTTTTGGAGAAGTGGTTGAAGTGGAAGCTGTGTGTATATACGGTTTGGGTAATTCGAATACCAAGTTGTGTGTAACAAGTTGTAGGATATCAAGTCGTTAGTTCCTTTGCCGCCCTTGGTTTGCCGTTCAGGTATGTATCGATGTGAATGAGGGGAACAAGTCGTCGATGTGAAGTTTCGAAAAAGGATCAACGACGCGCCAAGAAACACCGGGGAAGGAAGTGGAGTCGAGAGATGTCGTTGAATCACCTAGCCTTGTGGGGCCCCACTCGTTCTCCGCTAAAACAGAACACAGGAACAGCCGCACAGTGGATTTGGGGAGAAATGGAACCCTTGTCTCGGAATGTCACCCTCCCGATTAGTGTTTTGTCACTTTTCAACTTTTGATCTTCTTTTGGACTTGACTTGGATTGTGATCGAGTCGTACGGTATGATACCACCTTGGTTGAACCGCACTTGACAATGGAGTTAGAGAATACCTGTGGGTGAGATATGACAGGAGGGCAAGAAGCTTGAAAACATGCGAGAAAACGCCGCTGACCCTCGAGCACTGCTGTTGTGGCTTTCACGATCAAAGCTGGACCCCAACGAATTATCGAGCTGGAAGTTCTCTGAATTTCAATCTTAAGCCGAAATGCCCATGTGATCTCCACTCACTTTTCTCGATTTGATAAGCCCAGCCGTTTGTGCCTTGAATTGAGTTATCCAGACCAGGAAGTCAGGGAGGGGACTCGAGCAAACTTGAACCCCTGTGTTTCCAGCAAACCAATCGGCAGTAGCCTACATTTCACACTGTTTCAGCTGATCATCAACCATTGGACGTCACTTTCATCCCAAGACTCGCACATATATAGGATAGGACCAGCCCATCTCGTCATCAACTCTGCTCATCATACTAGCCCTCAACCACACTTGTCAACTCACCATCTCACCCATCAATTATCGCATAATCAAACCAGCCATGGCCACCACACCGCCCACCAACTCCTCACCAGGAGGCACCATCACCCTCCGCCTCCCCTACAAATACACCCACTCCTCCCCACCCCCACAAACCATCCCCTTCCCACCCCTCGACTTCCTCCACCGCACCTGGTCCGTAACCCACTCGACCCTCTCCATGTGGCGTTCGGCCCGTAACGTCCGCATCACGTACCGCCCCCTTACCCCGACCAAAGATGGCCGTCCCCGTATCGACGACCTGGTCGAATACGAATCCCTCTCCGGTTCAGGAGGCGTCAAAACCGTCGCGGGAGTCGACACGGGTAACTGGGACAACATCAAAGAGGACATGACGAGCTGGGACTGGCGCGGGAGCGGGTGGTTGTTTTTTGTGAGCAGTCATTGGGAGGTGCTGGGTTGGGGGGAACGCAAGAATGAGGAGACCGGGGAGGTCGAGGAGAGGTGGGCGGTTACGTGGTTTGCGTCGACGCTTTTCACCAAGGAAGGGGTGGATATTTATAGTGATCGGCCAGAGGGGGGGACTAAGGAGTTGGTGGAGGAGGTGTTGGGGGTATTGGGGGAGGTGTTGGAGGAGGGCGGAGAGGGGACGAGGGGGTTGAAGGAGATGGTGGAGAGGGATATGAGGGAGGTGAAGATTAGTTTGCCTTGGAAGGAGAGGTGAGTGGAATACAGGTTCGGGGGAATTGGAGTCAGATTAGGAGTTTTTGGATGGTATTACATTTGGATGGGTATCTTGTTGGCTATTTTATGTTGACGCTAAGGTTTTTATGTACTGTGAACATTGCGTAATGCAAAAATCGAGGATGCTATGCCTGACCGTGTCTTGGACATCTTGGCTTGTGCCCGTAATCTGACCTCTCCGAGCGGTGATGCTGGTGATGGTCATGCTTACCATCATGAGCATCACGGTCTTTGTGCTTGCGATACTCGCGATCGTCTCGGTCCTTGCTAGACCGTCTATGGTGCCTGTCACGAGAGTGATCTCTCCTCCTTTCCTCATCTCTTTCACGCCCCCGACTTCGTTCTCGGTCGCGATTCCTCTCCCTTTCCTCATGGTGACGACCCCGTTCATGATCCCTGTCATGGACATGGTGATGGTGACGGTCGCGGTACCGGTCTTTGTCTCGCGATCGGTTTCGATCATGGTCCCGTTCCCGCCTCTCCGACCGAGACCGCTTGCCACGGTCAGATTCATCACCAGACGCCCTATTATCGTGTCTTTCCCTGCGGTGTTCTGTTCGCCTCCTCTTTTCTCGTCGTCGCTCTTCTTTTCGCAATTCCTTTAGCTCCCTTTCCCTTTCCCCACTCTCCCGTTCCCGTTCCTTGTTGAGATCACGTACCATCTTGGCACCCCTCTTCATCATCGCCAGAGGATCGCTTGCACTCAGTCTTTCCACCTCACGAGCCTTCCGTCCGGGATCCTCCTTGCCAAACACGTTCTTGGATGGCACCAACGCAGCAACGTCGCCATCCGGTGTCGCATACCAGGGGCCATTTCTGGCTAACAAGCCTTCCGCATCCCTGCCAGCCGCACTGGTAAAGCGTACCTGATGCTGCTCCGCTTCCCCACGCTTTTTCTTCGCTGCTTCTGTCTCGGTTTTCTCATCCTTCTCTGCAAGCCTCAGCTCCTCTTCAGAAAACAACGTGATATGACCCCTGCTATCGACCAGCGATGCAGTAGTAGTAGTGATGGAAGTCGACTTCACTGGGCCAGACAGCTCCCTCGCCGCATTTTGCCCTGCCGTGGCCCGTTCCCGCGCTACCCTCATTTCAAAATCGGTGTCATCTTCGCCTGCTCGCTTGCGTTTGCGTCCTTCTATTAGAGGATCACGTTCACGATGACGGCGCCCATGATCATGGCTGGATTCTGATGCTGGCGGTTGCTCCTCAAATGGCGGCGGAACTTCACCGCGCAGAATGGCTAGACGACGTTCGGCGTCGACCTGTTGCATGCGTTGCTCCTCAGCTTCCTCGCGAGCACGGGCCTCGGCCTCGTCACGGCGGACGCGGGCGACGTTGTCGGCGTTGTAGACGTTCCATGATTTCTTTCCGAGAAGGTGACTTTTGTGCTGTTGGTAATTGTTGCTTGAAGAATAGGAGTAAGTCTTTTACTCACAGAGGCATATTGATATTGGGACAAATGATGAAATCGTCTCTCTTCAAGTGATGGTGTAGTTGGACAACATTGGGAGAACCAGGAAGTACCCGACTTGGAGCAAGTGTTCTTATCTTATCTTGCAGCCAACACGTGCCCCGCTCTTTGACGTACGTTGGTCCCGTTGGTCAGGGGCGAGTCCAGGCTGGGCGCCAGGGGACCAAGTCTGGGGATACACCACTAATTGAAAGCTGGCGCCTTTGTACAGGTAATCTGACAACATTCTCTATAGTACAACCGCTGTTGACACCATTTCCTGTACAGCGTCAGGGACACAGCTGAAACCACCCAACGTAGTAATAGCGTTCCTTTGACACAACAGACCTCCATCCCCCTCTCAACTCAACAAAACACCGAAGCTCAGCCTCCAAGGACAGGCATCTTCTGTGGTCATCATACCCGGCCATATCGTCAAATTACAATCAACCGAACCAACATCCACGACGTGTCTACGTACTTGCGCGCGAATCCAGTGCGCCCACTCCACGCTCCCGCGACACATAGATAAACACCACCAAGGGCGACTGGTTCTCCCGATTCACAGCCACCTACCCATCCACCTACTCCTCGATACTCGTAACTTATAATCCACACAACAAAACACTCACCATGGATATTCGAGGCAACCTCTTCGGCAAGAAGCCCCAAACCCCACAAGGAGGAGCTGGTCTCCCCGGTCGTCCCGTCCAACAAGCAGCCGGAGGCGGATACGGCGGCGGCGCAACACCGACCAACTACGGTAGCCCAGGTGGTCGCGCTCCCTCTCAACCCCAATACTCTGGTAGCGGCGCTGGAGGATATGGAGGTGCGCCATCCGAGAAGAGCTATGGCGGCGGCGGTGGCGGTGGTTACGGCGGACAGCCCGCTCCTGGCGGATACCCTTCTCAGTCAGCCGGTCGCGGTGTCCCCCTTCGGCTCGCAAAGGTGGATGACAAGACGCTGCAGAGTCTCTACATCTTTGGCAACATGTGAGTTCCCTGCGCTACCCACGGTCAGTTTGTCCAATCCAGGTTGCTAACCTCGTACTCCAGTTGCGCCGTATCGCCCGACGATTTCCCCCCGAACCGCGACGGCACCGATCTATACATCCGCTTGACAGGAAGACAGCTACGAGGAGACTACGTGGTGACGGCACGCCCCACCCCCGGCTTCCGTCCGGGTCACATCAGCTTGTCAGACCCCCAGCGAACATGGTGCGGAGTTGGCATGATGGACGAGTTGATGGGAGAGGTCTACGATCCCTTTGCCCGTGGAGGCGACGCCTACATTGGCTCCATGGATGTCGAGATCGGATTTGCGTCAACCAACCGAATCGTCGATACCCCCTATGACCAGGATGAGCTGGCCAAGGTGTTCCTCAACACCTTCCAGAATCAGGTCTTTGCTCCGGGTCAAAGGTTCCTTCTTGATGTCAAGAACATTCCTTTGGCTGTCATGGTCAAGACGGTCACTCTGGTTGATCTGACCATGCTGGGATCGGGCGAGGCTCCCACACGCAGTGACCCTGGAGCACGCGGTATTCTCACCAACCAGGCCAGCATTGGCTTCTACAAGGATGCCAGGTCACCCATCAAGCTCAAGGGCTCCAACAAGCGCCCAGCGGCCAACGCCATCATCGCCCCAGACTTCAAGTTCGAGAATATGGGCATTGGTGGTCTGGATACCGAGTTCTCCACCATCTTCCGTCGTGCCTTTGCCTCTCGTATCTTCCCTCCTGGGCTCATCGAGAAACTTGGCATTATGCACGTCAAGGGTATGCTGCTCTATGGTCCTCCCGGTACCGGCAAGACCCTGATTGCCAGACAGATCGGCAAGATGCTCAACGCCAGGGAACCCAAGGTCATCAACGGTCCCGAAGTGTTGAACAAGTACGTTGGTCAGTCTGAAGAGAATATCCGTAAGCTCTTCGCCGATGCCGAGAAGGAGTACAAAGAGAAGGGAGACGAGTCCGGCTTGCACATTATCATCTTCGACGAGTTGGATGCTGTGTGCAAGCAGAGAGGTTCGGGTGCTGGCGGTGGCACTGGTGTCGGTGACAGTGTTGTCAACCAGCTGCTCTCCAAGCTCGACGGTGTCGACCAACTCAACAACATCCTCCTGATCGGAATGACCAACCGTAAGGACATGATCGATGACGCCTTGCTTCGTCCTGGTCGTCTCGAGGTTCAAATTGAGATCTCGCTTCCCGACGAGCATGGCCGTGGCCAGATTCTCAAGATCCACACCTCCAAGATGAAGGAGAACAAGGTCATGGCTGACGACGTTGACCTCGCTGAGCTTGCCACTCTTACCAAGAACTTTTCCGGTGCCGAGCTGAGCGGTCTTGTCAAGTCCGCCACCTCGTACGCCTTCTCCCGACATATTAAAGTCGGCACCATGGCTGGTGTCTCAGAGGACGTGGCCAACATGAAGGTTAACCGCCAAGATTTCCTCAATGCCCTCGAAGAAGTCAAGCCCGCCTTCGGCGCCGACGAGTCCGAGCTCGAGAAGCACCTCGCTTACGGCGTCATCCACTATTCCAAGAGCATCACGTCGATTCTGGAGGACGGTCTGCTCTACGTCAATAACGTGCGCAAGCTCGAGCGCCTCAAGCACATGACCGTCCTCCTTCACGGTCCTTCGGCCTCTGGAAAGACGGCTTTGGCCGCCCACATTGCCATGAAGTCCGACTTCCCCTTCATCAAGTTCATCACGCCCACCGACATGGTTGGCTTCCGCGACGAGGTGGCCAAGAAGGATTACATGCACAAGATCTTCACCGACGCCTACAAGTCCCCGCTCTCCCTCCTCATTATTGACAACATCGAGCGCATTATCGAATGGAACCCCGTCGGCCCGCGCCTGTCCAACACCATCCTCCAGGCCCTCGTCACCCTTTTGGTTACTCCTCCGCCCAAGGGCCACCGTCTCTTGATTCTCGCCACGACTTCGCAGCGCACCGTCATGGAGCAGTTGGACGTCACTGAGTCGTTTGACTACCAGATTGCCGTTCCCGCTGTGAACAACCTCCAGGAGTTGGGCGCGGTGTTGAACGAGGTGGGAGCGTTTGGTGGCGACCAGGCGGCTGTCAGTGAGGTGTTGAATACCCTACGCGAGTATACCGGGTCGGATAGCGTGGGTGTGGGTGTCAGGACGATCCTGACGATTGCGGAGAGCGCGGACACGAGTCCTGATCCTAAGGGATGGTTCGTGGAGAAGATGGCCGGGTTGATTGCTCGGTATAATGTTAGGTAGAGAGAGATAACTAGAGCTGTAGACAAGGAGGTATATATAGTAATATGGGTATATGGGTGGATATCAAGTGGATGAGCTTCAAGATATAGACAGTGATGCCTTTTGGGAATAGAAGTAGGTTAATGACCACTTACTTTGTTATTACCGTCACGATCTTGCTTCAAACCTGACCTCTGCGTTTTGAGAGTAGAACAAATATGAGCGTTCGTTGGACTTGTTTACTTATGTTCTTGCTAACATATCTAAGGCCGTATAACGACTACCATTTCTGGACCTACGTTCGTTACTATGTATATCGCAAAGCACGGACAAAGACTTTCTTGGTCGACGTCTCCATGGATGAGATCCCGGAAGTAGAAAAAACTCGAAACGGGTCGACAATCGAAGGTTGCAACCGCGGACAACCAGCCGTCAAAAGTCCAACGGACCCGGTACAGCTATCACAATCCTCGTCGACGGGACGCCTACTTCAAGGAGCTTAGAACGATTCAGATCTCTCGCTACCGCAACATCCACACTCCTGGAAGCCCTTCTTCTTCTTTTTTTTTTTTCCCTTTCTTCCTTTTTCTCTTTTAATAGAAAACGGGTTGGCCGAAGAAAGATATATCACAGAACCACTCGCAACAGAAGCCAAGTAAAATTGCAGACCCTAATTAGAAGCTCTGGTGCACGTAAGACGGACTTGGATGCGACTGAACTGCCCCATGCTCCTTACTTTCTCCCTGCACACTCATTGACGGGTTTGTAAAAAGGTAAGGTAAGGTAATGTAAGGTAAGAGTAGCAAACTACGGCTTCCATCGTTTCATGGTGAGCTGGATGCAGTGTGGCTCACCTGGTTAGTTCCGTCATGTTCAAGCGTTTGACAAACAGAAATCAACACATGGGACGGCATGTCAACAGTGAACAGTACGGGTCCACGACAGCTGTGAGACGGACAACAGCGGTATTGAAGCCTCCAGCGGCACCGAAGATAACATCATCCACGGACATGCGACAAAGTTTGGACGAGCAGAGAAGGCTCATCTGGGCTTCAGGCATCATCTCACCCGGCATCATCCAGACTATACTATACATGTAATTCCACCGCCTCGGCTATTTTGGTATTAACTCAGCAATGCTTTTCCTCTTTCGACAAGGTCTCGGTGTTGGTATTTCAGCATTATCTATCTCCCCCAACACCGAAGCTTCCTATGATTATGGATGGGTCAACATTGATAAAGTGATGCATCTTGGGTTTTGAACTTTGGCATCTTGCACTGTCCTTGTGGTGGTTCTTGATGGGTTGCATGTGTCCCGTCTTGTCTCACTCGGAGTACGAAGCTGACAGTCAACGAGCATTGGACTGTAGGTCTTGATCAGTGGCAAATGCACGTAGATTGCGATAAGGAGGGGAAGCTAGACGGGGAAAAGAAGGCGTGTGTATGTTTGAGGAGGGAATATGGAGAAGTTTAGTACACAAAGGAGATCGTGGTTGTCACAATGATCATGTGAATTTATTTGGGTCACAATCTCTTTATTTCCGTGACCAAGCACCGCAGACAATGTGGCAACACTGAACAAGTGTGTACGACGGGACAAGTGGCGACTGTAGAATGGATTTATCATTACCAATACTAGCGAGTGTATAATGTAAAGGCAATGAAACATGGGTATATCATCCAAAGCATGTACTGGTAACAAGCGATCCCATAGTCCAAGCGAAGAAATCATTCCCATTATCTTCCCCCGTACCGTGCCTTCCAACTCAGAGAAAACAAAACAAAGCATTCCATGGGTATCCTTCGAAGAAAAGATATGTACTGTGAAAGGAAAAGAGAAACTGTTGGAAGAAGGCGCGAGCAATAAGCAGAGTGATGTTGCTGGACCAAGCCCCTGATTAAGCTCGTAGCTGAGCAGCGGTAGGCTGGAGCGTTGGAATGTGTTCATTGTCTTCGTGTGAGGGATCGTGTCGTAAACTCCGCCAAAACTCAATTATTGTCATCGTCGTTGCTTCGAGAAGGGAAATACTCGTTCATGTCGTTAACCATTGTATCATGACCTTGTACCCCCTAAGGGCTTATAGGTTCTCGACCAAGTGGGCATTCAACGCCTGCTGGAATCCTCCATCGGAACCTCCAAAGTCGTGGAACGTAGACGTTTTGTTCTTCGAACCGCTGCCTTCACCCTGCTCACCCGGATTAAAGGACCCCGGGGCATCCAACGACGCATTGAACTGGGCCTGACTAGGCATCGTCTGATTCGTCGCCGGCAAGAAGATCACCTTGCTGTTCGCAGACTTGGCCATAGCCTGCATTGCTTCAAGATAGCGAATCTGCATAGCAGGAGCAGAACTCAAGATATCAGCGGCCTGCCTCATCAGCTTGGCGGCCTCGACCTCGGCCTTTGCGGCAATAATCTTGCTCTCGCCGATGCGCTTGCTCTGGGCAGCCATGGAGAGCGAATCTTGCAGCTCGTGGGAGAAGATGATGTCCTTGATAAGCATGCTCTCGACCGCCACGCCCCATTCGGCCGCGACGTCCTCGATGATCTCGCCAATGGACTGGGCAATCTCCTCGCGGCGCTCGATCACGTCCTGCAGCACGCGGGCACCGATGACATGGCGCAGCGTGGTCTGGGTGCGCTCGATCAGGGCCTGCTTGACGTTGGTGATGCCAAAGGCAGCCTTGTGCGGACTGACGATGTGGTAGTAGATAACCGATGTCAACTGCACCGTCACATTGTCCTTGGTCATGCAGACTTGCTGCGGCACCTCGACGATCTGGATCTTGACGTCCACCTGGATCAGCTTCTCGGCGAGCGGGTTGACGCGGACGAGACCCGGGTCGACGGCCTTGTAGAACTTGCCGAACTTGGTCACCAGGCCGACGTTGCCTTGCTGCACGGTCTTGTAGGGGTTCGGGCACATGATGCAGCACGGGATGGCGCCAATGGTGCCGATGACAGCGCCGAGGCCGTTGATCATGTAGCCGTACCAGTCCTTGGGGTCGGCATCGTTAGTGATGATGCTGGCGTAGGATTTCTGGAGGTCTTCGGCCCTGGGAGGCTGCACGGCCATGGGAGCTTGCGGGCGGAAGCCGCCGGCGCCGTTGGTGGTGGACTCGTGATGGTGATTGTAGTTGGGCGCGGGGCCCTTTCCCTTGAGGGCGGGCTGGTCGGACGAGATTGAGCTCATGGTTGTTGGATGGGGAGGAGGAGGAGGAGGAGGAGGTGGTGGTGGTGGTGATGGCGAGTGTGGAAGTGGGGTGATTAATGGTTGATGTTGTGATGGTTGCAGTGTTGACCATACAAGACCAAGTGTGAAGTGGAATGTGGGAAATCTCGGGACAAGTCAAGGGAGGGGGACAGTGCACCTTTTAAGCATTCTCGAGACAAAAGACTGGTCCGGATACAAGAGTGCAGCGTGCATATCCGTACAGGCAACCTCATGTGGTGTGGTGTGCTCAGGCGTTGTGTTGTGTAAGCCATGACATTTCCCAAAAGGGATGTTAGTGACAAGGGTTCCATTGATGCGGGGAAGGCATGGCGCTGGGGTCGTCCTGCAAGGTGCATTTTCTTAGCGGTCGATTCGGGGATCATTCAGTGGATGGTGTTACTGTACGGCGGCACTGTGGAGCCACGGCATACTGCGTATAGGGATTTGGTCACTTTCGTTCCTCTCGCTTCAACTTCCACCATCCGACTTCTTCCATTCTTGTCCACGCCAACCTGAGAAATCGCTCAACTCAATGTCTTCGTCTCCAAATTCCCTCATAGGAAAACACGTTGCCGTTTTCCATGCACTGCCTCGTCAACGCCTTCGCAATCACGACGCGGTCCGAATGGCTGTATGTATTGGGGTCTGCTGGCACGCCACACCTTGACAACCCTCATTGGGCATCGAGGCCCCAATGACGCACCGCCCGCACCTTCGCATCGAATCGATCTTTCCTCGATGACTTTCCTGGTCGGTTACGAACCAATAAAGCTGTGTCCCAGGAGCTCATTGTTTCCGCTACCATCTAGGTATTACAATGAGCCATATATCTTGACGAGCTACCACTGGAATGTTTGAGTAACCACCTAATTGCCCTTTGAACTGCCTGCTCCATCACTCGCCTGTACCCTTCTGCTAACAACGGAATGTATCAAGCCAGTTATTCGCTCATAACACCATGAAAACATCTCAAGACTCCTTGATAAAATGGTACAGCCTACCAAAGAAGATGGGAACCTTCGAGTTTGAACCGAGACTAGGCCCCCGCCAGTTAAGCAGTTCTGACAGATCACCAACATCCCCCATCTGACCAAGCATAGCCACAAACCCGCTAGCTCTTACGCCAACAATACCACCTGCTTGCACACCCAGTCCGGGACCCGGCCATCGGCACCAACTTTACCAGGTTTAAACGGCAGTCTGATATCTTGGCCATTTTGATCCTCGATACGTACCTACCAGAAAGGGATAACGGGCAAAGAAACAGCCTCTCCGTATGCCTCGATCTTCTCATCGCCATCAGGCTGTACAGAGAGGATCGACCAGACAAAAAGCCATCCAATGACATCAAGTCAATCACCAGCCCTGGATATGCATGGAATCTTACCCGCTTTCTTCTAGACGCCCCAGACTCGTGATGGCTGTCCATCTTAATCCATTACCGAGACCCTGTCATTATTTGTCAACCCTGGGCACATCTGTCAACTGTCACTGAGAAAGCACAGAGAGTGTTGCTCGAGTCATCGTGGAGAGTAACACGACAGGCTAATATTCCCCTTGCAGTCATACCGCCCCTTCACGATACCATTGGTCTTTTTCGTTAGCACCATGCAAGGTCCTAGCATCAAATCGCTCATATTTATTAGACCTATGTTTGGGTACACTTGCATTGTTCCAGCCTCGGGACCACTCGATTCGGACCACTCGACGACCACTTGGCAAACCTGAGAGATTTCCCCTCCTCAGCACCACTCCTACCAGACTGAGACTTCGTAGGGGAACGGCAAGTACATCTGTGACACCACTGTCAGTCTGCGGCCTAAACAAAAAAGTCTTCAGGAGAATGACAGGAAAACAAACTGCGGGCTTTATCCAGTGAATGTAAATGATTTCTCAACTTACAAGTCTCCCTTTCATTCCAAAACTCTATCTGCACTGGAAGTAAGTACAGTAATGGCGGAAGGTACTATACAACTACTGAAAACTGCAAGGGCCTAGTGTCATGCGGATGTCTTCCATGGCCGATGTTTATAGTAGAACATGGACTAGAAGCGAGTGGACTACAATAAAAACAGTTGACGGACTGGAAGTATACAGTAGGGAGATCACGGAAGTTCGTTCGCTTACAGTTAACCACTGTGGCCTCGATGATGTTCATCTTCTCAGAATAACAGTAGGAGTACATAGACAGTACAAGAAAGCGATCAACTTACAAAGCTATCTACCTATAGTCAGAAATATTGAGCAAAGGAACACACCAGCGCGCGCTGGATGTCTTTCCACTTTATTGCAGTTACCAATGCCCACCAAAGGCATCAAGACGTATCATTTTCTACATGGTCTCTTATTCGAATCTTCCACTATGACTGTGACAATTCTCGCATCTAGAATTTCAGAGAGTGTTCAAGCCACATTCGAAGGCTTTTTGATGGATCTGGGGACTTTCAACAGCTTGGTTTGTAGTTCACTTGATGGCAATGCCACAAGCGAGAAGCAAAGGACACGAACAGACGAAACACAGCACGCCTGACACTGGACAAATTTCTCCCTTTAGGATGTGAATCTATATACCTTACCGAACGAGTTTGGTCGATATATCATTAACCCTTAGGTAGCAAATCTTGATAGAACTGCGATGTATCATTAGTCAATTCGTGGTATATATCTAGATACATAGAAAGGATAATCTACCGCTCCAGGAGCAGGCTACTGTTTTATACCTTCTTCCAACCGAGCCACATCATCAGAAGTCCACAGGTAAAAGGCTCAATATTTGATGGACAGACTCCCCGGTTACTAACAGCGTCTTCATTACCATATGGACATATGATGGCGTCAAGCCAGTGTAGGTTATGATTTGTTGGCTTCTTACATCCTCTTGTAATAACTTGTATGTTTGACTTGCATCCCGCAACACCTACATCATGTTACATTGTACCTATCCCTCTAGTGTATTGAGACAGTACTATGCCTTGCATGAAAGAAAAGACCTAGTATATCACACCCCCAAGGCATCTCTATCCACGCAGGTCAGATAGTGAACCCCCGTGTTTGGCCACATGTAGGCTTGCGAAGGGGTTCGGTTCCTTGACGTGGGTGCCAAGTAGTCTGACTTGCCTTGGACTTGGAAGTAATTTTGTATTGGGTATATCACTGTGGTGCCCCAAGTACAATGCCGCGTTGATCGACCTTCTTCACTTCGCGTCCGAGTAACCTTGCTATGCTCTTCACTGAAAAGTATTGCTGTTCTGTATTAGCTCTCTGTTCAGTGTTTTCCTCAACTCTGTGTCAACCAAAAAACGAGCGTAGCTCTTTGAAAGAAGTTGTTGCTCCAGACGTACCATTAGCAGGCCTCCTTTGCAAGCGGGATTAATGCCTATTTACTTCCAGCTCAATGCCTCTTAAAGGGGTTAGCCTCTTTATGGAGGCAATCTTTTCAGCCTCACGGATTGTATTCATGTTCCCTACAACAAATAGCCTATCCAAGCCCTTGTTCTCGGGATGTAATTTGAGGTTCTTGTGGAACAGGGCCCGGCTGGGGATCGAAAGATTCCGAAGCTGAGGGCAGCTTGAAACAACACCGACAATTAGATCTTCTGAGCCAGGTCCATGGACTATCAACCGTCCGTTGGTGTAAACTGCCATTCGCCTCAGAGGCTGTGGACGGGAAAATTCAGGCAGCTGGCAGCAAGAAAAAGATCGAAGCATCGAGCAAGTCTTCGACGCCAATACGCTACGCAGAATTGGGACGAGATAGTTAGCATCAACGATCAATCTCAGACTTCTTAGACCGACAAAATGGCCGCACACGAATGCGGTTTGTAAGTCAGTCATAAACTGATCTAAAATATCTAGAAGGTTGGGCGAGATGGGCCAACATGGGTAGGTCTGTATCCGGACATCCAGCCCCTTCAAGGCTGGCAGACCCGCCATAGGTCTTGTAAGGTTTTGTCCCAACCGCTCCATTTCTTCCAGTAGCTTCTGACTCCTCTCCTCCCACTCACTGGGTTTTGCGTCATTTGTACAATACCTGCTGAGTGCCTTCATGTCGATGTCGATACGAAGCCTTTGGATACGGTCCAAGACGGGGCGGTTGGATTTCTTACCCCAAAAACTGAGGCAGCGGGACCAGAGCCGGGGAAAATAGTGCAGAGCGAGGGGTGTGTATATAAATATATGCGCTTGGGCCGCATGGTAGAAGCTACGGCTGATGAGAGGGAGTTTGAGGAGTTGGCGGTAACTACATCTAGTACAGGCACCCTTGGTGCTGAGCCAGATAGGGCAGAGGGACCGAGAATGATGTTCCAAACCGGACGCGTACTCATACACATATGGTGGGAGGCTGGCCCAAAGTTCAGAGATGATCTAGTTAGGGCTGGAGATGAGTTTCTGATTTGAATTGGCGAAGACGGTGACGGAAAGGAAGGAAGGAGTTTCTGACTGACCATGTACACGATATCGTAAGGAAGTTGATCAAGTGTGAGACCTGTACTTGGTTGAGGCTCTGGCTCTGGCTTTGATGACTCTAGCTCTAGCCATGACTCCACATCTGACTCTGAAGGTGATTCGGGCTCTGGCTCTGGCTCTGGCTCTGGTTCTGGCAGTACTTCAGAGGCTGCAACGACTATCTCGCCTTTCTTTTGGTTGGCACGCTTTCTTCTTTTCGGTCCAACCATGGGATATGGGTTTTTCTTTTTCTTCTTTCTGCTTTCTTGCAAAGCGACGATCTTCTTTTCTCTTCGGGCTAGCATCGTGAAAAGTGCTGATGAGTGTTGACCGAGCGAGACACTGACTTGGGCGAGGTGTGATCGCGCGGAAACATTGGAAGGCGGGCATACTTACGCTGCATTTATATGGGCATATCTGACCAGGAGATACCATTGTCCTCAAGTGACGGAAGGAACTCGACGGGAGTAGGTGCCAGCATCAGACGCACCCATGGTGATGGATCGGGCAGCGAAGGGAAACGAGAGTGGCAAAAGCTCTCATTGTGTGCGAAAGAGGTCAGACCCAAAAGAAATGGATATGTAAGAGAATAAGAGCAGAGGTGTGCAAGCCAAGAGGCTTCTCCTTTGCTCCGTTAATGAAATTGCGAAGCTTGCCTCATAAAAAGGCCGAATGAATTTGGTGACTCAATCGACGGAGAAGAAGACGGGTCAGGCAGAAGCCCATGATCGCCCCGACCTGCAAGGTGTCTGTTCTTGCACCTCAGCGCATTGTACAACCCAGATATCCAGCAGACGGGAGCACCTTCCATTTTCAGCACGACGGGACGTTGTCCTCGGCACATCAGGCAGGTTCCAGCACACCAGGCTCCTGCCTCCCCTCGGTCGCCACTCCTTCCTCCCTTCCTCCCTTCCTTCCATCTCAACCCGCAGAACAGACCGCCCAACAGCGCGGTACATAGTCGACCTCCCCAGCACCTTCTGTCACCAACAACCGCTTTGGTCGAGTGGCGTAACGGCCTACCGTCCTAACACTTATCTCAGACCACCCACCCACCACACCCGAAAAAGATACCTACCTGTCGGTTCGGGAACGATGATGTACATTCAAGTAACCCAAAGAGCGTTCCACATCGTAGACCGCGACCACTTGCTACTTCAATGCAAGTGGGATCTGTTAGTATCTGCAGCGACAGAAGAAGGTAATCAATCATAATCATGAGCATACAAAAGAAACATTCAAGAATAAAAACGGTTCAAGGTGTTTCGATGGTTCGTTGAGATGCCACTCGATTGAGCGGTTGTTGGCAATTTTTGGTATCCTTTTGTACCTTCTTCGGTGGTTAAAGGGGGAAATGGGTTGAAGAAGGGGGAGGTGATGGGTTCAAACCGCGAGTTGTGCCTTTGATTTTCTCTTCTTCTTTTCACGACACTCTTCTGATTACAAGCTTGCTTTATTACTTCCATTTGCTCTCTACCTAGATCCAGCCCTCATCCAATGCCAGTCTTCCATCTACTTCTACCTTGTCTGTAAGTGCGACCTACTGTCCATACTTTGCGAGGCTCGAGGCATTCACTCCTTACTGTGACCCTATCGTCAGCCTTCGAAAACCTCTAGGACTATGTCTTGACCCTGAAAGACCTTCACGCTATGTCACCCGTCGCCACTTTCGACCTCAACCCTTCTCTTCACCTGCGTCTTAGATCCTTTCTTCACGTCATGGACCTTCATTTTAACAAACACGGACAACCGCCTTCTGTCCGTCCACACTAGCGCCTTTCTGCTGTTGTTTCACTTGCGTTGCTGATGACGAAGTTGTCAGTGAGACGGCGTACGCAGGCGCAAAGTCGTTGTTCTGTTAGCAATTGGATTTACTCCGCATCAATGGAATTTGAAAAATATAATATACAAAGATCTTCAATGATGTGTTTTAGATTGGCATACTCCTGTTAGCTCGATAAAGAGTCGATGACTGAAGTCTTCAACTTACTTGGTACACGATATCATAGGGAAGTCGATTCATAGTGGAGTCGTATGATGACTTTTTCGGAGAGCCCCAGGCCAAGAGGGCAGACACTCGTCCTCAAATATATATAAATGCTCCCACATTAGAAACGTCCGGTAGATTTTGGTCAATAATCGCTCAAAAAACAGGGAGGAATACCACTTACACACACACGTAAAAAAGACGAATGACACAAGCAACTCAACGTGCAGTAGCAAAAAGAGAACACGAGCATGAGAAAGATCAAGTCGGAGACAACAGAAGCCAAACACCATGTCAAAAATAGTTGCAAGATACCTCTATATTCACACAGATGTGCCACCATGATCCATTCCATTGGCAATCTAGGAACATGTAAGTCATGGCCCATAATCATCAGCTTATATCCCAGTAGCAACCATAGACAACAACATGTGGCTCTTCCATAGTGAATCATTAACCGGCTACACGGCTTTTCTTTATCGGCAGAATTCCTGGACTTTTGGTCCCCACAATCACAGCGCCGTTGGCCCTTGGAAGACGAGCCTACCTCCCTCCATGACCTGTAAGCTGTGACACTCTAGCTCCTTTTGCAAAAGCTCGTAATCGGGGCGTATGAGCTTGTACTGGCCCCATGATGGTGTAAACACAATCGGGACGTCTCCTGAAACAAATAGATCGGTTAGCATCAAGCCTTTGTAAGCCAAGGAGCCCGTTGTCACCAACTCATAAGACGTCTGCGCGCGAACGTGACGTCCTCAAGTTCCACTGATGTATGGGGCGCCACCAAGTCCTCCAAAAATGCCAACGGCTTCCACTTTTTGACAAGAACCCTGCCCACAATCAGCTTGTCTAAGCCCGTGTTTTCCGGATGAAGCTGGGGCATTTCGTGAAATGTGAAAAGACAAAGTTCTTTCAGGTTAGGACACAGCTCCACCAAGGTCAGAACCGCCTCTTCGGCGGCCATCACTGCATCCTGATCTTCCACGGAGCCGATCGCCTGACATCTATCACAATGAACCGTCTTCAAGTTCACGCAAAGCTGCTTCGATCTCGTTGCGTCCAATAGAATCTCCACGAGCTGGTCTGCAGGCGCCTTCACCCTCAGGCTGGTCAAGTGGTCGAACCTCCCGTTGCTCAAGGCACACCCAAAATCCCTGACAATCCTAAGAACAAGGTCAGGGATGGTTCTGTTGACAACGAAATCGTCACTGTAAACGTTGGTGAATGTGTCAACGCTAAAAATCAACTCCCTCAGGCTGGGTAATCCAACCATGGGCAGTTCGAGCTGATTCATCAAATCAACCATCAAAGCTCGTAGTTGCCGCTCCTTGGCTGCAGAAAGAGCCAGCGCTTGATTCTGTGGGGTATTCTTCTCGACAAAGCAATACTTCGAAATTCCATGGCTCTTGACAGCAATCTTCAGCCTCCTCACCTTCACCCTCAAATCTTCCGTCTCATTACTAGACCAAAACTGCAAGCATTGCGGCCAACGATCAAATTCATGAAAGCTTAGCGGGACATGCTTCAAGATGTGCGGCATAACAGCGTGGTAGAAGGCTTTGGAGACGAAGCAAAATTGCAGAAGTTGTTGAACGGAAGGGTGGGAGTGGAAGTCATGGTCGAGAATTTCGCAGGCCGTGGGAAGGTGGAGGACGCAGAAGTAGTGGATAATCTGGAGGAAGGGCGCGGTGTTAGTAGTGAAGAAGATATGGCCAAGGTACTGGAATAATTTGGGAGGATGGTTGGTGTTGTAAGCCGAAAAACTCATAGGATGATCGGTTGATAAGTTGAAGAGGATGAGTTGCTTGAAGAGAGGAGTAAAACCTGGACTGGAAAAAGATGACCGTAAGTGTGGCCCTTCATCACACCTAGAAAGGATTTCAGGTAAAACATAGAATGCACCTGCCTGCGAGGATGGACCAGGTCATTCCCGGGATGGATTGGTAGTGCACAACACAACGTACTATCCAAGGTCTGACAGGATGGAAATGACGGCAAAAGAGATGAACGACGATGGAAGAGTTCACATGGACAAGTACGAAGTAGAACATCCACCGGATCCCAGAAGTTGAACTCATTATTTGGAATAGTCATATGCGCCGTCCCAAGAGCAATGACAGGCAGGAAAAGCGGGGAATCACTTACGCAGTAGAGAACGTCGTGAGGAAGAAAGGGTCTCATGTTGCCCAGTAATGACTGCCCTTGGTTGAATGATGCCACTTCGATACTGATGGGAGAGAATATGGGATATTTGGGTGTGGGAAGATGGTTAATTGGTGGCTTGAGGGAGAGGGGAGTAAAGGAGTGCCAGCTTGGGTCTAAATACTAAGTCCAGAGGTACCAAGAGGAGACTCAGTGTCGGTGGGGTGCTCTTTCCAGACGTTAGGTAGACTACAATGGGGAGCGACTTCCCAAGTGCATACGGTCAAACCAACCCGGTGCAGGAACATACATCTCTCTATGGAATAAAAGCTTAGCGCAGTGAATGGCAGAGTGGCGGCAGCCTTGTTTCGCGTACAAACGATGGGTGTTCTTGTCACTTTCCAATCCCTAATTATTGTAAGATGGAAGTACCATGCTATGCTTTTATAACCATGCAGCGGGAGGTGTGAAAGTTGGGTGCTGTGGAACTATGGCGAATGTCCAGTGAGGGCCAGTTGAAACCGGGCTTCTCGACCAAGGTGTTCCGATTCTCCATGGTGCTCGAATACTGCTGATCAGAAGGATGTCTTAGAGATTGATGCCCAGGAAGAAGTCAAGAAGGCATAAACCTTCTTCGCTCACAAGGATGACCTGTTACAAGGCTCAAAGAATTTTCTTCCCAACATCTTTGATCCAGTCAGTACGCGCTTCGAGCCGAAGCAATTAGTACCATCTGGAAGTTTGGCACCCAACAAGGCAATGGAAATACTCAGAAACTTTGTGGTTCATTTGGTTGACGTATTCAGAAAGGCTTCCATAGTCCGTAAATCTCACTGTCAGTAACGGAACGTACAAGGTGAAAGGTAGGTAGATTCGAGACGTTGCTGAAGTCGATGATTGAGTATCACCTTGATTCATTCATCCTGCCAGCTCTCTTGGATTCTTCGCCTGGATATTGCAGCCATAGCCGTCAGTATTGTCACACCCCGGGGCAGATTCGCAGGGCCAAACATCCGTACGAGGGAATCTTTTCAGGATCAGCAACATTTGCGGTTGATTGTTAGATAAAGCAAAGTTAAAAGGTTAAACACGATATTCAAATGTCAGGCCGTACACTTTACAAACGCCAGAGGCAGAGGCGTTGGCAATTACAGGGTCGAAAGTCATAGCCCCTGAATGCTTTGTTTACTTTGGTCGATCTTGTAGGGTCATGGTTACATAATCCGGGTCAAGGAGTCTGGAATACGGCCAAGGTCATCATATCACAAGAAGGAAGCACACAGTAGGGTCAGGACGTATCCATTCGGAGCAAATCTCATCTGTTTCAAGATCCCCAAACTTCACAAATCGCACCACATGGCAAGGGCGGGATAACGATTAAGTCCACCCCTCTTGACCCCACAGGGCATTCCCTCTTTCCAGACAGCATATACAAGAGTAGATGGCGCCAGATCGAGTATCTTTCCCTCATTAGTGCGGTCAAGTTTGACCCGTTGCCAGGGGATAAGCGGTTTGCAAGAAGCCAGAGCCAGATTCCATTGTTGGGGGTATTCATGATCAATTCGTGTTGGAAATCGGTGGGCGAGGTTCAAGCCACAAGTCCAGTCTCCATCACGCCTCCATTACGCCATTTTGGACCCAGAAACCGAATGTGTTTTTTCGATTACAACTGTTTACCAGCTGGACTCCTTGGCCTCGGTGGCGGCCCAGTCAGCAGTGGTGGCAGGGGCAGTAGCGTCCCAGTTGGGGGCAGCGGCACCGGGAGCGGCATCGGACCACTCACCGGTGGCGGGGAAGCCAGCGGGGGCAGCCTCCCAGTCACCAGTGGCGGGGAAGCCAGACTCAATGGCGGCAACACCCTCCTCCTCAACACCAGGGAGCTTCTCCTCCTCAACCTTCTCCTCGGCCTCAGCCTCGGGGTCGCGGTCTGTAGGTTAATAGTTAGAGACATGGTCCCGCAGACGGTCACGGGGGCTCCGGGGGATACATACAGAAGTAAAGATCGACCATGACGTCCCAGGGGGTCTCGCGGTTGTAGATGGTACCGCGGAGGCGGAGGACCTCACGGGCAAGCATCCACCAGACGCAGCCGATGGCGTGGCGACCCTTGTTGTTGGTGGGGATGGCAACATCGACGTACTCGGTGGGCGAGTCGGCATCGCAGAGGGCAATGACGGGGATGTTGACGTAGGAAGCCTCCTTGATGGCCTGGGCATCAGTGCGGGGGTCGGTGACGATGATGAGGCGGGGCTCCTTGAAAGAGCGGGTGATGTAGTTGGTGAAAGAACCGGGGGTGAAGCGACCGGCGATGGCCTGAGCACCGGTGTGGGCGGCGAACTTCAGGACGGCACGCTGACCGTAGGGACGGGCAGAGATAACGCAGATGTCGGCCGGGTTGTCGATGGCGGCGATGATGCGGGCAGCAAGGACGATCTTCTCCCTGTGGTGAGCCAGCACTGTCAGCCATTGTGGCCTTTGTTCGAGGTATCCTGGTGACCATGTCTCCTCCATTTGGATACCATCCACTCATGCGATCGATCGATCCTCCACATACCAGGTCTTGCCAACGTTCAAGATGTTGACACCGTCGGCGCGAGTCTTCCAGAGGTAAGCTGCAGATTCAAGTCAAGTCAGAAATTTGTCCGTGCGATCGCAAGTCGTTCTAGCTTCGACATGTGTGGATATATCGATAGGGAGTGCATACGCTGCATGTGAACACCGAGGCTGTTCGCAATCGCACAAAGTCAGCATTTCTTGGTCTCATTTTCTCTCAGCCATGTCGCCGGCGAGGTAGATTTCGCAAAAACGCACTTCTTGGAGCCGATGTGGCACTGAGCAGCAAGGAGCTGCTCAATATCGGTGCTCGTGGCATTGAAGATGGAGGGGAGGTTAGCGGGCGCCATCTTGACTGATCTCTGGCCTTGCGGTGTGAGGACTGAGGAGGTGTCAGGAAGACGGCGTGGAGGGTGAATATATTTTTCTTCTAATTCAACCAGGCCAGCCAAAGTCGCGGGACGTCCGAGCTTTCTGCCTCTGATTTTCGCACACAAATTCAATTTTGTGGAGTGCCGCGAGTGCGCCGACTGCCCCGCCAGGGCTGTGCAGTTGGTTGACAGTTGACCGTGCCAAGCCATTGAAGCATGGTACGTATCCTTTACCTTGGTCATCAGGCCCGCATCCAATCAGGAGCTCCAAATACCTTTGGCCCCACTGAATCTCGACCTCGACAAGGCCTCTTTTCTGAATTTGCTTGTTTGCTCTACCCTGGATGGTCGGGCCTCAGGATGACCGTTGAGCTGGTCCACTTCACAGCCGGCAAAGCCAAATTGAGAGATGCGCTAGCCCCATCCTAGCCTAGCGCAATTGGAACCCAAATTTTGGTCCAGGTGCGGACCGACACGGGAAGTTGTTCAACATCGGCCGGACCGTGACCTGGAGGGACGAGGAGGGACCGCCGGGCCAAGCTGCGAGACTTGAAAGAAAGTTGTTGCGCCGACTTGCACTTCGAGACCGACCACGCCGGTGCACCTCCACCACCACCACCACCACCACCACACACCCAACCAACCAACCATGCCTCCCAGGTTACCTGGCCCTCAAGGGCTTCGCAGCCTCACACGTACGTGAGCTCTTATTTACCTTTAAACTTTTTGCCATGCCGTCCATGATGTCCCCCGCCAAACACACCTACGTACTGACATGTTGCTCTGGAAACGACAGTATGTCTTCGCCCCGCCGTCGCCTCTCCGGCGCAGGCCCTGCAACCTCTCATCCAAACCGCCAACATCTCCCAGAAAGAAAAGAAGCGTAAAATGAAGCAGGACCCTTACGGCTGGGCCCAGGCGCAACAGCGCAAGGCCGTCAACGTCAAGCGCCAGGCCGAGCTTCAGGCCCAACGCGACGCCGCATGGGGCGACCCGGTCAAGGGTATCACGACACCCTTCGTCGAGTCCTTCGACAGCGCCGGCCAGGCTTCCGTCTCTCCGCCCAAGGTCGGCCCCGACGGCCAGCTTGTTGAGGAACCCAAGCCCCTCCCGACCTCGCCGCACCTACGGAATTACCTGCTCAACAAGGACGAGTTCGACAGCGCCATTCAGTACGCCGAGCACATCTTGAAGCCCATCAAGGCCGAGGACCGCTCGACGGCCGACCCGGAGAAGGAGGACGAGGAGGCTCGCGAGCACGCCGCCAGACACGCCAAGGCCGTCGCCGCCCTCGAGCGTATCGCGAAGCTTGAGCATGGTGGTGCCAAGGACCGCAAGCACGCCAACATCCGCCGCTGCATCGAGACTTTCGGTCGCCACATTACAGATCAGAGCCTTGAGAGGCCGACGCCGCCGCTGGCGCGCGGAGTGGAGCCCAAGCCCCAGCCGGTGCGGGCAGGCCCGGACACGGGCAGCAGTGAGGTGCAGATCGCCATCCTGACGTCCAAGATCCGGGCGCTCAGCAAGGCGCTCGAGGGCCACGGCGGCAACAGAGATAAGAACAACAAGCGCAGTTTGCGGAGGCTGTGCCACAAGCGCCAAAGGCTGCTGAGGTACATGGAGCGCAAGGAGAGAGGCAGTGGAAGGTGGCATCACATGCTCGAGACCCTCGGTCTGACGCCCGCCACGTGGAAGGGTCAGATCACCCTCTAATGCATTCAACGCACCCGGTTCGGTTGTCGTGTGTGTTTGTGTGTGAGTGAGTGGAAGAAGATGTGATTTCCAGTCGTAGCATGAAAGCGTGTGTAACAAAACAAAGAGGCCTTCTCTATGTACAATACAACAATAAACAATAACCGGAGAAAACCAAGGGGCGCACGCGGGGGCAGGCCATGTCGATGATGATGATACCCCTTTTGTGTTCCCCAAGCGTCCAGATATAATACTTTGGCCATAACGCGCCCAATACGCCTTTTCTCCCCTTCCCATTTCTTGGTCATTGATAACATGCACTGACAACCCGGCTCAAGCAAAACATCGGGGGAGGACGAGGTTCCTCTGATAAAAATGCAACCTAAAAACCAAACCTCATTACGACAACTTACTGCTCTTTAGAAAACGCTGATGTAGTTGTTGATCCTCTCCTTCTGGTTCTGCGCTATGCACTCGGCGATCCAAGTGATATTGCGGATTTCCTATATGTCACATTAGTCAACAGAGGTTCAACGAACAACACAGGGGAACCCTAATCTCACCTGCTCTCTCAACTTGACCCACGCATACACTATGGCATAGGTGAACTGCCTTGTGAACGCCATCTTGGAGATCTCCATCTCCTTCTGGTAGAACATGTCCTCCAGACTCTTGCCCTCAGTTCCGCCACCGCCCATGTTACCGGGGCCGCTGGGACCGCCTCCGAGACCAGCAGCATCGAAGAACGACTTGTAATCAGCCACACCCTCAACAGCTAGCCTCACACCCTCGAAGTCATCTGCCCGCGACAACATGAGCGTTCCCTCCGGGTACAGCTGCCCAAAGTTAGGATAGAGCTTCTTACGGTCCGCCTTGGACAGCTCAGTGCCGAACGAGTTAAGAGTGATGTTGATAGCCCGCCTATCCGCCTCAAACTCCAGCAACTCCGACATCACCTCGGCAGTCGGGGTCCCGGCCATATCGGGGTGGGTGTTGACGAAGTGGTAAAAGTCCTCGAGGTAGTTCTTGTACAGCGTGTTGCGCACAATCTCGATGTTGAGCTCGTCCAGGTCCTGGAGCGACAGGCTGCTCTTAAAGTACGGGGCCAGTGGGGTCTCGATCATGACGCTGTTGTACAGCTCCTCGATGTTGGTGGCCACGCAGAGAACGGGCATAGTCTCGAACCAGCCGAGCGGGTGGCAGCGCTCGAGCAGTTCGCGCGTGTCGCGCTCGTGAAGGGTGCCCGTGATGAGCAGGGCGACGTTGTCGATCATGTAGCCGTAGGTGAGGTAGTCCATGAACTTGGCCAGGGAGCCGGCCGCGTTGGCGCGGACATAGCGGAACTCGGAGACCAGCTTGTCGGTGGTCTTGGCAGCGAGAGCGGAGGTCGAAGGCTTGGGCGGGAGAGAGGCGAGGAAGTCGCCGTATGCAGGTCCGAGTTGGAGTTTAAGGTCTGTGGGCAATGTTGTTAGGGCGATGTGGATGGAGGTGATATGGGTCGGGGATGGAGATGAGAGAGAGAGGCTCACCATCAATCGACTCGCATTGCGTCATGTTGGTATAGTTGGTGCTCGTCAACAGGCTGTTCCTGTATCCACGGACGATACCCTCAATGTAGCTGTTGATGAATGATGGTCAGCACTGGATCTGCAGATTAGAAATCAGACAACATACCCATTGTTGACGTTGAATAATAGGCCCTCCATGTTTGCGGTTGGAGTTGGAGGTGGTGATGTCGGGTTCAAGCGACCGAGTCCAGTGTTCAACAACAGCAGATGGATGGCACTCCCTGTCTGGGCTGCTCTTGTCGTTGTTGGAGCTCCAGTTGTCCATCGAGGTCACAGGCGGGCACACACACACACTCACGGCAGCGACAGGGCCGCGGGAAGGCTGCGACAGGGCGCCCACCATCGGCGCTTCAGAGAGAGGGTTGGACCGTGCATGACGGGTCTTGGCATCTCCAATTCAGAGCGGCCAGAGGCGAGGGTTGATGGAGAGAAAGTTGGCCGTTGAAAAGATACGTACAATAGCCGAGCTCGGGCCACCTCTGGCCTCTTCGACCCCACACCGGGCTCTGATTGGGGGAACGGGCGCCATGGATTTCGGTGAGTGGGCAGGCAGAGTGTGGGCAGAAGTGGGTGCTCCAAAGTCTGGTGGAAAAAAATTGTTCTTTGCTCTCGACTTTTTTCTCCCCTCGAGGCTCGTGGTGAATATCGCAAAAAAACAGCACACCCACTTGCTGTTTCCCAACGACAATTGCCAGCGCGTTCGGGATCCAAACACCAAACCGCAACCATGCCTCTCTTTATCCTAACAGAAACCAGTGCCGGGTAAGTGCCATCACATCAATTCACGTCCATACACAACGGCGGCGTCGTCCATGCCTGCATATGCGGAGGCTTCAAGTTTGAATCGTCCAATTCGGCTGCGATCAGACCGAGAGGTCTCCCCTTCCGTCTCGAAGTTCAACAAACACCTACCTACCATAGTTCAACATGTCTAACAATTCCCTACAGTTATGGCCTGTTCAAGGCGGCAGACAAGAAGCTGCTGTCCTCGGACAACCTCGCCGAGCGTCTCAACAGCGTTGAGAAGATCACCAAGGAGTAAGTTGCCTCGTCACATCATGGCAACAAGATGCAATTGACCAACACGCGTGTCCCTACAGGATCAAGTACAAGGAGTTCGCCAAGTTCGAGAGCGCCGCCACTGCCCTCGAGGAAATCGCTGGTGTTGTTGAGGGCAAGGTCACCCCTAAGCTGAACAGCCTGCTTGCCGAGATTGGAAATGAGAAGAAGGTCACCCTCGCCGTTGCCGAGAGCAAGCTCGGCGCTGCCATCAACAAGATCCCCAACCTCGACATCCAGCCCATTGCCGACTCCACCACCACCGACCTCTTCCGTGCCATCCGCCAGTACCTTCCCGAGCTCATTCCTGGCATGCTCCCCGAGAACTTCAAGGAGATGTCCCTCGGTCTCTCCCACTCGCTCTCGCGCCACAAGCTCAAGTTCTCCCCCGAGAAGGTCGATGTCATGATCGTCCACGCCGTCTCGCTCCTCGACGAGCTTGACAAGGAGCTCAACACCTACGCCATGCGTGTCAAGGAATGGTACGGCTGGCACTTCCCCGAGTTGGCCAAGATCCTTCCCGACAACCTCTCTTATGCTCGCATCATTGTCACCATGGGCATGCGTTCCAACGCCACGACTGCCGACTTGTCCGAGATTCTTCCCCACGAGATCGAGGCTGCCGTCAAGGCTGCCGCCGATATTTCCATGGGTACTGAGGTTTCCGAGGAGGATCTCCAGAACATCAAGTACCTCGCTGAGCGCGTCATCGACTACTCCGTTTACCGCAAGCAGCTCTCTGACTACCTCGAGAACCGCATGCGCGCTATTGCTCCCAACATGACCGAGCTTGTCGGCGCTCTTGTCGGTGCTCGTCTCATTGCCCACGCTGGTTCCGTCATGAACCTTGCCAAGAACCCCGGTTCCACCATCCAGATTCTCGGTGCCGAGAAGGCCCTTTTCCGTGCCCTCAAGACCAAGCACGCCACTCCCAAGTACGGTCTCATCTACCACGCTTCTCTCGTTGGCCAGGCTTCTGGTGCCAACAAGGGTAAGATGGCTCGTCAGCTCGCCTCCAAGGTGGCCCTCGGTGTCCGTACCGATGCTCTTGCCGAGTTCCCCGAGGATGCCGATGACGAGACTCGCGCCAGCCTTGGTATCCGCTCCCGTGCCAAGCTTGAGAACAACCTTCGTCAGCTCGAGGGCAAGCCCATTGCCAGCAAGGGCGTCTCTGTCGGCCCCAACGGTATCCCCGTCGCTTCTGCCCCCAAGTGGGACATCAAGGAGGCTCGCAAGTACAACATTGATGCTGACGGCTTGGCCGCTGATGCTGAGGCTCCCAAGAAGCCCCTCATCCAGGAGGTTGAGATGCAGGATGCTCCCGCCGATGAGGATGAGGAGATGAAGGATGTCTCCAAGAAGTCCAAGAAGGACAAGAAGGAGAAGAAGGACAAGAAGGACAAGAAGGCCAAGAAGGAGCTTGACGACGAGGACTTTGAGCGTCTTGCCAAGGCCGCTGGCATGTCTGTCGACAAGTTCAAGCGCCGTTTCGAGCGCGGCCAGATCAGCATCAAGGAGGACGGTACCCTCGAGATCCTTAGCAAGAAGGACTTCAAGGGCAAGGACGCCGAGGCCGAGGAAGAGGCTGAGGAGGAGGAGAAGCCTGCCAAGAAGTCCAAGAGCTCCAAGCGCAAGGCCGAGGCCGAAGAGGAGGAGACAACGAAAGAGGAGAAGCCCAAGAAGAAGAAGAAGAAGTCCAGCAAGGAGTGATCTCCTTTTCAAGTCTCATCTTGGGAGTTAATTACCGCTCCGTCTTCCCTTCTTCTTGTTTTGTTTGTCTGTATGATACACCTCCCGGCAAAATTTCGGCTTGTGGTTGATCTCTGGCGTTGGTAATGGGCAATGTGACGGCGTACTGGATGGAGCATTGATTTGAGTTTTAGACAAGAATATTGGTTTTATGTTGTTTATAAAGCGACTCGATTCTCATTTGGATCTAAAAAGGGGGCATTGAGACAGGTGCAGCGGTGGTGATACGCTGCGGCCCGGTTCTTGTCAACGGTTGGCGGAGGCCCGAAGTTGTATTCCTACCTACCTAAATAGCCTCCGTCTGCTGAAGCTTGAAATCGATTGACAGTCAGTAATCCATTGTTGATTCGAGAAGTGAGATCTTGTTCACCTTGACTTTACCTCGAAGTATCGGGCCCTTCCCATGGTGTTGACGTCCGAATTCTAATTTTTATGGTCCTTATCTTATCGCCTCGAGCCCATCGCAATAGCCCCACTAAAATTCCGTCACTGAGCCAAGGAGCGGTCTTCAGCCAGCAGTCGAAGGTCCCTTGCTGCCCTTCGTTTATTTACACCCCATCATTCTTCCCTTCTTCTTCCCTTTACAACAAGAAACTACAAAACCCCCACAACTGCCGTCATGGCAGACTCGGACCGACCAAGGTCGCGTTCGCGATCACCATCGCGCAAACCAAAAATCAACACAGGGGGATTCAAATGGAAGCAAAAGTCCAGCACCAGTTATGACGACAACCAAGACCGCGCCGGTCTGCAGCGCGGCTACAGGGACCGCTCACCCAGGAGGAATCGTGATCGGGATGATGATCGCAACAGAGACAGAGACTTTGGTCGAGACCACGACCGCTCACCACGCAGGAGAGATGACCGCGACCGTGATAGGGACCAAAGAGGAGGAGGAGGAGGAGGAGGAGGAGGAGATCGCTACAGGGACAGAGACAGGAGAGACCGATCCCGCGACCGCCGCGACCGCTCACCAAGGAGAAGAGACGACGGCGACAGATACCGTGACCGTGACCGTGATCGTTCACCCCGCCGCAACAACAACAGCTCACCTCGCCGCGACCGAGACCGATCCCCTCGTCGTGACCGCCCTGACCGGCCCAAGAAAGAAAAGCCAGCAGCAGCAGCTCCTGCCCCAACATCAGGTGGCGGTGGAGAAGAAATGATTATAGTAACAGTCAACGACCGACTCGGTACCAAGGCGCAAATCCCCGCTTTCCCCTCGGACACGATCAAGCAGTTCAAGGTCATGGTGGCGATGCGGGTCGGTCGCGAGCCGCATGAGATCCTGCTGAAGAGGCAGGGCGAGAGACCGTTTAAGGATCAGCTGAGCTTGGCGGACTATGGAGTTAGTAACGGGGTGCAGATTGATTTGGAGGTTGATACTGGTGATTAAGGGAACCCTAATGGGGGAATGACATGTCGCGTCGTGGATACCCAGGTTGGCAAGCCAGCACACCATTTGTCGTGGTTAGAGTTATATGGCGAAAACGTTGGAATTATTGTATGGACTTTGCGTGGAAATGATACGAGACAGGACTTGGGCGAAACGAAGTGGTATAGTAATCATCAAACCTAGCTACTCGCTCAACGAATAGACTACTTACAAAGTCAACCCCAGATTCCATGAAAAGATATTCCCTCCAAAAAAGAAAAGTAAACCAAATCGCCCACAACACCCAACGATGTGATCACGATTAATCACAACCCATCACTCATAAATCCCTACATCTGTCTCCCAAAACTCTCACCACCCATCACTATCCTCCCCTTTTCCGTCCCCTCCCCCAACAAAACTCCCCGGCATCCCAACACCTCCTCCAGTCCCAGTCCCACCATCCCTCTCCAGCACCTTCCTCCTGTTCCTCTCCCTCTCCCTCTCCTCTCTTCTACTTCCGCCCCCAGTCTTCGTCTCTCCTCCTTCCCCGTGCCCTTGCCCTTGCCCTTGTCCCTGTGCCTGTCCCTGTCCCTGTCCAACACTCACAATCGAACCAGGAGCAGCAACCTTGCTATATTCAGGCGGATCTCCCGGGCTTTCAGCACCACCGTTACCATTACCGTTAACCAGAGAACCATTCACTATCCTTGCTGCGCCGATATTCTCATTATCAGAGAGAGCAGACACGGCTTCACTAGATAGGGAACTTCTACCACTACCACTTCCTCCTCCTGGTTCTTTATTATGGATATCATTGTGTAGACTGCGATAGCTTCGATGGCTCTGGTTGGTATGATGGCTGACGTGGCTTAGATGGCTATTGAGGCTGCTGGGATTGAGATTGGGGGGGAGGTGGTGGTCATTTAAGTCGTCGTCGTCGTCGTCGTCGTTATCTTCGTTGTCGTCATTGTCCAGGTCGGGATCAGGATCGTCGACGTGAGCCTGATAAGCCTGACGGGCGTGTTGCCGGGCGACGACTTGGTTGAGCTGGAACCGGAGAGGGTCATCACGAGAATGGTCGAGCAACTCGTCAGGGTGTTCGTCAGGGGGAATGAGGATTTCGTGGGCGTGACCGTTGTGGAGGAGGATGGAATTTGCGCGCTGGCCCGGACCGGGACGGATGGAGGTGAGGGATTGTTGGGAGAGGCGGCGGGGGAAGGTGGGGGGTTGTGCCGGGTTTGGGCGGGTCGTCATGGTGGTTGGTTGGCCGGTGGTGGATGTGGGTGAGTCTTTGGGAGAGGAGGAGGATCCGCCGCGGGCTTTGAGTTCGCCTTGGGTGATGTAGTGGGCTTTGAGGTCTGTTGAATTGTGTTAGTACTGATGAGGAGAAAGCACAGACGAGGTGGTGGAGGGGGTTTGAGTAGGGGGTAAATAAGGGTTAAGAGGTTGGGAACGTACGATCGAGACAGAAGCCCTCGACGATAACTTTTTCGTGGCATTTGGGTTTTGAGCAACCATCTGTTGTTTTGTCAGCACTTCAGTTTCTGCTTGGACAAAGCCCTCATGATAGGAGAAGAGGGATGGGACATACGAGTCCTGCAAAAGATGGCTAAGCGGTCGACGAACTCGGGACAATCTTGGGCACGACAAGTGTCTACAACTTCGTCAGTATCTCTGGTCTCCAAGGGTCTGGGGTCCCCGAGTGACTTACGCAACGGGCAGAATTTTCCCCTTGGGTTTGGACTAGCTGCCCAAGGTTTTGGATATCGACAGTTGACCTCCGCGCAGCAGTCTGTTCCATGTCAACATGAGTTCCAACTTCATCATCCAGCCAGGGACAAGAACAAGGGCAACTCACGCTCACTGCAAAACGGCTTCGACTGGCTACTTTTGCTACAGCCCCTCTCCCTACATGTATGATTTGCGCAGTAAAGCGATTGCTCGATCTTCATGTCTTTGCAACGGTTTACCGCGCAAGTCGCATCTGATTGTCGGAGTTTAGCAATTGTTTCAAGCAGTGAATGGTTGGATCAAAACAATACTCACGATCGACGCAGAACCTGAGGTACTCCTTCGTGTCGGCGACATTATGCCTTGCTCTGTTGCAATTACTGATGTCACATTTGATGTCTTTCAGATAGTGTTTGTCAGTGGGTTGGCTTAACTACCTCTACCTAGGTAGAGCGAGTGTGATGACTGACGGATGGCACAATAGGGATATTTCCCCTCGACTATCGTTCCACATCCATCCTGCTGGCATTGGTCTGAAGGGAGATGACGACGGTGTCAGTCTTCACGAAAATTATACCCATCATATCCCAAATTTAAGGCAACAGTATATAGATGACTCACGCTCTTCACAGCAAATCTGTTTCTCAAGAACCAGTTTCTTACATCCATCGGCACGACATCCATCTTCATAGACACTCGCTTGTCAGCACTTTTCTTGACTTGAGTCGATTGAAAGATTTAAGCAAAAGCTTGACACTCACGTTCCTTGCAATAGCTAGCCTTGGCCGATGGTTTTCGACGAGGACACCTTCGAATAGTGCACTTGTCTTTGGAGGGAGGTACCCTTTCACATCAGCACAAGTCCCAAACAAACAGCCTCTGGACGTCCAGCAATAAGACTCACGATCAGCACAGTACTCCCACCTCTGGTACACCGGCAGAGAATCACCATGTCTCGATTCGTAGGCTGGATCCAAATACTGAAGTCTCGCCTGGCTGCATTCGGGAACGGGACATCTCGCGTCTATTATAGACATCATATGTTGATCAGTTACAAAGTCGTCCAATGGATGATGGGAAAGAGGACAGTAGATAGTGGAGAGGCAAAGAGGTGAGGTAACCTACGATAAGCACAAACAGCATCATGCGACGGCTTCAGCTGCGTACAAGTCTCGTCATCTCTGAAGAAGTGGGTGCAGGTGTCTATTGTCTCAGTCACCAATGTTAGAACGATGGAGATTTTCATCTGCACATTACTCAGAACAACAGATAGACAGTATGCAGTGCGGATTATAAAAGACAAAAAGAATAGGGTGGGCTAACGAGCTTGACAAAAAGGCGACGCAACAGTCGATGACGCCCCGGCATTCGAATACCGATGTTGATGACCATACCCTCCTCCACCCGCAGCTCCAGCTCCAGCCGGCGATCCTCTGCCCTGCAGAGTGTGGCCATTTCTATCTCTGATGATACTGGCCCGGCGCTCAAGAGGGTCGACGTAGCCTCCTCCTGAGCCTCCTCCTGAGTCGACGGTCTTGAAGAGGACTTCGTGCGGACATCCTTCGAGTCGGCACATGAGTTGGCCTTTGCTTCGGTGGTTCATGGTCGGTAGTACCCTACCTAGGTACGGTAGTAGGAGATCCTGGAATATGGGTGATGATGAGGAAGGATGGTTTTAATCGGTAGGTTGCCGACCTGGTCTCGACTAGATGGCCTGGCCTCGATCAATGAATGGGTTGGGTAAGAACAACCGGAGTGAACCAAGACCGAGTGGTTCAGGTTCTGGTTGTCCAGTTCGTCCAGGTCGAATTGTTCGAGTCACAGATTAGAAAGACACAAAAGAGTTGGAGAAGAATGGAATAACAAACCGACGCAAACAGTATCCGTTGCCCACGGTCAAGGTAAAGGTCAGGTGAGACGATAAGGTAGATAGGAGACTGGGAAAGAAAAAGATAACAGGGCCCTAGTCAAGTCAAGTCAAGTCAAGTCAAGGGAGGACGCAAGGCGAGGTCATGAGCTTCGTGCGGACCGGTGAACTGGTTACAGTAGTATCTGCCAAACAGACAGACTGGCCAGGCACACAAAGACATGTCAAGCAGGCAAGGGGGAGGGAAGGGGTAGGAGGAATGTCAGAACCCTGAAAAGAAAACAGGAATGAAACACTGAATGCGCAAGCAAAGCAGATTAGTACTGAGACCACTCACGTCCTCATGTCAAGTCTAGGTAGTCAAGTCAGAGGAGCCTTTCGGTACGTGGGTAGCTACCTACCTAGGTATGTTACCCAGGCACACCACGTTGTGATCAGCCCTGCCTCCCCTGCCTCCCTTCACCCCTGTACATTTGTAGGAGCTAGGTTCAAGTTGTTGTGTTGATGTTTCACTTGGTTGCCGTTCGGAACCACATTGGCGGGGCATCCGCATCTTTCCACCTTAACTGCACCTTTCATTCAACACCCCACGGCTTTTTTTTTTTTTTTTTTTTTTTTTTTTTTTTTTTTTTTTTTTCATGTTCTTGTTGGCTTGCCCTGACTTCGTTGAGCCGGCTGTCAAAACAAAGAAAATGAAATCCAGGAGGCTAGGACACCACCACCACCTACCTACCTACCTACCTATCTCGGGACGCAATTTCTCTCTCCAATGCACATCAAAAAGTATCGATGCCTCTCGATTGGTGAATGGTCACGACACGCGCCCACTCAGATCTCTAAACATGTTTGGTTGTTGGAGGGAGCCATCTGACTGGTGACTGCAATGACTGTTTGGTATCTTTCTTCTCCTTTCCCCGCGCCCTCACACACACACACACACACACACACACACACACACACACACACACACACCACACACCACACGCATGATCCGTGACATTCGGGGGCGGGCGTTTGAGAAATGGCTGGGGATTATTTTTGACGGGAACCAATGGAAAAGCTGCTTGATGTTGTTTTCCTGGAGAGAGAAAGACTCGCTCGCTGCAAATGATAGGTAGATAGATAGGCGAGGAGAGCAGGAACACTCCCCCGCCTCCGGTATTCTTTTTCAACTTTCCACTGGCGGCGACTTACTAAATAAACGAGTGGGATGTTGTGAATGTGAAAAGCATAAAAATGCAAGCGCCCGGCCAGCCAACGGGTGACGACTGAAATTGTCAAAGAGCGGGGATGATCAGAAAGGCAGAAATGCTTGACGCTGTCGATAAATAAAAAGTATGAAGCACATTCCATCACTTTCTCCATCTCCGTCTGATCTTATCGTCCTCGTCGGTCATCTTCTCCGGAGTCCTTTGATAAGGACGCACTTGCGCAAAAGAAAAGAAAACTTTAATCGATGCAGACTTTAAGTACATATCACTTTTTATCATCGGCGTTGGGTGTGGGGGAGGGGGATGGTCGCTTGATGACGATGATCCTGCCCCGAAAGAGAATGGAGGGATGCAAGTCATATCGAGGCCCCCATCACGTGGAAGCGTATCATCCTCGTGCTGGATGCTGGTCGCGTGTGCAAGTGGTGAGACGCGGTTACGTGCGACCCGGTCAGTTTGGTGTAAGATACTTTGAAGACAACGACTGGAATACCGTCAGCACTTGACTCGACATCCTGACAAGTCCCGTCGACCCCGATCAAATATAAGGACGCCCTATCATAAAGCATGGTCACACACAAACACCAGCAACGTCGCTCAAAACAGACTCCTCATCAGATCCATCGGCAATTCATCCTTCAGCTTCATTATGGTACATCCACATCTGTCTTGCGCCATTTCGGCGGCGCGGCCTCTCCCTTCCTTCCTTCCTTCCTTTAATTCTTTCTGTCGTTATCATGCAAGGTATTCCGGGGGTAACAAATAAAACAAGGTTAACCACCATTTAGTCATCCGTTTCTCCGTAACCCCTTTGCGCTTGCCCAATTTTTAATGTACAATACAGACCAATGAAGCAAATCCATGCTATAGCGCAATATGAACTTTTTTGATCATGAGAACGCCCAAGATCCCAGAGCAAAAATGCATACGCTCACACAAATAGATGCCAGACGAGATCAACCCGAGAAAAAAAAAAAAGGACAGTTAAGCTCAAACAGGCCAGCCAGATTCCGCAGGCCAACCGGATTTGGCAGACCAATCAGTTTCAACAGGCCAGCCAGACTCCATCGCGACAGGCTCGGGACGTCCAGACTCCTAGTGCTGCTCGTCACCACCCGCGCGAGGAGGGCGAGGGCCTCCACGACCGCCACGAGGACCGCCACGGCCACGGCCACGGCCACGTCCATCGCCACGTCCACGGTAGCCACCACGGCCGCGGTAGCCTTGCTGCTGAGGACCACGCTTGCCCTGGACGGACTGGAAGCCGTCATCAGCACCAGTAGGGGTACCGGCAGTCTCGGGATGATCGTCAGCCCACGACTGGGTGTTGGAAGGCGCGGCAGGGGTAGCCTCAAGGCCCTTCTCGGTCTCAGCGGGATCGCGCTGGACCTCGACCCACTCCTGAGAACCGGTCATGTCGGTAGAGGCAGCGGCCGAGCCAGAAGCATCCCAGCCGCTCTCGGCAGCAGGGTTGGCAGTGCTGTCGCCGGCATCGGTCTGGGCGGGGGCACCGCCAGTAGCAGGCTGCTCTTGGGTGTTTCCGTTGGTCAAAGCAACAGCGGAGCCATCGTCAATTTCGGTAAGGCCAGCGTTGGCAACAGTAAGATCGGTCTGGGGTTCCTGCTTGGACTCGACAGCCTCAGTCTCAGCGGGCTTGGTCTCGGCGGGGGCCTCGGTCTCGGTCTCGGTGGTCTGGGCAACGGGCTCCTCAGCGGCGGGCTGGGAGAAGGGAGCCGCATAGGCAATAGCGACCTGCTTAACCTGGGCAACTGCAAAAACGGAGTGAGGTTAGTATGTATGGAAGGCGGGCTACATGTGCTAGTGGAGGGGTGCTTACAGGTAGTCTTGAGCAGCTCACCAGTAGTGCTGCGAGTCTGCTCCTCGGCACCCTGGACGAGCTTCAGCATGTTCTTGACAGCATTCTCGTCGCCGGAGTAGATGTGGAGCAGGACACCTTCGAGAGCCATATTCTCGTCGGCAGTGCTGTCGGCATCCTCAGCGCGACGGGCCGCGGCGAGGCGGAGGAACTGAGAGAGGTGGAGCAAGCTGTCGTGGAGCTTCTTGTCGGCATCGGCCTCGGCCTTCTTCTCGAGCTCAGCAATAAGGTCGGCCTTTTCCTGGGCAAACTTGTCGGCGAGGGCCTTCTCCTGCTCGGCCAGGCGGATCTTGTGCTCAGCATCAAGCTTTCTGAGGAGAGCAAGCTGCTCGTCGAGCTGGAAGAGCTGGGCCTGCAGGGCAGGCTTCTTGAGGTATGCGGCCTTTTGGTCGGCATTGATGATCTTGAGAGACACCAGGTCGTCAAGGGACTTGCTGCCGTGCTCAGCTACCAGGTGGTCGATCTTGGAAGCATTGGTCTAGATTGAGGAAAATGATGTCAGTCTCTAGTGCAATGGCGTGGCATGTCAGTGTGAGTATAGAAACCTACGATCTTCTTGGACACATTGCGAATAGCCCTATACAAGAAAGAAGAGACAAGTGTCAGCAGCTAGTAGAGCCAGTTGATGGGATAGAGGAGGGAACGCACTTTTGGATCTCGCGAATATGGGGGTTGGACGAGTCGCCCTCCTGAGACGGCTCGTTGCCAGCAGCGAGAGAAGCGGGCTTGTCTGGGGTCGAAGAGGTAGCGAGGGCGGGGGACTCGGTGCCCTGCTTGGCCTTTTTCTTCTTGGCCGACTTGGACTCGGTCGCGACCGGAGGGTTCTGGACGGCGGCGGCAGTCATCATGTGTAGTGTTGTTGTGGATGGGATCGTTTGTCAACGAAGCTTGTGGTGGTTACGCGGTGTGAATGTAGCTTGGTTCGTTCAGTTGCTTGGGGACAAGGCTCCAACGGTATGTCGGGCTACCTATGATGCTCCTTTGCGGGGTTGCGTTTCTTGACTGCGTGCTGATGCGAAGAGGGAGAAAAGGAGAATAGCGGTAGAAGAGCTTGTTGAGTTGTTTGCGGAAGAAGGTGTGGTGGTGGGTTTGTTTTGTTGTTTGGCGGAAGGAAGGGTGGGCGGGACGGGAAGGCGGCGGGCGGCGGGACAGCTCAGCTGCTGACGTTCGACATTTTTGGAGCTCTCTCCGTCCGCGGGCAGTCAGGAGAAGGAGTGGAGACAGCGATTCCCGCCCAGGGCACGGCAGGCGGGCACCACCTAGGTAAGTACCTAAGAGCCGGGCAGTTGCTGATGCCTTTCTGGCGGGCGGTCGACGGCTGGGCGGAGGAGTCGGGCACAACGGGGGACCTCCTGAAGCTAGGTACCTACCTACAGGCAACTGAGGCTACCATCGGGTTCCGTCTGGGGTTGGAGCCCACAGAGCCCGACGAGGGACAGGCACAGAAGCCTGGAGAAAGACCAAGAATCTCACCTAGCCCCATCACAGGCTTGAACGGCGGTCCATGCAGTTACCTACTTACCTAGTTACTTGGTAGTACATAGTGTACTGTCCATATTTCACCAAATTTCAACATAGATACACTATGATAGAATTCTTGGGAATCACCATGAATCTTGATTTTACCATTACGACTAAGTATGTCGAGTTGTCTTCCCCCGCACTCCATCCAACTTGTCATGTACGAGCCGACTGTTGTCACCACATCCACGAATGAGGACGTGTACAAGTCCATGTATGCACTCATACCCTATTGAAAACTGATAGGTCGTCGAAACCATTCTCCCGTTTGCTTCACCTCCAACGGGATCCCTTTGACGGTGGGGGTAACCAGCCCGTGTGTTGTCAACCCTTGAACTTGGCAAGAGTGTCCTATTGCAGCAAAATGTCAACAAAAGGGGGTCCCAAAAAGGGGGCGTGGTTGTGGGGAAGAAGAAAACTGACCGCAGTGACTTTCTTGACACTCCGACCTGTGATGCCCCGTTCACCCCCTTGCTTGGCTTCGATGGTAGCCTCCTTCATGAGGCTGTCAGAGTGTTAGCGTGATGCCGTTTCAGAAGGTGTAAGAAAGTGGTTCCTACGTTTGCATGAACAAAACATAATCGAGATAGATCTACCGCAAAGACCATGTTAGTGCGACGCGTTGGATTTTGGGAATAGTGGCATGTATTTTGACTTACCATGACATCGACATTTTTGCTAACATTGCAGTTAGCGTGGGCCTTGACAATCTTCTTGACCGTCGCCCGCGGGTATGCTTTTTGACCGGGCATATTTCCGCCCAACTTCTTGCAGTGGATTTGGATGTCGCGACAAGACCTAGGATGTCCCCGATACCATGTCCTTTGCTGCTTTGAAAAGGCCAATCGTGCCCGTATGGTACCTAGGTAGTTGATGTTGATGGTCGCCATCAGATGTGTTGTTTTGATGTTTTGGCGCTGCGCAGAGGACTTAGCACTAACACAAAGATTCTGACCAATCGGGTAGAAGAGCCTTAGCCCCACCATGAGGTACCTGGGTACTTGCCCCCCTTGGCGTCGATGAACAGCTCGCTGTGCCCCTGATGGATTCCAGGCAGGTGGGGTCAGACGGAGCTTCGACGTCGCTTCGGTCGCTCCCTCGTCAGAGGTCGTCACCACCCAACGACCCTATCTACCGTACCGTTATCAAACATCACCAACCAACCCCACCGGCACAATGAACCGTCGCATGGTAAGTCCTTGGTCCATCAAGTCTGCTCTCTCGCCCTCGTCGCTAACCACCCCCTCAAACAGTTGAGTAAAGAGGACGAGGAGGCGGCCGGCGACGAGATCGAGGTCCGTCGCGAGGACCAGGACAAGATCAACAGGTTCAGCCGATTGCACCAGCGCGAACTCGCCCTCGAAGAGGAGCTCAAGAACAAGAACAAGGAGAAGGAGGAGCTCGACGATTTGGAAACCGAGCTCGAGCTTGTCGAGGACGAGGACGAGCTTGTCCAGTAAGTTGCCACAGCCAGCACGACACCTAGCTAGACACATGCTGAGACTCGACAAAAGGTACAAGATCGGCGATTCCTTTTTCCACATTCCCCTCGAACAAGCCAAGGAGATGCTCGGCATCGCGGCCGCAAAACTCATCAAGGAGATCGAAGCCCTCGATGACAAGCTTGAGACCATCCGCAAGGAGATGACTGGGCTCAAGGTGGAATTGTACGCAAGATTTGGAAAGACAATCAACCTCGAGACATGAGATCATGCCCGCAAACCATTTTGCCGCCTTACATCACTTTCGACGAGTGTGAATAATGCTTCCGTGTACAACACTGGCAACAGTTCCATCGACCAGGGCTGAGCAGTCGCTACCAACTTATACCACGTCAGCAACATGATCAAACTCTTGGGCAATTTACTGGATATAGCGTGGATGTTATGTCACCCAAAGTCCCTCAGGTAGAGGCCAGACTCTTTTCGTGGTGCCGGCAGGTCAAATGCCCAATGAAGCATGTTTGCAGCTCGCAGCGCCTGTACTGCAAGCCGCTCGCTGCCGGGCCTCGGCCCTATCACCATATTCCACTGTCAACGGCTGGCTGTCAGTGGGAATCAGAAACACACTGTAAGCCTTTCCAAGTCAATCCAGCAACTCGGTCCCCGCGCCCTTACCGTACTGACTGAAGCAGGTAATATAGCTGATGTCAACCTGGGGCCTCATAGACTTCTTATCTTGGCGATCAATGCCGGAATATGCATTTGCTACTACTTGAATAGTTGGAGATGCGAGAATCGCATGTTCCATGCGCTGAGGTGTGCTTCAAGCAGGAACGAACCTGACGCCTTGCCGTTGCTTCGGCAGCTGAATATGTGCCAACCACCCGATTCTCGTTCTACCACCTTACTCTCACTCTATCGAACGAAATCGTTGCCGCGGATGGCTTGCCTTAGTCCAGGATACGACCTCAGAATCGCCAGTCTCTAACCTGCGTTCACTGGCATGGCCGGCCCATGGAATGCTGACCACTGTTCCCTTTGATCAGTACAGCTCGAGCCAAGAATCTGCCGATTTTCGAATGAATTTTTTCTCGATGTCCATGACAGAGTTTCCTGAAGTCGATCTGGAAAAACGGCCTGAGGCTGCAGACCGTGGCGAACAGATATATATATATATATATATAGATATTGGCCCTCGACGTTCAAGTGACGATACCCCAAATCCAACCAGTTGGAAACAACCACACCCACGGTTATGCTTCATCTCCGCAGGCCCCATCGAGCTCCAAGTGCTGACCGAGTCGACTCCGTCACCCTTCCCCGTCTGTCGACAATTCCTCGGCCGTTGGGATAAATCGGGGATTGTACATCACGAACGTCATGTCCACGTCGAGACTATCCCGTTTGTTGTCCCTGAAGACCTTATCCTTTTCACATGCCCAGCTCAACTCCTCTTGCGCCACAGGCTACCACCATGCTGGCAACGTCAGCAACCCCTCTATCCTTGGCCATCTAGCTGGGACACTTGTCCTCCAACGAGTAAGTCGCTGAAGCTTGATCTGGGGACTTTCATCGTTTTGAGGTGAGCGTGCTTTGCTCAACGAAATATCACTTGGACAGATGAAATAATGATGTGACTGACTTGTGGCTTGTTAGTTCACCAGCTGTTACCCTGCACATCCTCGGATATCATCACTTCCATTATCGAATCTCCGTCCCGACATGCATACACTATATCTGTTCGAGCATGTATGACATATTCTTTCTTCATGACGATTTATCATGGGCGAGACACATGCTTCGCTTCTTGTTTCGTGACTCTGCTGTAATGGTATCTGAACAAGATGACAACTCTATATCACCTCTTTTTCTCCATCGCTCGCCCGGTGTCTAGTTTTGGAAATGACTCTTTTTGTGTTCGTCTTGACTATTGTGGAACGACCTGACCTTCAAAGAACCATCGACCTCTCCGCTCCATTGAGTGGTCTGATGACCTCCATACTTTCGTACCATGTCACACAATCTCCAAGAGAGCCCCGGTGATGATGATCGTCGGCAATCTCAACCCACCGAAGCAGAACATGGGAATTCGAGATATGAAGACCAAGTTGATTCTGGTTTCGTGCAACAGCCTGAAAACACGGATGGCACACTACAGTCCAGCAAAAACAAGGAATCCCTCCGTAACAAGAAGTCTACGGAGCCGAGGAAGTTCTATCTCGTAACCCACAACTCGGGAGACGACGAGAGGCACCGTGGGAGCGAGTCTTCATACTCGTATGAGTCAGTGAATCTTGAACAACCCTTTCGCTTCGGCGAGTTCAATCCACTCGTTGGAGAATCTTTACCTTCTCTGTCGATACGGGACAGTACTAGTGGTGAGCGCACATATGCTTCTCCGTTACATGAGCGCTTCTGCTAACCGATCCAACAGCTCCCAGAGCCAGCTTTCCAGACCCGGCAACCATCCTCATCAGCGGACATGCCAGTTCTTCATCCTCGTTCCACGAAAAGCCAACCACTGTTGAGCCACGGGGAATTCCCTCCCAACTCCTGCCCCGAGCCAGCAGCATAACCAGCTTCGGCTTCATCGACGACGGTGAAGACACCATCATCTCCTGGGAAGAAAATGACCCAGAAAACCCGTACAACTGGTCCTCCGGCAGGAAAGCCGCCATCTTGCTGATGGCCGTCATGTTGATCCTCAACTCGTCCATGGGCAGCGCCCTGCCCAGCAACGCCATCCCCTTTATTGTGGAGGAGTGGAAGATCGAGTCGGAGCAGGAGACGGTTCTGCCCATTTCCATCTACCTGATCGGTGAGGCCTTGCAGTATTTTAGTTATTTCTCGCAAAGACTGACGGATTTAGGCTACGTGATGGGTCCGATCTTGTGGGCGCCGCTAAGCGAGCAGTATGGGCGCAGGAGACTGAGTATCGGGACGTTTGCCATGTTTACTTTGTTTACGTTGGCGTGTGCATTGGCTCCTCATTGGATTTCCTTTATAATTTTCAGACTGTTTTCGGGCATCTTTGCTAGTGCGCCTATTGCGCTGGTGCCGGGGATTATTGCGGATATTTACAATGAACCGAGGCAGCGTGGGAGAAGCATGGGGATTTTTATGGCTGTCAGTTTCCCTTGCCCCTTTCCCATCCACACAACCACTGACCCCCCCTTCCCTCACAGACTACAGTCTTCGGCCCTCTCATCGCCCCCATCATCTCCGGCTACGCCGCCACCACCATCGGCTGGCGCTGGGCCTTCTGGATCGGCCTCATGTACGCCGGCCTGACCCTCCTCCCTCTGTTCTTTTTGTTGCCCGAAACCTACGGCCCCATCCTCCTCCTCCGTCGCGCCCAGCACCTCCGGCTCACCAACCCCAACGCCCACGTCATCGCCCCCCGCGAACTCGAAGACACCCAACACTCCCTGTCCGAACTCACCACCATCGTCCTAACCCGGCCCATCCGCATGATCCTCATGGAACCCATCGTCTCCACCAGCTGCGCTTACATCTCCCTCTGCTACGCCATCTTCTACATGACCTTTGAAGCCTACCCCTTCATCTTCATCGACCTCTACGGCCTCACCCCGGGCCAATGTGGGCTCACGTACCTCGCCATCGGCGTCGGCTGCTTGATTGCCTTGCCCATCTTCATGGCATGGGACTCCATCCTCACTCGCGCCCGGCACCGCAACGCAGCCTGGACTCGCCAGGAAGAATACCGTCGCTTGCCACTCGCTTGCCTCGGCGGCCCCATGTTCGTCGTCAGTCTCTTCTGGCTGGGCTTTACTTCCCGTTCCCCTTCCATCATCCCGTTCTGGATCCCCATGCTAAGCGGGATCCCCTTCGGCATGGGCTTCATGTGCGTCTTCCAGGCGCTGCTGAACTACCTAACAGACGCGTACGAGATCTTCGCTGCGTCAGCGAATGCGGCGGCTTCGTGCTCGCGGTCGTTGCTTGCGACGCTCTTACCGTTGGCGACGGCGCCCATGTTTCATCGCCTGGGAATTGCGGGCGCGTGTTCGTTGTTGGGCGGATTGAGTCTGTTGATGACGATGATGCCGTTTATTTTTCTGTGGCAGGGGGAGAAGATTAGAAGGAATTCCAAGTTTTGTTTGTTGTTGAGGGAACGGAGGGAGGAGATGGAGAGGAAGATCGAGGAGCAGAAGAGAAGGAGGACGGGGATCATGACGATGAGGATGAGTGGTGTGCCGCCGCCGTCGTCGTCGTCTGCTGCTGCTGCTGGCTTAAGATTCTCAGCTTATGGAGAGGGTTTGGCGCGGACGGAGACGAGGGGGGAGGCGGGGAGGGTGCTGGGTGGAGGAGGAGGGGGGTTATGGCTATGGCTATGGGAGATATTGCGGAGGAGGAACAGCAAGGATTTAAGAAGGATGTGGAAAAGGGGGACATGGACAAGGGGAAGGAGATGGAGATGGAGATGGAGATGGAAGGGAGGAGGAGTTCTTCAAGTGGCAGCAACTACTCAAGCCACAGTGAACGGCGAGGTATTCAGGCCGATGGGATTTTACATGCGGATGATGGTGGGAGGAGGACTGGCGATGTGGCGAATCATGGTTTTGAGTGTCCGGATTACGGAGGAGCTGATGAGGTGGGCGAGTCATCGTTCAGTCACGACCATGATCCTCCGCCTGGTTCAGGTTCAAGAAGTGGTGGCTCGTCATCTACCGTGGCGGTTAGTCCTCCGCCGCCTCGGATCAGTGATACACCTCATGATGAAGATGACAGTGATGATGATGGAGGGGGGAAGTTAAATGGAGACGGGCTTGTTGTTGGAGGTCGGGAAGGAAACGAAGGAAGAAGGATGAATGAATAATAGGATTCGCGGATGTTATGATACAATAACTAAGAAAGATAGATACTAACCAAGGAAAGAAATTGAAATTAAGAAAAATAGAAAAAACATGAGTGTTTAGCATCGGTTAGTAGTGTTCGAACGCGCACCACCTACCTAGAGGTATTCGTTCTACTTCCGCGAAGGAAGATACTACGACAACTTGAGTGATTTAAGTGTAGGTAAAGAAGAAACAACGAGCATCATGGCGAGAAAAATGCGAGTGTTTGGTTACTTACACTTGATGGACAAATGTCACTGGTGTTCAATATGGAATGAAAGAAATCCTTGATGTAGAGGATGACCTTTCGGCTGATAATCGCTCAAATACTATACCTCTTGTTTTACTAACACAGCTGCTGTAAGTCGTTACATCCGAGAAAACTTGTCATTACTTGTTTCCCATACCACAAGTAATGACCAGTAACGCAAAGACAATGAGGCCCAGTTCCGCCTGGTTATAATCACACTCTTTTGGCGTGGTCATCAGGCCTTTCAACCTTTGCAGAACCACCAAACACTAGAAATGCACGTTGATTCTCTGCTCCGCACAATACTTAACACTTGAGAATCCATCATGAGATGAAGCTAAGAAGGCACGAAACAACAAAAATATAGATATGCTTGCTCTTTGAAAACCAGTGATGGTTCACTTCTTCCCCTTTTCCCTACACATTGCCGGTGGCTATCTCCTGGATTGAAAGCGAGTTCTCCAGATGAGATCTGCGCTTGATGTGTTTGGGAAACACTTGATCACTATCGTCTGACTCGTTTGCATCATCAATAGTCTGCGAATCATTCGGACCACTCCAGGTATTGTACTTTGAGGAGCCAGAAGTGGCCGAATCACTCTGACACTGGCCATTTTCATCCGAAAATCTGACCTGATGCGTTCTCAGCACCAATGTTGTATCACTCTTGACCGAACTCAGGTCGGTAATTTTGATTTCTGGCACAACCGCTTTGTTCAAAATGGGGATAGACGACTGACGACTGGACTCTGGCGAGTACGACCGCGGAAAGGAGTGAAAAGAAGCATCGTTGAGAGAGGGAGAGCTGAGTGGCGTCGCAAACTTGTCAGTGGTAGCTGATGAATCCCCTCCACGACTTCTGGGGAAAGTCCCTGGCATAGTCAAATTCCGATTACTGCCGGCATTGGACTCATTTAGTTCATCATCTGAACCAACAGGGTTAACCACCCAAGGTCTGGGTCCGTCTTCCACCTCGTTCGACGCCAACCGCTTCAGGCGCCTGATTTCTCGGCCCAATGCTTCGAGTTCTCGATAACCAGCCTCGGTGGGATGGAGTGCAAGCTCTGGGTATTCCAGTGTGGCTCTTGCCTGGTCAAGATGCGATTCTCCGCACGAAACGTCTGATGATCTACGGGAATGAACAAGCTTGTTGAGGCCGGATTTAAGAGCCTTTCCGAATTTGCTTGACATTGAGTTCTTCTGTCTGTGACCCATGACCCCGTTACGGCGGCGGTTGGAATTATCCCCAGAGATCGCGGTCTGTGTAATCTCTTGGTTTGGCGATCTATGGGAAGCTGTTTGCTCGGGCCGAGCTTGGTCCGTATTCTCGTGGTCCTCATTTCGTTCTGCACGATTGTACGAAGGAAACCTCGCCCATGCCTCTGGAAACTTTCGAGGCCTCTGTACCTCGGGTCCTGGGCTCTCGAGTGACGATCTGCGCACACCTGCGACGTTCGAAACATTATCTCTCGGCCCTGGATCGCTATCAAGTGTCTTGGCAGGGAGTTCAGTGGAAATGGACACGGGACTACTGCGTTGATCTTGGCCACCAGGGCGCGCTCCTGGGTACGGATAGGGGTAATAAGTTTTGGGTGGGACGTCATATGTCAAGGAAGAGAAACGGCCGTTGCTGCATTTCTTTTTGATACCTGTATGGCGTCTCCAGATCTCCTCTCGCACAGCAGATTGCCAAAGCTCTACTGTGCTATCATCACAGTCGGAGAATGGAAACCCGCTGCTTTGATGGAGCGTTTGCGGACCGACATCACTGAGTGCAGATTTCTTGTGTCTTTGGGAATTAACCGGGCGTGATGTAGAGGGCAATGAAGTATGTTGCTCGTCGTCTACCTGACCGTCGAAGGAAGCCGGGGGAAGTTTGATTCGTCGAGGTAGGCTCAAATGTAATCTCGCCAGCAGTGAGCGCTTCGACGGTTCGGCGCGTAGTTTCTTGGAATCGGTCGGTTTGTCGAACCTTTTGGCGATATTGGACGGTGCCCCATGCCCTAGATGAAAAAGAGCAAAGCCCCTCTCCAGCATGTTCAGCTTAGGTACCGACTGACGTTTGTTGATGGTATTTGATGCCACGCCCGATGAGATTAGCTCGGTCTGAGTGGCGGTGCCTCCATCAATAGGACTATCGAACGAGCTCCCTCCCGTGGCCGTGTTCGAATGGCTTTCACCAAAAGGATTGGACGAAAGAAGCCCTGTGATCTATTAGCACCCAAACCGAAATCGTTCATCGCGGACTACTCACATCGCAGTGGTGTCGCTGAAAGCAAGTTATGAGGACCCATGACACCTGACGGTAGATGCGATGAAGAAGTTCCTGCGCTAGGATCGGCGCTATGTCCAGCTGAGGGATATGCCGATGATGGGTTGGTAATGAGGCCAGCCTGACCGTTGGGCTGTATGTGTGATGTCTCGGATTCGTATGCAGCTGTCTGATCCGAGCTACCATGTCTCACAACATACCTACGGACTGTGTTCTGTTCCGACTCGGTATTTGCAGGGGATTCCTCAGGGGTGTTCAGAGTCTGTGTAGCAAGCTGCCGATGGATATCCATGTCATGAAGATGGACAATCTCAGGACGCTGAAGACCAATGTCACCACCAGGATGATTGGGAATCGAGCTGCATCTCTTGAGCATGACCACTTTAGCCTGCTCCACGCTTATTTCGGGATCACCGTCTCTATCCGAAGACCTACCCAAGGAAGGTGACGGCGAACATGACCCAAGACCCTGGCTTTTGAGCCAAATACCCATTGGTGACTGATCCAACACGCATGGAGTTGCATTCCCAGGGGTGCGGGTTGAGGAAGAGCGTGGACGAGTCTCTGACTTGGACCGGCGTAATAACGGTACTGAACGTGAGGTAACCACCTTCGAAGCTGCTGCTTTGAGGAAGGACTCGGCATCTTGGGAGAAACCATCTTGATCGATGAATCCTAGAAAGTCTTCGAGTTGAGTAGCACTGTAAGAAAGCCTCCAAGAGCCCAAGGAGGAAGTGTCAATAGTATTGGAATAGCGCTGCGGAGCCAAGACCGGAGAGGCTGGCATTTCTGGGAGTGAACTGCGTTCTCGAATTGGCTTCTGGATAACCGCAATTGTTGGATATTTGAGACTGTTTGCCCGGGGGCAGCTGTTTTCCTTGTCTGAAAGGGGAGCCGCCTTTCCTAATGCAGAGACATGGGCACTGGACTTTGCAATGGATGAGGAGGTCGTATCGGAATGTGCCTCTCCCTCCTCTTTTTGGGCTACCGAGAATTCTAGTGCATCACGGGGCCCTCCACCCGGAAGGTAGTCAAGCGAAGAAGATTTGGGCGGTGGCAGCACAGAGGAGACCTCACTCCGAGACCGCTCGTGGGATTGCTCAATGCGGAGTTCCTCTTGTATCCTTTTGTGCATCAGTCTCTTGAGCTCAGCCCGTCTTTGGACTTCCTCCTCGCTGCATCCAACGGCTGAGCGAGACTTTTTCTTTGGCAAAGAGTCTTGGGATAAGTGGCGACGGATATTCTCTCTGACGAGCTGGAGAGTGCTGGTACTCTTGCTTGGCTCGGCCGATCTGCCTGGTAGGTCGTCATCCGAATCTTCAACCACGAGATCGCTCAAGTCGGCTGGCCCAATCGGAACGATAACTGAAGATGTTGCTAGTTGTAGCGATGTACCAGACTTGCTGGAAGAGTCTGGATATGCGGCAACGGCCAGCGGAATGGCGATGACTGGGTTGGATGTAAGTGGTCCTGCAACAGGTAAGCGAGCAGGAGGAGGAAGTGGCGGAAGTGCACCCGAGGGTTTCGGAGTTGAATTCCTGGGGCTCGGTGTCGACGGCGTCACTGTTCTGGGAGGGCGAGGTACCCCACAACAGCAGAAGCCCGTCATCGTCCAGGCTGCTATGTCGAGAGGGAGCTATGTATCATTGGCTTTTCTTTCTCATGGGGGAGTAGCCCTGCTGGTGTTTTGAGGCTTGCTAATGTTGCAGTGTTTCCAAAAAGGGAGTGTTGTAGTTTTCGCTGTAATGGGCTGGACAACACAGCGAGGGCCATCAAGACCCATGAGAAGCAGATCAGGGTAAAGATGCGAAAGGGAACAGCTCCAACAGCAAGACGAGGGGTGGAAGAGAGACGAAGCTGACAAGAAGCCGAGAGCAACTGAACGCAGTCACACAGAGCGACAGGTCAAAGTCGACGGGCGTAGATGCAACATTGGTCCAATTTCCTGGGAGGCGTGGTTCGAGCTATTCCTCTTGACGAGGAAGGTGAGGTAGCGAAGGTGGGGAGGGGTTCAAGGTTCCTCAAGCCCAGGGGCAGGTGCCGAATCAACTGTGCGACTAGGTCTGGATAAGACTGGACCTGTGATTGGATTACTACCTACGTGAAAGGAGAGAACTTTAGGTTCAGTGACTGGACGAGACTGAGTACCTTCCTGGTAGTGTGATGGACCCCATGGTGGAAATTTTGAGGGTCAGATCCATCATCACTCTTTCCCTATTTGCTTATAACTTTCCTGTTTCACTGCTTCAGTAGAGAGGTTGCCTGCCTTCAGCGGTAAGACATCTGCAGCGCTGTGGAAGGTGCAACAACTTTAACAACGTGAACGGCAAGTGCAGCTCACCATGGCATGGGGGTAGAGATCCTGGGCAGAGATCATAGAGCGTAGCCATCTCAGTTCGCCACGGCTGGCTTGTAAATAGGCATGTTCTTGTCTCCATCAAACACCTTCCCGCTCCCATCATACGGCGTATTCCACGGCACTCCATCTTCAATATGCCACGTCTTCTCAACCGCTGGCAAGGCACCCTTTCCACCGGCACCCGCGAGCCTCCAATTCGGGATCGGGATGGGCAACCAACTTCCGTTGTTCAGGAAGCCCGGATAAGACAACGAGTTGTTGAGTGTCGCCAGGTTCGTCGGGTCCCTGTTCCCTCCGTACCTGGCCGTCTCCGCCGCGAATCGGAACACATTGGCTCCGACGTCGTACCTACCCAGATGGGGCAGTCCCCAGTTGTTTTGCACCGAAGACAGGATGCTGTAGTGCGTGTAAAAGGTGTCGTCCTGTGTGCCCCTGAGCTCCTTGGGGACGGCATTGCCCAGCAGCAGGGAGACAATGTGGTTCGGCTCCCCGTAGTTCTCGGACTCGTCGAACGTGAGCAGGATGAGCGTCCGCTCGTCAAAGGCCTTGTCGTCCAACAAGGGCTTCAAGAACTCATGCGACCACTCGGTTGCCGTCTCAAGCGACGTGTTGTGTCCGTCGTGCATCATGTTGGGCGACATAAACACAAATTGCGGCACTCGCTTGGCCACAAAGGCGTCGTGGAATTCGTTAAAAGACTGCAAGCAGAGCAGACGCGTTCCGTTGGCCGTGACGCTGTCAAACGACACAAAGGGACTGAAAGATAACGGGTTAGTTTGGTGTTATGGTGACATGAGAGGGGGAGAGGGGATCTTGTGCAAGGTAAGAAGGTGTCGGTTTACTTGTGCTTGCGGACATAATCCCACCCGCCGTTGTGCGTGGAACCATCGCTGTAGTTACCCATGAAGCCGGGGCCGGGCATGTCCTCAAAGTATCCGCCCCATGAGATGCCACGGGTATCGAGCAGGTCAACTACCGTTGATACATTCTCCGGAACTCTGACTTCGTAGTCATGGTTGAGTCCGAAATAGTCACCGGCAATGGCAGCGAGATAGTTTGGCTGGCTTGGGTGTGTTTGCGCATAGTATCTCGAGAGCAGGACTCCCTGCTTCTTCAAGTCGGCAATGTTTTTGTCTACCGCAACCTTGGCAAAGTCCTATGTGAAGAGTCAGTGAACCTGATGATGAAATATGACAGGTTAAGACGACTGGACTGACCTGATTCTCAAGCCAAATGGTGATGAATCTGTCAAAGACCTTTCCCTTGACAACGTCAGCTGCAGCACCCACAGTGTGCAAAGCTGCAAGGCCGCAAAGGGCGAAAAAGGAATTCCGCATTGCGAGGCTCTTGTTGGTCTCTTCAGCATACGCCCACTTCCTGATCAGGACTGAGTGGTGTGGGATAATCTCAGTTGATCCTTCTCATGCTCTCATGAATCTCGTGATAAAACAGTAGAAAAAACCACGTCGCAGTCGGCAGCAGAGCACTTGCCGCCAAGCATCCTGCAAGATTCTGGACCCATTGTCGGCCGCCTTACCACAGTTGTGTTAATGGCGTTAAGTTAGTATGGTAGGGCACAGCATGGTGCATTTACGACTCGGACAGCCGACCCCGACCCCGAGTCAGTCGTTCCTGGTTGCCGGTGTCACCTGGGACACTTTATGATGTACACCGAAACGATCCAAAAGGGAACATGGAACATTACTGTATTGTGTTATCGGAGCTCACAGTGAACAAGATGTGATCTTTATCCTGGAGACACTCCATCCATGCTCGTGACCGTTTCTCCGAGAAGCGAACCTGAAGAGTGGTCTCCCTCAACCTGAACCCCTGGGACTGGACTTCCATGTCTCTGAACGGGATATCTCACCTCAAAAAGATCCAAGACAAGGCGCTAACAGATCTACATTGGGTTTCACCGCCATTACTGTTAACGACAAGGCCTGATGTCGTCATTCTGACTGCCCGTTTGGACCCCTATCAGGCACACTTTCCAAGCTGGAACAGCGATCCCTTGTAACAACTGGGCAGCACTGACTGACCTGCACAGCACCCCCGCATTGTATTCGGTTCCATGCCCCAGATTTAACCCCCCCCCCCCCCCCGACAACCTGGGTGAAGTGCCGTGGAAGATCCATCCGCCCACAGACAGTCGCGTCGTCGCGTCTCCCTCCCCGCAATTAAGGAACATTTTCCAAAACTCCCGTCCAGCTTGCTCCTTTCCTGCTCGTCGTCAAATGTCTAGTCCGGAGTGCCATTCCGCTTTGTAAACAACTGAAGAAAAGATAGGAGCCCCCCAAAAAAAAATTACCGAAAAAAAATGGCCTCCCAAAACTTCCTAGGCGCCTCCATCACGGGCGGCACCCGAGAAAAGACGTACTTTGAGCAGCAGCGCGAAGCGCTGATTGGGGAAATCGCAAACAGCTTTGAGCACGTGTTGGCGAACATCAACAAGCTGAACCGCTCGTTGGAGGCTGTTATTACTGTATGCGTTTGTTTTCTTGCTTTCCACTCGCTGCTCGTCTCAATTTTTTATGCAAGTCCAGTGTCCGATGACTTACTAACGTGAAGTTGCGACGATAACAGGTTGGCAACGAATTCTCCTCTGTCGAAGCCCTCTGGTCGCAGTTTGAGAATGTCATGGCGAAAGATCCCTCCGAAGCACAGGGACAGCAACAGCAGCAGCAACAGGAACAGCAACAACATCAAGCCGAGCAAGGAACAACAACAACAGCACGACAAGAACACGGACAGACACGGGGCGAAGAAGGACGACAAGAGGAGGACGATACCAAGATGGAGGTGGATGAGGAGGATAGCAAGATCAAGATGGAGAGGTGAATCGGGCACGGAAGGAGATCCAAGGACAACATGTCACGTCCGAAGAATGGACGTCGGAGAACAAAAGCGCGGGCAACGGACAACTGAACGTTGGGATTGTACGATTAAATCATACGGAAGAATGGATAAGATACCCAGGCAATTAGGACAATACGAAAGCATTCAAATCAATTCAAGTAAGAACAATAACAGTTCGGTTCACAGATACACACACACTCTCAGGTACGACAGTCGTCACACGTTTGTGATATCGGACCAAGAAGATGCAGCAAAGTAACTCGTGATTTTCAACGTCTATCTGATGTGTCAAGATGTCTCCTCGTCTATAAAGCGAAAACTCAGTAGAAAAGGATTTGAGTAGAAGCAGATCGCGGAGGAAAGTTTTGCTCTTCCACCTCTTTTTAAGACGTCGTACCCATGGGGAAGCTGGGATGACGAGATGCTAAGATGGATTCGAAAACCCGTCTCGGCTAAGAATGGTGTTTGTTTCTCCTGTCCCCAAGTTGCAGGTTTCAAATGTTGTCGGAGGAGTATCAAGGGGATCTTGTTGGCAAAGCCTATGGCGTTCTTGTTCGTCCTTCAGGGTATTATCCTCCATGCCGACCCTGTACGGCATCCCTCCTCTTGAACTGAGCTTTTTCTTTCCATCATCGGAGTTTCCAGGCACAAACTGTTTGGTCCTGGCATCGAACTTTCACGGCGCTCATGCCTTGTCCCAAGTCGTTGTCTCATGGTTCATGACAATCATCATATCCGAATCAAATCCTCAGACTTGTTCTGCAAGTAGAAACCACGACGTTAAGCATGATGCCTTTCATCGAAATACGCTAAAGAGAAGGGGGGTATGCATGTGCGTGTGAAACGCTCAGTGTGGCTTACTGTCCATTCCGAGGTAATCTGCGGCAACGACGAGCTCAAGGCAGTTCTCGACGGGGATCTCCATATCAGGAACGTCCTCGCGGTCACGGTATTTGTACCAGTAATGGAAGTACTCGACGACCTTTTCAAGGATAACGCCACTAGAGAAGAAATGGTAAGCAACTGGGACTTGGCAAGCCGAGATAGGTCAAACGAGCAAGCGGATTTGGGTTCGTGAAAAGCTATCAGATCAAGTGTAGTTGATAATCAAGCAGGCCATGCCACCCTTTTTGAAAAAGAGAAGGCTGGTCTGTCATAAAGAACGCAGCAAAATATTTTTCATCACGCAGCTTGTTGTCTCGGAGAGCCAAAAAATGGATGGGGATGGGGACGGAGGAGGTAACCTACTTGATGTCCTGCAGCTCGCAACGACCGGTCCTGGCCTCGGTCATGTTGTTACGCAGCATACCTCTAATGTAGTCACTGCAGAGGGTCGCCTCACGGAGCACAACAAACTCGAATCCATCCTTGGAGACGAGGGTGATGTACTTGCTGGCGCCGCCGTTACCGTTGGTGGCGTCCATTTTGTGTGGGTTGCGCGCACTTGAGCAGCTTCGTTGTTGGGACGAGCAGAAGACGAAAATCCTGATAGGATGGGGACTGTGCGTAATTAGTAGCAGTTAAATACCGTACTCTTCCCTCGTTGATTGTTGTTGTTGATCTGACGAGGAGTGTGTAACAGTAAGAAAGAGTTTGCGGTTGTTGCGCCTCAACGCGTGCCAGACGCGCTTTTGGGAACAACGGGCAGAAAATTCAGAAGACAAAGTGAGGGGCGGGGAGTGGAAAGTGGAAGGATGGAAACCGAAGAACATTAGAAAAGCGGCTGACGACAGCCCGTGCACCACTTGCACCTGCAGTGGGTCCGCACACCCCGGAGCTGATGAAAAGCCGGCCGGCCGGCGTGCAGATGGTGGAAACGCTTATTCCGTCTATGTACAAGTGACGCACAAGCCACATGATTTTTGCCCAAGCTCATCCTTGAAGCTTGGAGCTTCTTTTCTTGGCGAAGCCTGGTCCCGTTCCCGCTCGTGCCTGTTCGTCCAGTGTCTGGACGGCAAAGTGGGTCTTTTTCCCCTTACCAACCTCCCAGCCTCCTCGAGTTCCCAGCTGAACATGGCCGAATCTGTACATGTGGCTATGGATGATAGGCCTCCGCATGTGGTCTCGGGAACGAGAAAAGACGCACACAAAGGGCTGTCTTGAAAACCAATCTCGTTTTCGTTATTATTGTGCCGGAAAGCGGTGCGATACAAGTTGAGATGATGCCCATATGTATCATGTTCCGTATGATGTGCTGCTGCTGTTGCGACTTGCGGATTCGGTACCTGCATCAAAACAGGCTTTCTCGGATGCACTTGAGAGACGCTCCGACGATCGACCAACGCGACGGATCTCTTTTAGGGTGGACCAGACTTGTCTTTTCCAGACCAATTTTAGCACTGTTTTCTTCCAAGGCCGAATTGCTGTTTTGAACAAGGCTGTGGTCGTTCTGCGAGGTCGTCTGGTGCGACTCAAGTCTGCCCGAGTGTTAGGTTCCATGTGTTGAGAGCAGCCAAAGTTGTGTCATTGCCAAGCTGTTGAAACTAAAGTGAACCAAGGACGGGAGCCAAGGCAAAAGGGGAAAACCGTTGCCCCGCCGACAGTTTACACTACACTACTATGTACACTGCTGGGTGCCCTGCCCTGCCTGTGCTTGATTGCCTTGCTTGACCACCTGCCTGTATATCCACACCCACCACCACAAGCAAGTGGTTCAGTCCACTCGCTCTTAACCTTGTTTCTCACCATTCCCATTCGTTCGACGGCTCTTCTCCGACAAGAACCCCTCGATCAACATTGATTGACCGCCGCGACACGACAGGCAGGCACAGGCACGGAGGCCTAAAACAACATCTCTCCCAATCTCCTGCTACTTACCATACTGTGTAACTAAGTGCTTGACCGCCTTGGCCGCCGCAATCCGCATTCCTCGCAACACAACACAAGCCCCCCCGTCACAACCTCAATTCGCGCTTTCCCAGCACCCTTTGCGACTCCCCAAAACATTCGATTGTGTTGTTGCATCGTCAGTCACCAGTTTTGGCAGAGCCGGAATCGCAAAAAAATCAGACACGACAACTGGAAAACAACATCCAATCTCCGCCACTCGCTCCTGAGTTGCCTTCGTTGCGCACTTTCACCCAGACAATCTCCGCACTGCCGCTTTCTCCCAACTCGGTGTGAGTAAGCTCGTCTGCCTTCAGTGCTGCTTTGTTTTGAATTCCTTCTTCACATTTGCACCACAATCTTTGTTTGCCTGCCTACCCAAGGTCCCCCCACCGAAGAATCACCAAAAGAAAAGAAAAAAAAAGAGAGAGAGAGCAAGCAACAACCAAAAAGCTCCCAACCCGTTTCCGTTCGTTGACGACTTGTCGTTGTTGTTGTGGTTGGCTTGAGGAGAGGCTGTTTGGGAGAAGCGTACGAAACGCCGTACCGTTGCCGGACGCTAGACCACGCCAACTTTAACGCCGTCAGAAACGAAAAGAGTTACGGGAGGGGGCGGTGACCGAACACCCAAAAAAACAAACACCCCTAACTCTCTACATCCCTCACCTCACCTACCCGCAAAATACACACGTCAGCCTTGTTAGCATGTCGTCGTCAAGCAAGTTCCGCAGCTCACACCACTATCATTCGCAGTCGGTGTCGTCCATCCTAGGCAGGCACGATAGCACCAGCCCCGGCGCAGAACTCCAACGACGACCGACCACCACCTCGTCCTACACATCCTCTGGTAGTGCCAGCCGACGAGTACCACGCGACAACGGGACGAGATCGAGCGATGGGACAGTGAGTACCATGATGAGCACCACATCGTCGACCGGAAGAGAATCAGCAGCAACAACGGCCATGACCGAGGGCCCAGCCTACTCCAAGAAGGTGGTGGTCGTGGGCGATGGCGGTTGCGGAAAGACATGTCTCCTGATTAGTTATAGTCAGGGATACTTCCCAGAGGTATGACGTCCCACCCCTATAAAGGTATAGCTTGGGTTGGCGCTAACCGTGATTGATATCGCAAACAGAAATATGTCCCAACCGTCTTCGAGAACTACATCACCTACCCAACGCACCCACCGACCGGTAAGACCGTCGAGCTCGCCCTGTGGGATACCGCCGGCCAAGAGGAATACGACCGCTTGCGACCGCTTTCATACCCAGAAACCGACCTTATTTTTGTCTGCTTCGCCATTGACTGCCCCAACTCCCTCGAGAATGTCATGGACAAGGTGAGTCTTCGTACCGTCTTTTACCCTTCCTTTCAGCTACGCTCATACTAACACACCTCCCAGTGGTACCCCGAAGTCCTCCACTTCTGTCCGTATACACCCCTTATCCTCGTCGGCCTCAAGTCCGACCTCCGCAACAAGAAGACGTGCATCGACATGCTCAAGACACAAGGTCTCACCCCCGTCACCACCGAACAAGGACTTGCCGTCGCCAAGAAGATGGGCGCTCAGTACATGGAGTGCTCATCAAAGGAGATGAAGGGTGTAGAGGAGATTTTCGAGCAGGCCATCCTCACAGTAGTCGCCAACGACAGGAAAACACTGGAACAGGAAGCCGCGAACGGCATGCTGGGTGTTGGCGCGGGCTCGGGAAGCGGAAAGGGCAGCGGAATCTCGTTCAGCAGTGGTGACAAGGCCGGTTCCGGGATAGGGCCCGTCAAGGCGGCCGGTGTGGGTGGCACGATTGTCCCGAAAACGAGGAAGAAGAAGAGAAAGTGTGGTATGATGTGAGGAAACCAAGGGAAGGAAAACAAGGGATGAACAGCAGCTATACAGGATTCGACATCCACACCCACTCTACCAAGACCGAGCCGAGCCGAGCTTGACAGCCCGCATAGCGCATACCGATACCAGTACCGATACCGCTTTTGCAACGGATGGAGGACACAGCTCTGGATAGATGAAACGGTTTGGATGGTCTGATGGTTGGATGGAAACCGACAGAGGAGGATGTGATCGAACAATGTCGAATTGGCGATTGATGCTTGCATAGCGAAAAGCGGCTGGGTCTATGGCTATAACATGGCGAATTTGGTGTTGTTCGTTTGCTGTAAGGGAGTATAAGGAGGGGAAAGGAGGCAAGAAATACGGCGACAAGGGAAAGGAAGGAAGACGAAAGGGGAAAGGGGAGGGAAGGTAATGACACCTGACTGGACTGGCATGCATGCATGATTTGCAACGAACTACAACCACACACTTACACACTACACTACACTTACTACGGCTACACTACCTTATTACTCGTTTTATTTTCTGTCTTACTTTCTGTCCGTTTTCTCATACACATTTTCTTTATCATTGCAGTTAGCTTCTCTTGTTCCTGTTTTGGTTTTGCTGCTACCTCGTCTTCTTTTTACTCATCTAGAGGAATGAGGGAAGGAGCCTTTTCTGTTCTCGTCGTATTCCCTGCCTAGGTTTCACATGGGGGAACATTTCTCATGCGGCGATGGCGGCATAGCATAAGCGGCGTGCGTGACTCGAAAAGAAAGAATTCGGTTACTGGCTTGCTACTCCATTTTTGAGTTCCCGTTGGTTTGTACGTATACCTTTCTGTGTCCGTATTAGGTTTGATACCTGCGTAGGATAGTGAAGTGGAGAGACAATCAGAGGAGAGAGCCAAAGCAACGAGTGACAATAGCAACAGATTTGTTATTGGCATTGACGTTGCTGAGAACTTATCCCTGTGTGAGTCAGTTGTAGTAATGAGTCTGTGATGAGATGAACTTTGACAGGTGGGATGACTCCCTGGATAACCTTATGAGATGTTTTTCCTACTCTACTTATAGGTACGCCATATTCATCACGCACTATTGCTGCTCTCCACCCTGCGCACCACTTTATTTGTGACGTATTCGATAAGCAAACAGACTGGAAAATGAAAGAGGGGATTAACTATTAATTTTACATCCAGTATACATCACCCATCACGCAGTTCATCTACCCACCGAATGAACCACGTACAAAAACACACACCTGTTTCCTGTTACCTTTCAACAACAACTCTCAGCAACGAGGTTGTTATCAAAGTAGCTGCCGATAAAACGCCAACACCTTCCTCGCCCCGACCTCCCAACCCACATCATTCTGGCAATGATGTCCCGCCCCAGGAACGAGTGCGAACCTGACCCCTCTCCCCGCTGTGTCTTTGGGTCCCCCTGAACCCTCCACCTCCTCATCCACCGTCTCATTCTCACTTCCTACCATCACCCCATCAATCTTCTTCTCCTCCACCACCAACCTCTCATAAGCAGCGCGATACCAGTCTGCAAGCCGTTGCACAATAGGCTGCGTCATGATTTTGTCTCTTTCACCCGCAATCACCAGGACCCTCTCTACTTGCCCCTGCTTCTGTTCTTGTTTGGTTGTCTCACCCCAGCCACATATCCGCAACAGGACCCTCTCGGAATCGGCAAAAGACCGGGCCATGCCTAATGGCCAGAGAAGGGACTCGTAGCGGCTCATGAAGGACATGAATCTCGAGAGATACGAGTCGGGGAGGAGGTCGTTGCTGAAAAAGATAAGGCGGACGAGGGAGGGGTGAGAGAGCGGGGAGTTGGGGTGGCCTAAGTGGAGGAGGAGGCGGAGGGCGAAGAGGGGGTCGAGACGGAACCAGGTTAGGTAGATGGGGATGCTGCACATGGGTGGGAGGTTAGACAGTTTGTATTTTGGAAGAAGAGAAGGGGGGGAACAAATAGGAGAGGAGAGGAAAAAAAAAAAAAAAAACATACGATCCAAACCCAGGCACAGCACCCATCAACACTAACCCCTTAATCTTCACACTCAATCCACCCAAAAGACCCGCGCTGAGGATATACTGCGCCAGACCTCCACCGCTGGAATGCCCGATTAGTACCATTTCCACCTCTTCTTTCGCTTCAACATCATCCCCTTTTTCCCCTCCCCTTCCCTCCTTCCCTTGTCGACCTTGTTGACCTTTAATCACTCCCCGACCCAGCTGCTGCTGCTTCCGCTGTCCCCGCTCCCTATCAACAGCCCATCGAATCCCACTCACCACATCCCCCGTCAAATCCCCCTTGGTCGTCCCGTACACCATCCGCAAATAGGAAGGGTACCAACTCCCGCCGTGGCCGCGCATGGAGATGGCGTAGCAAGGGATATTTTGTTGTTGTTGTTGGGAAAAGAAGGAGAGGTACTCGAGCCAGACGGAAGCGGAACCCATGCCGCCGTGGATGAAGAAGAGGGCTGATTGTCGGGAGGAGGAGGTGGTGGTGGTATGAAGAATCTCGAGGTCGCCGTGGGGGGTGGGGATGAAGGAGCGGGAGATCCCCGGGGGAAGGGGGGGTAAGGGGATGGGAAGGGAAGAAGAGGAGGAAGGGTGGCGGAAGTGGATGTTTTGGTAGGTGAGGTTGAGGTTGAGGTTGAGAAAGGACATTTTGGTTCTGAGTTGTGATTGGACCTGGAATGAGTGAGTAAGAGAGGAAAGTTGGTGCTGGGTACTGTATCCGGGCTTCGAGCTCGAGCTGGGGGTTGCTGATGTGTTGGACTGGGTTGGGTTTTACATAAGAAGTTAACGGTATGAGACCAAAGAAAAAGAATCTTGATGTCGTCAGAAGTAGACCCGGGGATACCTGGTCATCCTGAGTGGGAGTCTGGCGGCGATATATGTCTTTGGTGATATATATACCGAAATGCGGCTGAATCCGGCAGTTCAGCCCCGATGACTACCCGGGCAATTTCGGGGACCGTTCCCGGCGGCTGACAAAAGCCCTTCTTAGCTTGAGGAAGGCCATCTATACTAGTGACACAACGTTATAGCAACCGTCTGCGGGATATTGTGATGTGATGTAGAGAGGAAGTCAAATTTCACACGAGTGTAAGACTTGGTGTCTGGGCGTTTGACAGTTGAAAGGACGGAAAGTCGAGACGGGGACGTACTTGTATGAGGCCCGGGCCGCGCACTGTTGATAAGTGGGTCAAGAAGTTCGATAGTGGGGCAAACTGCACGGCACTGTGAGTGAAGTACAGGCAACTGCAGTGAAACTGAAGAACCTCAACACCAAAACCATTGACCTTCTCTCCAATTTCGTCACCCTCATCGCGTGGGTCAGACATCTCTTAAAATTCATCCTTTGATAGTTCTGAAATTCACGCTTAACTTGCCTGATTCTTAAACCAACAAAAAATAATCACCAGGTTTTTCCACCGGCTACCCTCGAGTCGCATCGCCATGAGCATCGACATCCACACCACGAGTCAACAGGGCGTACGCATTGCCGTAGAGGGCTGTGTGAGTTTTACAATCTTCCCCTACACCACAATTGGTTGATCCCCATACTAACGCCAATCCCAGGGCCATGGCACGCTCAACGCCATCTACGCCGCCACTGAAAAATCGGCCAAGGAACGCGGGTGGGATGGCGTCGACCTTCTCATCATCGGAGGCGATTTCCAAGCCGTCCGCAATGCCGCTGATCTAAACGCCATGTCTGTACCCAAGAAGTACCGCGAACTCGGGGATTTTCACGAATATTACAGCGGCGTCCGGAAGGCGCCATACCTGACCATCTTTGTCGCCGGCAACCACGAGGCTGCTTCGCACTTGTGGGAGCTGTACTACGGCGGCTGGGTGTGCCCTAACATCTACTACATGGGCGCCGCCAATGTGCTTCGGTTGGGTCCCCTGCGCATCGCGGGGATGAGTGGTATCTGGAAGGGATACAACTACCGCAAGGCGCATCACGAGCGCCTACCATTCAATGACGACGACGTCAAGAGCTTTTATCACGTCCGCGAGATCGATGTTCACAAGCTGTTGCAACTGCAAACCCAGGTGGATATTGGAATTAGCCACGATTGGCCAAGGGCCATCGAGAAGCATGGAAACACCAAACATCTCTGGAATATGAAGCCGGATTTTGAGAGGGAGTCGGCTGATGGATCGCTGGGAAATCAGGCGGCGGAGTATGTGATGGATAGGCTGAGGCCACCGTACTGGTTCTCGGCGCATCTGCATTGCAAGTACTCGGCTATCAAGATGTATGATCCGCCGAAGGAGACGACTAGCGAGGGAGGAGAGACAACGAAACTAGAGGAGACAGCCGTTCCTCAGCCCCAAGAGCAGCAACCTGCGCCAGCGTCAGCGAACCCCGACGAGATTGATCTTGATATGGAGGACGAACCCGCGCCAGTACCCCAGCAACCGGCAGCACCTGTAACAGCGACCTCAAACCCTGATGAGATTGATCTTGATGACGATGAAGTTACGCCTACAGCGCCTTCACAACCCGCTCCCACATCGGTAGCCCCCGCCGCCGCCGTCACCGAAGAAGAAGACCCAACCGAAGCCCTCCGCTCCCTCCTCCCAGCGTCCTTTTCGAATCCCAACCCCCAATCCTCTTACAACGCCCAACCCCACGGCGGCAACAGCAGCAACAAGCCCAAGCCCGGCCAACCAGTTCCCCCAACAATAACCAACACCACCGTCCGCTTCCTTTCCCTCGACAAATGTCTTCCCGGCCGCAAATTCCTCCAACTGGCCGAGATCGAACCTTTCAACCCTTCACCCGAAGAATTACAACGTCCCCTCCGCCTCTTCTACGACCCAGAATGGCTCTCCATAACCCTCGCCTTCCACCCTCTCCTCCGCTCTGCCGTCGGCAAACACTGCCCTTCGGACCCCAACGCCCCCATTCCCGTGGACCTCGGCGAAGCTGGATACAGGCCCTTGATCGAGGAAGCTCGGAAATGGGTAGATGAGAACATTACGGGAGAGAAACTGTTGGTGCCGGAGGATTTCGTACAGACGGCGCCGCCGATTGATTTGATCAACAGGCCGGAAACGGGAAATATGACGGATGAGATGCCGGTGGAGTATACGAATCCGCATACGGCCGAGTTTTGTCGGTTGTTGGGGGTGGAGAATTATTGGGATGCTAGTGAGGAGGAGAGGGAAGGGAGGAGGGCGCAGGGGCCGAGGCCGATGGCGGTGAGGTTTGGTGGACGTGGTGGTGGGCATAGAGGTGGTGGACGTGGCGGTGGTGGAGGAGGAGGAGGAGGATGGAGAGGCGGACGTGGAGGGCGAGGAGGTGGAGGAGGAAGGGGAGGAAGCGGTGGTAGGGGAAGGGGTAGGGGACGCGGTGGATGGTGATAGTTGCGGAGCTGAATTGACGAGGTGCACGAGTGTTTAGATTGATTTTCGTAGCCTTTCTTCTTCCCGTCTCCTCCATATCAGTACCATCAGTAAGAAGTCTTGCTCTGGTGACACGACGTTTTCTTTTGCTGTTTTCTTTGCTACTCTCTTGCTGTTCATGAAAGAAAGCGTAAAAAAAGGAGAAAAAGCAAAAGAGAAAAAACTGCAAAAGAACATACAACACCAGGGATTCGCTGGTCGTCACCGACCCAACTACTAGTCTGGCCCTCACTGGCTTATCTATGGGAGAGCGGACGGGATCCCGAGTTTTCCAGTGGGTATGGTCGTGTGTGTTTATTGACTACCCAAACCTTGCTTATAAGATTCAAACCAAGTGATTCTCTCGCCTCTTCTCCCTGACCCCCATCCGCTTCCCGTTTGCTGTTGGCCACGCTTCGTCCTTTTCTGTGGTTTCCCGTCAGGCTGCTAGGCACGCCAAGAATTCAGGACATGACGGACTTTATTTGACGTTCATGGGTTGGCGTTGGTGCCTCTGTGTCGTCCCCCCCCCCCCTAAAAAAAAAAAAAAAAAAATGAAAAAAAATTTTTTTTTAAATTTAAAAAAAATAACTTGGTGTCTGGTGTTAAGGTGATGCCCTTGATGCTAGTTGAAGGCTGGTCATTTTTGTTTGTCTTCTCGCCAAGTTCCCTGAAGCCACTCTCTGACTACATGAACAGGCCATTCCATACTGTAATAACGCTACTCCTCTTCTGATTGACATCCTCGGGACTGATGAGTGTCCCACGGCGTCAGAAGCCTTCTTGAGCAACTGAAACAGGAGAGTACAGCCTGGGAGGAAGACTGCAGTGACAGCCATTGCCTGTAATCAGAGGGGGCATGTCTGTATTTTGGGTCCCTCAAGATTGTGACGGGTATGTTTCCTTTCCATATTCAAAAAAAACTTCCAACCCCTTTCGACTTGCTCCGTGAGTACGCTTCGTCTGACAGAAAGTATGGCAACAGTAGAGGTATGTAGCACAAATTCTGCCTCTTCTTTGTATATGTGTGATCCTTATCGATCTCTAGATCTCGCTGCTCACTTTCGCATTAGGCAGTTTAATGCTGCTTCCTCTCCAGCTCCGCCGCCTTTTCATCATACCTCCTGAAGGCCATGTAACCCTCAAAGAAAACGCTAACCATCCACTTCAACCACGTCAGCCCGCCCGTCGGAATTTTGTCGTTCTTCGCCAACCTCGTCCGCTCAAACATGATCATCTCGGCAATATGGATCACCAACACGGGCCAGAACATGGCATTCACCAACCACTTGAACCCATCCGCGCCTCCTACAGGCCACCATTTCTGCGTAAACTGCCAAGCCCACAGGCCCTGCTCCACGTACCCTCCCTTAACTGCTGCATAACAGCCAAAGAAGAAGGCAACACTAATAGCCACGGCGCCGTCCCAGAACAGTCTAGGCGCCAGGTACGTATCAACCACAGCACCTCCTCCCTTCTTCTCCCGCTTCCCAATCTTTTCCTGCTCCTTCTTCTTTCCCTCCTCCTCCTCGCTAGCCACTCCCTCAACAGGAAGCCCCAACCCCTCCCTGGCCTCCTTGGTCATGGCCACCAACCTCTCCCTCCTCTCTGCCCAGCTCTTCATGGGCGGGTGGATGGGGATCGTATGCGCAATTGTCGTCCTGGTTTGGAAAGTTCCCTCCTTGGCGCGCGTCTGCACCTTCAGTTCCGCCAGGGACATGTCGACGAGGCGAATGTCGACGTCCTCGCCGCGGAGGTCGCGGACGAGTTGGCGGACGGGCTTTTCGAGATCTAGGGGAAGTTGGAGGAGGGCCAAGGGACTGTAGTGGATGAGCATGTGCAGGAGGTCGGTGGCGTGGTCCTTGTTCATGTGGGCGATGGTGCGGGCGAGGGAGGTGGGGTCGATGCCGTCTTTGTTGTTAGTAGGGGTGGCCATTGTTGCGGTGGTGATTTGCTTGGTTTTCTATGTGTTTGGTGGCCTGGTGGTGGGTTTTCCTTCGTTGAGATATTTAACTCTTGGCTGGTGGAAGGAGAGGGTTGATGATGCTCAGTATGAAATGGGAGGAGGAGGGAAAGGAGAGGTGAGGTGAGGTTGAGTTTAGGTTGGAGCTGAGCTTGGGGCGCGCTTCGCTGGCACGCTACAGTTACCAGGTGGTCCGATTGGGCACATTACAAGGGAGCCACAACTGTGGGTCGATGAGATCAGGGTCAGGTAGTAGGGGTGACCCATGCGCGGGGCTTGCAGGTTGCCGCCGAGCCGCTGATAATTGTTAGTGCGTCCCGCTGAACTGCACTTTCAACCCAACGTCTCCTTACTCGATTTCTTCACTTCACTACTATCGTCGCCATGGGCACGGAAAGGAGGAAAACCGCTGAATTACAGCCTCTATCTCATTTGATACAGGTTCTCTCGTAGTTTCCAACTACCACCAGTCGTCACAATGAAGTGCTGGATCAAAGTAGGTGATGGTCTTCATGATGCTTTTCCTACCCTCTTGGGCGTCGATTATCTGGCTTCCCTTTTCCGCGCACAGTACGGCCGCCACATATTGCCTCAGAATTCCACCCCCATCCGATCTCACCTTCTTCTTGTTCAGCTCGGGCATCTCTAAACACGATGAGGAGGCCAGTTGAAAGAGGTTGGCTATGGCCCAAAACACGTGTACGGTGGCCGAGAGGTAGGCCCTGATTGGGTCGATCATTAATACTTTCAGAGGAGATTGCGACCTGTTTCGGCTGTTGAGGTAACGGTTTAGGCTCTCTAGCAGCCCCTTGAGAAGCTTGACTTTCTGAATCTCTTCCTCGATTTTCTCCAACTCCTCCCATAAGGGCAGCGTTCCCGGGCTCATTTCGGCCCTTTTGCGAACTTCCTGAAAACGCTGACAGATCTTGGTCTCCACGTCCATGGTCGAAATAAGCGCTTCATCAACCTCCTCTCGCAAACTGACTTGCCATTCTGGCCCAGGAACTGTCACCGGAGCACGACCTGCCTCCTCTATCCAACCCTCTTCATGCATCCGTCTCACCATGTCATATTCCGACATCGCCTCTACTTGAGCGCGAGATCGTTTTGTCAAGTCGGCTTCCTCCTGCTCCTCTTTGGACAATGTGATGTCGCTGCAATGGGGTAGAGACCATATCGCGGACTTGTCCTTGAACATAGCCCTTGCCAAGACCCTGGGGAAGGAAGGGTGTGTTTGAGCAGAGATCAGATAATGGCCATCGGGCTTGCCGGCATGTTTCTGCAGGAGATCGACGAGGAAAATCTCTCGGTGGCGTACCGCCGCTTTTGCTCGGTTGAGATCGTTGCAATGTGCTTGGTCTCGTAGCCGCGAGAACCATACTTCTGGATTGGCATCTACGAATATCTCCAGCGCGACTGTTGACACTGGCAGCGCCATGGCGATGGGTATGTGCTGAGTCCTCTAAATGATCCTGAATGGGGTGTGTGAGTATGGGCAGAATCTCTTGGACTCAGAGCGGAAGAGCGATGGTGCTTCAGCGCTCACCATATACCAGCTGGAAGACGGGACAAACGGTTGTCCTTTATACATCAGCGGCACTGTTTGTCGCTTGCAGTTGATTGTCAGGAAAACACTCATTGGGAAATTCCCACGGCCTGAACGACATCTTCCACGATCAAACAACCATAGAGGTAACAATCAACAAACTTGACGGGAGAATGACTAGTGCGCGAGGCAAGCATTTGAGGTGAGCGACAAATTCGTTATCAATGCTGCCGACAGAACGCAACTGAAGCAAACTGCCCGTATCATGAACTGAAAGCTGACCACACAGACACGGAAATTGTAATACGCTAACATGCCAACGCACGTCAAAGTCAATTACGGAATCACGACTCTGTCCTGACTCTCTCACAATCTTTCTACCAGTAAGCCCAAGCTCTCCAAATTGTCCCTTGTTCCTCTATTCACCTCACAATCCACTAGGGCTTAACGTCTTGATCGGATACTTTTCTCTTCTGTCAGATGCCCATCCTACACCTCTGTTCTATCAAAAGCAAACTTGGGAGAAACGTCAAAAAAAAAGATATACAGCACCTGGGATTCGCTGGTCGTCACCGACCCAACTACTAGTCAGGCGATTAGTGACTTATCTATGGGAGAGCGGACGGGATCCCGAGTTTTCCACTATCTATGGCCGTATATACTTGTTACAACCAAAATAGGGGCTTATATACAAGACACTCCAAGGTAAGAACTGCCATCGACGAATCCCAATGCCTCATGTACCACCTCCCGATATTATATAAACGTAGCTCGTCCGGGACAAAACAGATGAGATCGACTGACAGGTTAGGGAAACCAGTTCGCTACCACTCGTTACGGAAAAAAAAAAAAAAAAAAAAGAAAAGAAAGAAAGAAAGAAACCGAGGGCGCGGAGGACGAAGCGGAATTCTTCGTAAGAGAGGAGGCCGTCTTTGTTGGAGTCGAAGAGGTCGAACTGGACGAGTTGGCAAAGGGGTGTTAGCTGGTTGGTATTTTGGGGGTGGTGGTGTGGGTCGGCCGTCGAAGGGGAACAGAAAAAAAAAAAAACGGCCATTGCAAGACTGTGATAGGGACTACAACAATCTGAAAAGACATCGGCTAGAGTCCCGTTTGAGTATGTCTATCCAGCAATTGCCTAGAACTGAACATCAGAGGTGTAACAAAGTCGCTGGATGCGTAGTAGGAGTATAGCCAAGGTATAATGTCAAAGGTCTCACCTATTTTGTCTAGGACGAGCGTAGGTATTTGTACAGAGAGGCAAATCTTCTCTGGTCGGAAACAGAGTGATTTGCCCTTCCCAGTGTGGATCTCGATGTATTATGTAACTACCAAGTATCTGAAAAGCATGATCATTGGGGGCTTGTTTACCAGATGAAGTTGAATGGGTACAGGGCGTTCTGATTCCGGATCCACCACCGTCTATCTCATCTTCGAGAATTCATCAATTGACCTGGTTGGTGGTTGTAAGAAACGATGTTTGGCGACCTCAAAAGTGGACGTGGTGGGCGATTGTGGCAACATGGGAATCGATTGGGGATTATTGATAAGATCTGCCGTGGAGATTGAGGAGAAAATCCGGCTCATATGCAAGTCAATCGCTCCTTCCTTCTGCAACACTCGACAACAATGGAACACATGGTCCAACTCTGGCTGTCAGAGATTCACTGGCGGCTTCGTCGCTACCCGTTCTCTTCAATCAATTCATCATCTGAATTGAAACACACACAGTTTCACGCGAACAAAAGGAAGACTCACACCGAGCCAACAGTACATCCAGGGCGGCTGTAGACGACCACCAACACATCGGACAAAGCAGCAACAGAACCAACAAGCCGAAAATCAGCGGCAAACACGGTGAGCTAACAGGCGAATCAACACGAACAAGAGAGGGAAATGGATTAACTGACGTTGGCAGAAACAGGTTGCAACACGATGACGATAACCTCTATCGCTTGACGCCCCCCTCCCAACATTGCGAGACCGGCTCCTCAACCACGTCTATCTAATAGCGTTTCCGCATATCCTCGAACTGGAAGAAATCCAACGAACGTCCCCGCCGCGACATCAAGACCGGCGTGATTGGCCTTGCACGAGTTCCAATAGCCGGTTAGACATTACAAGATCGCGAATTTCAATAATAATCAGGGAAACCACAATAGTCGTAGGGGTCGAAATAGGGGTAACTAGATAACCAGAGGTGAAAAATGTCAGAAAAGGATACAACAGGGCTTCGAAAACGGCTCACGCGGAATGTCGTACATTACGGGTAGTCTCTTTACGGGTTCAGAATCTCCTGATGCGGATTCCCCGGCTCCCGATCCCTCCGCCTTGGGCTGCTCCGCCTCAGACTCATTGGCCTTAAGCTCCTCCACCTTCTGTGCCTCAGCTTTGGTTTCACAGATCAAAACCAACGCCAGATAGTTCCGCAAGAACTTCTCGGCGACGCTCCGCATAAACTCTCGTGCTTCTCGACAGGAGTCGCTGGCAGGCAAGGACCACCAGGCGTCAGCCGTAGCCAAGAAGAGGTAAAGACTGGCGGTTAAGTAAGTCAAGAAGTCCTTGCAGCACCTCGTTGTACACCCGCCCAAGTCAATGATAAAGGGTCTAACTTCCGTGAGACGTATGTGGACCTCCCCGTCCTTCGGCTGCGTTTCGACAATCTTGGTCTCCTCCGTCAGTAGCTGGTCTCTGATCAACACCGCCAGCTCCTCAGTCATCTCTTTCATTGACTTTGGCGAGATCAAATCATCGGATAGAATCTTCGCTCTGTCAAAAGTGGGCAAGATCAACCCGATAGCAACCAGGCGCTCCACAATTGTACTCGCCCCCATTTCATCACGAATCTTCCATTCCCCTTCTAGTTGTTGAAAATACCTCACGGTTCTCCCAAACTGATTGATAGTGTTTATCGCGATGAAATATTTGCTTTCAAAATCAGGTACCTCCATGAGCAGCGGCAGTTCTTCCTGTTTATCGATGACCATCATCTTGGCAAGTACATCTGAGAAGCTTCCGATATCGACTCTGCCCTTGGGTGTAAGGTATGTGGAGGACTTTGGGAAGAGCTGACTCTTTCCGAGTTGCTTTCGCTTTGGACCGATCCCTATACTTGCAAGTTCAAGGCGATTCTTGACGTGATTGTCAAATTCTTCAGATGGTATGCCCAGTTCTATCCCAGCGAGACCGGCGCTCGGGATCCCTGCCTTTGATTCGACGAGTAAGACGGACGTTACATAGTTCATGAAGAAATCCCTAACAATAGATTTCAGCGATCCTATTCCTGTGAATTTCGGCATTGACGGGTCGGTAGTAAGATCCAAAACGTCCTTCGCTGACCAGAAAAGAAGGTTGCTGACAGAGAGATAGTCCTGGATCGAATCGCAATCGGCTATGGCCCTCCCCAAATCGCGAACAAGGCGTCGTAACGACTTGAGGTGGTCCTCCTGGTCCTTCTTACCCTTACAGCACTCCAGGATGCGATCTGCCGCTCTGGCTACAATTTCCGCCAAGTCGTAAAAGTCTTCGGCATAAATCAAGTCATCATACGAGAACTTGTGACTACCGAACGGGCTAAAGTCCGCACAAAACTGCAGCTTCAACCGCTCTTCCATCTTTTGACTTTTCATTTTCAGTACCCGATCCCGAGCAAGCCTTCGCTCCTGCTCACGGTCGTCTCGGAGATAATGCTGCTCGTGGCGTGACAGATTCGGTACATCTTTATCGCCGCGGTCCCCAGTCATGGCTTCGCTCAAGGTTTTTGCGAATCCGTCGGAGTCAAACTGGCCATCGTCGGTCTCGAACTTCTTGGACAAATGGTGTCTGCGACACAGCAGCCACAATCTTTTGTCCTCCGCATCGGGACTTCTCCCTCGCTCGTCGAGAAGTCTGTCGACATCTTCGGGTGGTATATCGAGGGTCAAAAACATGGTTATCGTAAGGGTGGATATGAAATAACCGCGAGTTAACAAGAAAAAAAGAACAGCGAATGCGCGGGTCTGAAGTTGACGATAGTCCTAGGCCACTCTGGTCATATGGGAAGACCCAGAGTTCCTTTACTTTATATCTCCATCATCCTTCCTTTTCGCCGCTGTCCTCTTGAACCATAGCACTCGCCTGCCTTTGTCTAGCATTTTCGCGGACTCATTGGCCTTGACCTCTTTCTAGCAGGTCACAAAAGGTGTTGTTGGTGATCGACCAGATACAGGCGCGTAAGAGAAGAGCGTGCGGGATCCGAACCAACATGAGGGACCTCCTGAAATACTTCACAGTTGTGGACAAAGGGGCCTCGACCAACAGCACACGTATTCGACAGGCGTCGAAACCTCTTCTGCCCACTTGCACAGGGCGCTTGAATAGAACTCGCTTCGAAACCTATCCAGTAACTGGCACTGTCCCAACAAAGATTGCACTCTACTTCCCAAGCATGGGCATCTTTTCTCCAACCTACACCAGCGTCACGAGACTCCGCAAGTTTTTTGCGTCCAATAGCCCGCACCTTTTTTTCCGCCTTTCACTCGACGACCTCATCTCGAGGCAGAGACTACCCACCGCCAAGAATAAGAAGATAATGATGCGCATGTAGGTTTTCATGTCCGATCATTCGGTCGAAGGGCGACGTATGCGGTTTGGTCTTCGTACTGACTAGGTCGGAATTCAACCATTAGAGCTAAACCAAACGTTTACACTTCTCAGCCAGTTCCGTCATCGTCACCTTCCATGGGTTTGTTCTTCTCCCCGATGGCAAGCGAGTCGTCTAGTATAAACGTGTCATTCTTCGTCCCGCTTATCCTGTCAGTCCAGCACTCCCTTTTCAGAATCTCATCTCCTAGCTCTTTTTTGTCGTTCTGCCAGAGCAATTACTCGGCGTCGTTTCGTTCCTGCTGATTTCCCTTCCCCTTATACAAGGCTACAGGAAGTTGACCGCCATCAAATAAGTCGGAAAACATAGCTTCAGCTATCTTGAACGCAAGGAGTTCCTTATTAACAACTTTTTAATCGCCCACACAGGTTATATAAGTGCAAGGCATTGCAGTCAGAATTCGCCCAAGGTACCAAGGCACGACTGGTGAGCTCAAGACTTGCGAGCTCTTTGACTTGGGCATTCGCGCTAGGAGGAGCTGGGCCACTCATCATGTGGTATCGCCAAGTTCAAGGTATTGATTGAGGTTTGTGTGCGGGATACTCAAACCGAAACTGATATTCATGATTGCGGTGGAAACAACGGTTTGCGTGATGGTAATCGCTTCTCAGAGTGGAAGTTAGCTGACCTTTCACTCTTGAACGCATCTCGCATCAGGTACTGACGACAGTCAAGTCTCCCAACCTTCGGGTCCATTCGACCCAGGCTTTTAAACATACGGTTGGTTTGGAAGATTCTCCTCCTTCCCGTCCACCTCCATATCACTACTACTACTAGTACTAAGTCTTATTTACTCCGTAGATGCGATTCTTTCTTTTATTCTTTTCCGTATCATTCTCTTATTGCTCTTCGTGAAAATGAGCCTACAAAATGGAAATGAAAAAGGGGGGAGGGAGGTGAAAAAAGATAGTAAGAGGGAAAAAAACATACAACACCAGGGATTCGCTGGTCGTCACCGACCCAACTACTAGTCTGGCCCTCACTGGCTTATCTATGGGAGAGCGGACGGGATCCCGAGTTTTCCAGTGGGTATGGTCGTATGTGTCTTTTTTGCGTTATCTGAGTGTCTATAAAGTACAAAGCAAGTGGTCCTCCTTTGGCCTCTTCGAGGGTGTGAGGAACTGATCGAACATATAAGGTACCCTAGAAAAGCGAACAGGACCCCCTTTTTATATACCATCTTCATGGCCATTATCTAGCCGTCCGTTTCGTTTGCATATCAGGCGCCGTCGAATTATCGCCTATGTTATGAGCTGCGCGAGAGCCGCACGAAAGCCGCGAGGGTATGGCAAACATGGGCGCTGGGGGTACAGGTCCCGAACCCGACAAAGGCCGACGTCACTCCACCCGTGGCACACACACACGGTGGGTGTGAGGTCACGCAGCACACAAGACAACACAAAGCGGTTATGGAACCAACAGACCAACGAAGACGTCCCAAAACACACTGGAAATTCCGGCATAGGAGCGGATCACCTAGAATAAAAAAGAACGGATCGAGTTGGCCCCTTCTCTCTTCTCTTCAGCACCATGACCACCTTCTCCTCTTCCTATCTACTGTATTTTGAGTACATTCTTGGATTCCCCACTTTGCTCCCCTCATCAGGCTTCCTCTTCCTTCGACCATTCCCCCTGCCTTTTATCACCCTGAATCGGGTTCTCCCCTGATCCGTCAGACAACAACATACTCACCCTCATCTTCCGTCTTCGCCTTTCCATCTCCCCCAAACACAGACTCCACCAGTAACACCGACGCTACATAGTTCCTCAAAAATAGAACCACAGGCTTAGCCGCTTGTCTCGTCGGGTTCTCTTGCAGCCGAAGAACTTCCGCCGCCCCCAAGAACAGCATGAGACTAGTCACCAACCAGTCCTCAAGCGATTCACACTCTTCTATATCCTCCCCCAAAGCTTTCATCAGGATCTTCAGACCTTGGCGTTGTTGCTTACTCCCCACCTTGTCTCTCCGCAGATAACTCACAAACCCTTCCGCCATTCCAGCGAGAGCACAAGGCTCCTGGAAATCAGACCCTGTAAAAGTCCGCTCCTCCGCGCCGAGACCCAGGTACTTGATCCACGAACGGGACCGCTTGGGTTCTTTCATCAGGCGGTCGCTTAGTTCGTGCGCATCTTGTAGCGCATCCATTTCCCATTGTTTATCTGCCTCGTCCTCGTTCTCGGCATCATCTGTAGAGGTACCTAGCGCGGCGCTGTTGTCGTCGCTATCACTGGAGTCCGAGTCTTGTAGGGAGGTCCAGTGGGAGATCATTATCATGGTAACCGCATTGGCGAGGTGCCCTAGCCATTGCTTGTGGCGGTAGTCCCATTCTGATTCTTCTTCCGAGGTGAGATCTTCTTGCTGGGGATCCCAATCGTGTCTGGTGATGTCTAATAGACGGATGCGGCTGGAAATATCGAGTGATGGGGGGATTGCGGCCTCTTCTGGGTTGGCTTTGGTGTTTTCACCTTCCTGTTTCTCGAAAAGTTTGCGGAACAATGGAAGAAGTGGTTCTGCGCCGTCTTCAAGGAGGTAGTTGCGGTCTTCCTCGCTGATTTTTAGGCTCAGCGAGATAGAGATGGGCTTTTTGAGTTGATTGGGGATTGTGGAATTAGACATGTCGACGGTGTTGCGCTCGATAATCGATGCTCGGTGCTCGAGAACTAGTCTCCAATTGGGAAGGGCGAGCCTGTTTCTTATGTAAAGTTGCTACTTTCGAGTCATCGTAGACGCCGTGGCTCATGCTGCGGGAGCAGGGTGTTCATTGATCAGATCATCACAAGTTGAAGCCTTCAAGTTAACCAGCCCCGGCCCAGACGGCAGTCATTCGGAGAAACACAGCATCGAGTTAGTAATCGCAAGCGGCTGTACTAATTTGGAGTGCATTCTGCAAGATAATACAACAGATCAGCTCGACGAAGTGACTTGACTAACAAGCCTGTGATGCACTCGAATCATCCGTCCTGGATTCAAGATTGCAGAAACTCCCAAACTGGTCATGTTCGGCTTTCAAAGGTTTGTTCTGACCCTTGATACACTGTTAGCCTTGAAAAATCGTTGAAATGAGAAATGATTGCCGGTAATGCGGTGCACAGCCATGGTTAAGCCTTTCGTAGGATGGGGAGGATATCTAACCGCACTACCAGCTTCTTCCCGAAGACATCCAGAGAGCGTGGTCTTGACTGTTAATATCAGAATCTGTACTGAAAGAGAAGGCAGGAAGCTGTTCGATTTGGAACGCAACCGGCTACGCAAATTAAGTGCCAAAAAGCAACTAACTCTATCACGAAAGCCACTCGTTTTACATGTCATGACGTGGCTTTTCCAGATGAATGAAAAACTGGCCCAATCTGCCTGTGGTCAACTCGATATGTTAGCCGGAGGGGACTCATACCTCGAAAAACGCTGACAGCAATCATCTATGATACACTGGATATCACTAATCACCCGTGTTGACGTTGACATTGACGGCCGTCCTCGTGCCGTACCAACATCAAGTAACTCATGTCCCCGTTTGTTTCTTTGAGCTCCGTCCCAGCGTTTTGCATCAGAGATGGATGGCTTCAACCAAGGTCAGGAGAAGGCAGCAACAACTGAAACTCAAATTAATCAGAGTTTGTGTGTCACTCCGTCTTATGCCCCATGAGCCTGGAACATCACCCCAACTCCGTGATGAGGCATATCCTATAAAGATACCTCTCCAGCCCTCGTCACCTACCATATTCTTCAGAGCATTTGTATCTTCACAATTCACTAACCGATTCCGAGTCCAAGAAGTCCCTTCTTTACCTAATTATTTAAGCGTCGAACCCCTCATTCCCAGCAAGTAAATCTCCCACACAAACCAGCAGCCCCCCAATATCGGCGACAAAATGGAGCACTTCCCAGAAACTGCACTAGCCAAGTTTACAGACCTCCAGTCAACGATGGAGTTGCGTGGATGGAATGAACGGGACGAGGAAGTGGCTCTTTTAAGGGAGCTCAAAGAGCAAGATAAGCAGATCCAAGCCATGTTTTTGAAGCTTGATGACACTCGCTTCTATTTCGACGGTGTAATCGATGCGAAGCTGAAAGACATGATTAGATATATCTACCGAGGTATACATACCTACCCATTCTCTTCTCTTCCCCCTCCTCATCAATTCTTTCTTTTCCCTTCCTTTTTTTTTTTTTTTTTTTTTTTTTTTTTTTTTTTTTTTTTTTTGGGAATAACCACTGTTAACTCCCCACTAGCAACTAAGCCAGCCAACATGCCAACCGACGACAGGAAAACGTTTGTCCAAAATGTCAAGGTCCTCAACGATAACGTCACAACCAAGAGGAAAGCTGTCGAGAACGCCATGGCGGACACTCTGACAAGATTCTCATGCAACCGCGGCGGCCGCCGCAGCCTGGATTGAAGGGATACACACACGCAACACAAGATTCGGGTTCAGTTGTTGCGCGTAGAAGAACCAGACCACACAAATTGACAGAGAGCTAAGGTAGCTGGACTAGGTATCTAGGAATTTTAGGAAGGGATACTCTTGGTTTGGCTGAGTTTCAGGACTTGTCGTCGACAGTTTGGTGAATATAAGGTTTCTTTTACCCGTCGTTATGCTGTTTCGAACTATAACCCCCTGGAGAATGATTACTACCTACCCACCTGGTGTGCCTAACACTAAGCTCGAGAGAACAATGAACAGTCTTGGAACACCTTGAAAGTTCGCAAACTCCGTAGCAAGACGAGGCACACTTTCCTCTGTTCGTCAATACTATCCCATGTTAAGCAGTAATGATCTCACAACATCTAAAAAAAGAAGGAAGCCAGTAGGACAGGATCAGTTTTTGTGTTCATAAAAAAATCATTGCTCTCATATGGGATATCATAGATGTCAAGTAGTACAACCCTAGGCCCAAGGTTTTGTCCCCCTTTCCGTAGACACCAGGAAAAAATAACACCTGACCCGGCTTCTGTCGCTGACCATCCTTCCTGTAATTATGGTATTTTTGTTGTTTTACTTTATTTGTGTGATCGTCAAGTCGGCTACACTTGGATTGCCTAGTTGAGCTTGATAGCAACAGACTTGCACTGGGTGTAGTTGGCCAAAGCAGCCTCGCCGAGTTCGCGACCGATACCGGACTCCTTGTAACCGCCAAAGGGAAGCTGGTGGTGAAGAGCGTTGTCTGTTGGGACACATTTTGGTTAGCACGATGAAACGCTACTCCTTCCGGTACAAAGCAGGTATACTCACAGGTGTTGACCCAGACAGTACCAGCCCTGAGGTGGTTGCTGACGCGGATGGCAGTGTTGAGGTCCTTGGTGTGGACGGCAGCAGCAAGGCCGTAGTTGGAGTCGTTGCCGAGCTTGATAACCTCCTCCTCGGTGGAGAACTTGGCGACGGCGCAGACGGGCCCGAAGATCTCCTCCTTCATGATCTTCATGTCGTGACGGACGTTGGTGAAGATGGTGGGCTGGATGAAGTAGCCCTTGTCACCGTGGCGCTCACCACCAGTCTCGACAGTAGCACCCTCCTCCTTACCGGCCTTGATGTAACCCATGATGCGGTCGTACTGGAGCTGGCTGACCTGGGGCCCCTGGAAGGTCTCGTCGTGGAAGGGGTCGCCGACCTTGTTCTGCTGGGCGCGCTGCTTGAAGGCCGCCACAAACTTGTCATAGATACCCTCCTGGACGTATACACGAGAACCAGCGCAGCAGGTCTGGCCGTGGTTAAAGTAGATACCGAAGTTGACCCAATCAATGGCCTGGTCGATATCGGCGTCGTTGAAGATAATGTTGGGGGACTTGCCACCAAGCTCGAGGGTAACCTTCTTCAGGTTGGACTCGGCGGCAGCCTTCATGATTTGGCGGCCGACCATGGTAGAGCCGGTGAAGGCAACCTTGTCAATGTCCATGTGGGAGGCGATGGCGGCACCAGCAATCTTGCCGAAACCGGAGATGATGTTGAGAACGCCAGGGGGGAAACCGGCCTCCTTGACGAACTGGGCAAAGACGAGAGCAGAGAGAGGAGTCTGTTCAGCGGTCTTCATGATGATAGTGTTACCGGTGGCCAGGGCGGGGCCAACCTTCCAGGCAAGCATGAGGAGAGGGAAGTTCCAGGGGATGATCTGACCGCAAACACCGAGAGGCTCTTGCCTGGTGTAGTGGAAGGAGTCCGGGGAGATATCAATGGTCTTGCCCTCGATCTTGTCGGCCCAACCGCCGTAGTAGCGGATAGTGCCGACGACGGCGCCAACATCGCCACGGGCCATGGTGATGGACTTGCCATTGTCGAGAGACTCAACAGCGGCAAGGAGGTCGAGGTTCTTCTCGAGCAGGTCGGCGAGCTTGAGGAGGTAGATGCCACGCTGCTGGGGAGTGACGTCGCGCCAGACACCCTCGAAAGCCTTGCGGGCAGCGGCGACAGCGATATCGACATCCTTCTCGGTGGCCTCGTGGATGGAGCAGATGACCTCCTCGGTAGCGGGGTTGATGACCTCAAAGGTCTTCTTGTCGACACCCTCGACGAACTCGTTGTTGATGAACCTGGTAGCATAGGTATTGTGGTTAGCTCTCGTGCTTGGGGAGCAACTTGGGGGAGGAGAGAGCTGTGGATGGGAACTTACAAGCCGGTGGGCTGCTTGTAGGTGCCGGTAATCGGCGTCTTGAGCTCAACAAAGACGTTGGAAGACATTGTGACAGAAGCTAATGGAGAAGTGGGGTACGGTGGTGGGGGGTATATAAGAAGAGACAAGAACTGAAGAGAGAAGAGAGCAAGGCTGGAATAGAACACAAACTCGAAACTCTGGGAGAGTGTTCCGGTTAAATACTGTACTTGGTTGAAGGAGAAGAAATAGTTGGCGACTTGGAGAGAGGAGAAAGAAAACAGCACGACGAGGTGGTGGGAGGGGGAGGTAGAAGTAGTCGGCGCATGTGCAGTTAGGCTTGGAGACTAGTAGAGTCTGGGCACTCGGATACAGCCCCAGTACCTGCTTACCGTCTTTGTCCTTCTTTGCGCCCGAGGTGGATCGTGAGAATGCGGGCGGCGGGTAGAGGTAGGTCCCCCTGGAGGATGACCGCAACACGGAGCGGGGTCAATGATGCCGGGCGACGTTAGCGTGGGCGGCTGACGGTTGAAACCAGTCTGAAAAGGTCTTGCCGGGTGTGGGTGTGGCCAAGTGCCACGGCACCCACCTCCCGTCTCGTCCTTGGCACCCGGGCAAGACTACGAAATGAACACTGCGGATCTCGAGTCGTTCATCAAGCTCGATCAGATCCTGATCTTGATGTTCAGTTGAACCTAGGTACCTACCTACATAGTACACAAGACAACAGAACACACCACATATGGCAACCTACGTACCGTAACGAGGTACGTCTTATTTTCTGGAAACGGATAACCTACACGGAAAGAGAGAGATGCCATATCCATTGACGAGGTGCCCTATTGTGATGGGATTACCAAGCAGCAAGGGTAGTCGGATCGGCATTCAATCATGGCCACGTCGGGGCTGTCATTGTTGCCGTCGTCGCTATGGGGTCCCCACAGTCTCCATACTCTTTCCCCGCGTGCCTCCCCCGCATTCCCCTTGTCAGTGCGGAAAAGGGGGCCCGCCAGTAAGCGTACAGTCCGCTTTCAGGATCTCCCTGCGCGTGGCCAATCATGGTTTGAGAGTGAAGCCGGGCTGGAGCACAGCCAATCACACGTGACGTCTCAACCCTTTCCTTGGCTGACGATCAATAGGGCCGACAGCCTCTTCTCGACCCGTCCCTCCAGGTGTAGAGTATCAATCGGATGAAGGGGCTCATGCACATTGGACAGTTTCCCCAAGCTTCTCCAAAAGAAAGAAAACAAAAGAAACGAAAAATGAGGCGCAAGTGACCAGCAGTTGGCGACTACAACAACAGCGAGCGCCATTTGCATGTCATAGGTGATGCAGTGCTTACCCCGCAGATTTCTCCAGACAGCATCTCGCTGCCCCAAAGTCCACCCCCCTGTTCCACCCGTTCGCCCATCCATCCTCGTGTTCCAGCCACCATCATCTCCAAAGGCCTTTTTTTTTTTTTTTCTCGTTCCTTGAACCAGTCTGACAATGCGCCTCGGAGGAATATGAAGAATATCCGGGATTTAAGCGTGTCGACCTCAAATGCTATTTTTTTTTTTTTTTTGGCTTTCGCCGAGAACGAACCAGGAGCCTACACAGTATGTAGGTAGTTGGAGTTCCTGAAACGGAAACACAAATTTCGGGGTAATGTTCTGCGAAGCGCCTGGGGTGGAGTGTTGACCATGTGCGATGCCGCTGTGGACTCTTTTTGGTTCTGAACCCCAACCCCGGACTTTTGACAGGACAACACCAACCTCACCCAGCGACAACCAAGTCCATGCCAGCTGATGTTCGTTCAAATGCTACCTTGGCGGCCATATGTAGTGTACATACATCGGATTCAGCGCCCTTCCCCCACGGACGGACACATATGCAGCCACGAGGCATCAATCACTTCCGGCTCTCCGAGATTCTTCCCTCTCTCCGGAGCATGGGGGGTCTTGTGCGGAATGGTAGGTTTGCTTTGTCCAACCTATCACGATCGTATTTGTGCATCTGGACGTTCCCATGACACGAGGCCATCTCCACACCAACGAGCCTCCGGGTTCCAGTGTATAATATGGACCAAGCAGATGGTAAGCAAGCTTATGAGGCGACTTGCTATCGAATCAGATGGATTGGATGTCGTTCCAGTACATGTTTGATGAACTCTCCAAACAATGTAGGAGGACGTCAACGCACAAGTCACCCATCATCACGAATGCTCAGAGACGTCCACATTTCCTTTACAACGTGGCTTAGGTCAGAGCAAGCAGACTTCAAGTTCGTGCGCCGCATACTTTTCAAGCACAGAGATCACCAATGAGGATCCGAGTACATGCACATTGAACTGGGTTCTTCTGGGCGTAGGTAGATATAAGTGAGGGATGTCTGCTTACCATTGATGACCGGTCTTACCCGTCTGCAGGGTGCATTGTTGTTCGACATCGGTTCCTACTAAACCAACCCATTGGGTGTGTGGGTGTTTTTGAATCAAACATAAACAATCTGCTTTGTCATCAGCCGTGAATGAGGTACAAGTAGGTAGGTAGGCACTCAAAATCAAGTGGAACTTCCGCTCACTTTGCTGTTGTTGAACCTTTTTTGACAAAGTGCAGCCAAAAGGGCAATGAAGTGAAGCGTGAACCTCAACGGCCACCGGCAGGGGCAGCCGAGCACCATGCACGATTACGAAAGGGGGCCAGCGTCTTGTTAGAGGGAATGGGGCGGGAGCGTTGACTAACACAACGCTAACAGTATACCAGCTTCTCCGCACGTATAACTGCTAACAGGTGTTCAGTTACCGCTACAACACCCAGGGTAGCACCTAATGTCGGCGGTACTTGGTTAGGAAGGAGCGACTCCTCGCTCGTCTGCTTCACGACCAGCGAACGAGGCAGCTCCTGTAAGAAAAGAATTGATGGTGGAATTGGGCAATACATACGGTACTTTACTTACTCTGTCTGTCGGATGAGGCCAACGAAACCCTGAATTGCCACAGTTTTTGGCATCATTCCGTTTGTTGCGGCCAAATGCCATTTCCAGCAGCCTTCTCCGACCGCCACTCGTCGGTTGGTCTGCAATTTTTGACGCGCCTCCCAAAATTTGCTAGCATTGCCTGGACGTTGTGTATCAACCCGTTGGGGCTAGAAATAAGGGCAAAATTTTTCTCCTACCAGCTCCTCCAATCCATGTCCGAACACCTCAACGGCCAGCAACCAACGCCGATCCACGACCGACCGACCGTCCGTCTGTCCAATTGATATCCATCCTATACCGTAGCATCTTCACGTGTACCATTTCTCTTGACTGACTCGATCCCTTCGCGCGGCCGCTGATTGCTCCGGTCGCCGGCTCAGGAGGCCGCTGCTCCCTTGCGACAAGGGCCCGAGTCTCCTCCAACCAACCCCGTTCCGTTGTCGCGTTCAATGGGTCGTGGTCCTTCCTCTGCTTCACTATGGCCGACCTCAACTTCACAGCGGCCTTCGAGGCCAACCTCCTCGCTGCCCTGAGCAAGCATACCGAAGAGGCCAAGAGCCCGGCTTCAACTCCGACTCCCGCTCCCGCTCCGGGTCCAGCTCCCGTTCCCACGCCGACACCACCGTCGATACCGACCCAAGATGCTTCTGCTCCTCCTCCCCAGCCAGTGCAGCAACAACCACAACAAGCACAGCAGCCACCGCTGAACCACTCCCTGCAGTCGTCTCAAGGACCCCCGAGCCAGACAGCCCAGCCTCCCCAGCAGCAATTGTCACAAGCTTCCTCTCTCAGCCATGCTCTTCAGCAGGCCCTACAAAGCTCGAATCCCCCGTCTTATCAGACGCCCTCGATTCACCAGCCTCAACCCTCCTCGACGACCGCTGCACCCATCTCCCAACCACTCGTACAAGTCCCGCCGCCCCAGCCGAGCCCTCATGCGGTTTCCAACGTGCCTCCCCAGGCGTCTGCCGCTTTGACAGAGCCTCCAAAACGGTCCCATAGCCCCGATCCCCAAGACTCGAATGGCAAGCGCCCCAAGCTTGAACACATTGATGAGATGGATCAGGACATACCGTTTGATATCAAGGCAGCCCTCGCAACTGCGCTTGGCGATTTTGAGAAACAGCACAGCCAAATCGGCAATGACAGCTCGCTCGAAAACCCATCCGGGCCCAGCTCGGCTCCTCCTCCGGCGCTCGCTGTCTCTCTGTCTGCTACAGCTACACCGATGCCCGAGAAATGCGGGGATAAACTTATGAAGGCCTCATCTAACTCGACTTATATGATCCGTTCAATGAGTCTTCCGGTGCTCGGAAATTTGGCTGTTCAGATTCTGCTCCGACTATCCCAACAACCCCGAAACGAAACATTGTCACTTCTTTCTGAAACCGATGCCGAGTTTCGAAAACACTATGACTTGTTGACAGAGTCGTTCAAGTTAGCCAGAAATGGTTTCTCCGACAGTCCTGTGCTTCTTCCAGACGAACTAGAGATCAATGATTCAGAGGACCGCGAGACGGTTCGGGTTGCAAACCTAGCTACGACGGCTATTAGTGTCTTTGGTGCAAACGATGTTGCCTGCAAGGATTTGGACGACTCTTTCTTCTCTATCTTTGTACCAGAAGATGGCGAGTTTAAAGATACCTTGGCCGACTTGCTCCTCAGCCTCAAAACTCAGGCCTTTCTGGATTCCTTGGATGAGCAAGCGACTCCTCAGCAGGTTACAGAACAACTCGACAAGTTCTTCCCAGATAACTTCGAAGACTGGCTCAAGCAACGTAACCTTGATGTCGTCACAGACACTGATGCGGACCAACTCGCCGTGAAGATCAAGGACCGCAGGGAGCTGTTGTCCACACTCGCCAACAGTGAACAGCCCAAAAGTATGTCTGGCCCCATGCCTTTTCAATGAAAGTCATGCTGACGTATAAAAGAATCTCTAGAGAGCAAGTACCCACCTGATACTTTTCCCGAGACCCTCTGTGTCTTTTTGCAAAGCCACATTGGGGTAGTCGTTGAATATGCCGAAGAATATGGGGTCAAGATCCCAATCAGTGAGGAGCCGATTGTATCGGAGTCGATCGTATCGGGCCCAATTCAAAACGGCAACAACGTCCAGGATGAGCATGCCGACTTGGCCGCCCTCTTGCAGTCCAAGATTGTCGAGAACGGCGAGCTTAAAGACTTCCATGCGGGAAACCTCCACAATGAGGCGTCCGTATCTGCTGATGACAATTTCGATCTAAGTAAACTTATCGAGCAATCTCTCCCCGACCATATCAATGGATTGAAAGACGGGCTTCTAGAACAAAATGGGCAGGGTGAATCAAGCGGGCTTTTTGACACAAAGGATCTGGCATCCCTCATTGCTGAAAAGCTGAACGATAATCTTGAGACACCAGTTCACGGACTCTCAAATGTTCCACAGAACTATGAAGATACCATGCGGGAGAACCACGGCCAAGGTAAGGCTGAACACATCATGCTGACGGGACCACAAGACTGATTTTTTGATATGACAGTACATCCTCAGTACCATAACATCAACCAGTTACAAACACCGACATACCATCAATACCCCCCAGCATCATCTTCTAATATTGGAATGGGGACAACGGGGGAGACGCTACCTCCTAACCAATCCTGTCCCACCTCAGTTCTATACGAGAAGGCAAGACAGGCCGCTGTCGCAAAGTCATCCAGTACGACTCGCAGGGAGGGACTGCATTCGACTCGCAGACCATGGACCCCCGACGAGGAAAAGGCTCTCATGATGGGTCTGGACATGGTGAAGGGACCTCATTGGAGTCAGATTCTGTCACTCTTTGGGGCTCATGGGTCTGTTTCGGACATTCTGAAGGATCGCACGCAGGTCCAGCTCAAGGATAAAGCAAGGAACCTCAAGTTGTTCTTTCTCAAGACAAACTCAGAGATGCCCTACTATCTACAGAGTGTTACGGGTGAACTCAAGACCAGGGCGCCCGGACAGGCTGCTCGCAAGGAGGCGGAGGAAAAGGCACGCCTGAATGCGGAGGATGAACAAGCACGGTTAGCAGGCATCATGACATTGGGTGGGCTACATAACAACCACCACCCAGTTGCCGGCAGTCCGATTGCGCCCTCTCCCGCTCGTGCTCACACCGCAACTCCTGGACCAGGGACTGGTCACTTGAATGGGACGCCTACGCCCACGCCCACGCAAGGACCGACAAACCAGCCTGCGGCTCTTGCTCCAGTCCCGATCTCACCAATGGTCAAGACTGAGCCCGTGGACCACTCAGCGCACCAGGTCGGCAATCTGCCACAAATTCAGCCGGCCCCAGCTCCTCAGTCTTTGCAACCGGCGTTGAAGCCTCAATCACAACCCCAGCCTCTACACCAGCAACAATCGCAGCCACATCTACAACAACACCCTCAAGCAAATGCTCAACAACACTCACAACAGCACTCGCAGCAACACTCGCAACCATTACAGCCACTTCGACCCCAACAGCAACCTCAACAGCTACCCCAATCCCAAATGCGCCCTCAAACTCCCCAAGCGCTGGCGCCAGCTCCACCGCAACAATACCACCAGCAACAACATCATCAGCCGCAAGGGCAACAGCAGCACCAACAGTTGCACCAGCAGCAGCAATTACACCCAGGTTCACAGCAACACGAGCAGACGCAACCGCAACCGCAGCCTCAGGTACAGGCACAGCCGCCGCCGCAGCAGCAACAGCAGCAACAGCAGCACCATGTGGCCCCGGCTCCAGCATCAACATCAACTACGACAACGGCAACACCAGCAATAGCAGCTGCTCAACCCCATGTCAATGTAGCCGCTGCGGAGCCAGCAGCGGCAAGTTCAACATTGAGCAATCAAGCTACACCGAGCTTTGGGCTCCCACCCATACCTCCGAACCACCACTCAACACCAGATCAAGCTCAAGACGTAAAGCTCTTTGAGACGCTCCAGGCTGCAATTGGAGCGACTTCGCCTGCTCACGAGAGTCATCAAGCGGCAACTGTGCCGGAAACGTCTGCTGGATAGAATCCAAGCCCTGAGAGTGATGAGGACGTGGAGAAGAGTATTATACAGTTGGGGAAGCGTTTGATGTCACTACAGATGCTCGATGGATGTGAGTACGTGTGGGATTGAGGAGGTTCTTTTCTTCCTTGACATGCAATTTGAGATGATTCAGGGATTGTCATGATTATTATGTTTAGGCGTATAGGGTTACAGTATGGGTGGCAGGACAGAAGTGTCGGGCGCTTTTTAGACATGGTTTGAATTCTCAGGGGGGCGTTAGGCCACCAGTGGGAATGCAAAAGAGATGGTGATACCACGGGGAATATATGTATGGATTAGACAGTGTTGTCTTGTACCTTTTATAGCGGAAGGTTTTATTGTGATAGAGAAGGATCAAGATGAACTTTTAATTACCTGCTCTTTCTTGTTGTCTAGTCTAAACGGTCGAGTTATGCAGGTTGAGTTCAAGTTTTATGCATGACCCCCTCTTTATGCACCACTGTCTTGGTAAACTTGGTTAACGCCGAGGTTGATGCCGAGTTGGCCAAGATTACCTAGGCAGCGAATTGACTCGTGACTGGTTAATTAGTCTATAAAGCAGGGAATGTGCGGGGTTAAGCTCGGACTTCCGACTTAAATGGCTGAACGGACATGCCCAGCACAATTCCCCCATGTCCGTCAGCGCTGGGAAGGAAACATCGAAGCCAGAAAAGTGCCTGTAAGAAATTTTACGACGGGGGACACTACACTACCAAAATTCCAGGCAACGATGGGCCTTGTTGAAAATATTCCATCCTTCCACGCTCCTCATTCTTCAACTCCACCTTTTTTTTTCCTCTGGGACTTGCTCTGTTGCTGTTTTTTCCCTCGGAACGCCACGTTTCACATCGTTTGCTCCATCGAGGGCCTACCCCGGATCTTTTGGAAGATCTACTATCAGATCCATCTGGGACCACCGGCCAGCCTGGGTACCCGTTCCTTGGACCCGACGGAAGTAGGCGAACTGAAGCGAGACAGTGCAGCTCCAAAAACACTTTAGCACAGCAGAACCCCAACGCACGCAACGTCATTCTCCGATCTTCCGGTACCAATCCGACGACTCTTTTCCTCTTTGTTCCACTCGCCGGCAAAACACGGTCAAGCTTTGATCTTGCACTGACCCTGCTACCATCCACCACAACACCCACTCAAAAAGGGCTGAAGGGCTAAAGGGGCCAAGACCCACCAGAATCTCGGCCGTCTCTGGGTCCAAGTCCGAGCCGCCCCTCGTTTTTACTCTCGGACCTCCGCTGCCCTTCATCATGTCGGAGCCTAGCCGGGGCAGCGTCGAACCTAGCAGTGTTGAGCGCAGTGTCGAGCGGAGTCAGTCTCCTGCCGCCGGCAACAGGCGCGACCGGATCAGCAGCCGGGACCGAGACGAATCTCATGACCAGGACGACGACCATCATGACGGCAATGGCTCCCGCCCGCCCCCGAGAAAGAGGCAGCGTGTCCGTCTCTCGTGTCTAGAGTGCCGCAGGAGGAAACTCTCGTGTGACCGGGAGTTCCCTTGCTCTCGTTGTATGCAGTCCGGCACTCCGGAGCGTTGCGAGTACGAGACCCGGCCCGGTCTGGCGCCGCCAAACAAGCTCGGCCTGTCTCATTCGGCCCTGGCCGGCTTCGACTCCAGGCTGTCGCTGCCCAATGGCGGCAGCGGCGACTCGTCTTACTACCGCAAGGATGCCCGCGAGTCGGAGAGGATCCGTCGTCTCGAGTTGGAAATTGCCCAGCTAAAGAACATCGTACTCAAGCAGCACGCCTCGCTTGATGGTAGCACTGTTACAGACAACTCACCTCCTATGCAGAAGCTTCACACCGCCTCTGGAGAGGACCAAGAAATCGGGGCGCAGTATGGGTATAACCAGTTTTCCGATGCTGTGAACGATGAGTCCAAGGAGGAGCTGCGATTTCTCCGTGGCAAGGAGTTCAAGACGCGGTATTTTGGCCCACACAGCGCATCCCGTGCTTTCTCAGAGGTATGTATTGGAGTCGTCACCGTGAGGAAGTAAGGTTTCCTTTTTGCTAATCTCCGTTCGTAGCTTGCCGGCCTTTGTCACTTTATGAAGGAAACATCTGAAGAGTTCTTCCGTCCGTTTACCATTCCTAATACGAAGGACCGACAACAGCGTACAGAAGAGAGAGAGATCAGGTTCCATCAAGCGGATGAGTCGCTCGAGTCTTTGCTGCCGTCCAAGGAGAGGACGGATTCCCTTGTGACCATCTACCTTGATCAGTTCGAGCAGATTCATCGCATTGTTCATATCCCCACCTTCCGCAGGGACTATGATAAATTTTGGGACCCTGCTCAAACAAGATCAGCCGCCTTCACTGCTCTCATCCTGGCCATCTTGGGCGTTTCCAGCTGTCTCGGTTCACATTTTCCCCAAGAGTTTGACAAGATGATCAGCCGCTCACATGCTGATGCACTCAGATGGATTGATGCCGTCGATGAGTGGCAGCAAAAGCAAAGTCAAAAACATCGTCGTCTCATCCACTATCAGATCGCATGTTTGGTGTACCTTGCGAAACGCGTCAACACGGTGAAGAAAAAGCGATTCTGGAAAGGAGCTGGCGCCATGTCGATGGATGCCATCTCGGTTGGTTTGCATCTCGAGCCCAGCCATAATATTAGCCCCTTCAACCAGGAACTGAGACGCAGGATATGGGCAACCATCCAGAGCTTTGATCTGCAAGCATCCTTTGACATGGGCCTACCCAGCATTCTCGGCGCTTTACACTTCAACGTCGAACCTCCCCGTAACATTGACGATGACGAGTTCGACGAAAACAGTAAAGAACTTCCTCCTTCCAAGCCACCCACCGAGTATACTTTTTCCTCCTACCAACATCTCAGCCGGCAAAGCCTCGACCTTCGTCTTGACCTTATCCGCGTCCTCAATGGTCCATGCGAGAAACTCGATTATGACCAAATAATACGCTACACCAACGAAATCAATCAAGAGATCGACTCGTTACCCTCATGGGACGTCACCGACGCCGATGCTCCCACCGGCGTGTTAAAGAAACCTCTCCTCGCCTACACTCTTCTGCACATTCAACTTCGGCAGTTCATTATCAAGCTCCATCATCCCTATCTGAAGCTTCGCAAAGACAACTCGAAATATCAATACTCCGAGATAATTTACTACAACGCTGCGCGCGACATGGTCCTTCTCAACGACAAGCTCGCTCAGCAAGGCATCCGCACCCTCAACTACCTCCGCGAAGACTGTCTCACCCTCGCCATCAACCTCTGCAGCGTCACCATGCTGCAGCCCCGCGGCTCCACCAACATGATCATGATCAACTCACAGCACACGCTGCAGCTTCTGGAGAAGTGCCTGGCAATAAAGGAGGACCGTATACTCCGATGCGGAAACAACGAACCGTGGGGGTACTCGATTATGTGCGCAGCGGTTGGATTGCTGGAGGCACACCTGGGGGTCAAAACAACAGAGCAAGCAAAGGCGACGAGCGCTGAGAGGTTTATCAAACTGCACTGTAAACTCGTGCCGATGACCTCTGGAGGAGCGGGTGGGTCGAACGAGAGTCAGCCAAGCAGTAGTCAGGAACGTGGACATCAGTGTGGTGCTGAGAAGCAGGAAGACGCAGAGAGGCCACCACAGCAGACTGGACTGGCTGGGGATAGGGAGTCTGCGACGCCTGTTAATGGTCAGCCTGCTGATGTCTCTGGTGGTGTTGGGAATAACAAAGTAGCGCCAAATGGGCTAGCGACGCCTTCCAATTCGCAGTTTCTAAACGGGATAGCGGCGGATTATATGGCTCGATTAAGGGTATGTTCTTGTTTTCCTCCCTCGCACATACGAAGAGAAAAACTAATTGTCGAATGTTCTATTAGCCCCCAACGCCCTTCCTTCACCCCGGAAACACGCAACAACAGCCGCAACAAGCACCTCTGCCGCCAGTCACGCTCGGTCCGGCGGTAGACATCCCAGGCACAACGTGGAGTGTAGTTCCCGGTGTTGGTCTCACAGGTGCTGGTGGCGAATGGTCTAACGCTGGGGGTTTTCAGTTTGTGAGTATCCTTTTCCCTGCCTATCGTACATAATATGTTTTTTCTTGTTTCCCTCGTCTACGTCTTCCATGGTATGCGCGCGCAACATGCTAACCAGATATAACTCGAAACAGCCCAATACCATGAACTCCGAATTCGACATGACCCAGTTAGGTGCGAGCATGGGCGAACTTTGGCCGTCTGACTTGTGGGATTTGATTTAGTGCCCATGGGACCATTCTTCAGGGAACGACAAGATGCGGCAACAATCAAGAGAGAAGGGACCGAGCGATCGATTACGATTAACAAGCGAAGGAAACGAGCAACAACCAAACGATTACCATGGGGGGCTTGGGTGGACAAACCAGGATACACAGGCATATACACATAAACATATCTTGGGTCAAAGAGGAGGGAGCATCACTTGAAGAACAAGAATAAGCGCAATGACCCATGGAAAAAAAGAAACGCACGAAAGGAATGTGAAGACAAAATTGGGGTTGGACAGCGCAAAGACGAGCCAAGAGGAAAAAGACGGAGGGCGAAGAAAAGATATACTAGAAAGAATGGTTTCACACGAAAGGATCAAGGGAAGCAAACTTAGGATAATGTATACTTTGGAATAATCGTTGATGACAAGGATGCGTGGGGTGCGAGCGTTGAGGTGCTCGTCGTCTGGCTTGTGGTATATAGTAGAGGTAGATACCGATTGACGAGCACAGCGGTGGAAAGCAACATTACTTGATGGACGAGGAGAACAATGAAATAAATGGTGTCGTTCACATCATGATGACATTCTCATGATGGTTCCTATAGATGCGGTTCGTTGGGTTTATGATTTGGAAGAAGCAATAAAAGACCTTCCTGCAACTAACTCCTTGATAACCTATACAATATCTGAACACGGGCTCAACGAAACACGAAATCTCAAAAGGCGGCAACGGAACATGTAAAAGCAAAGAAAGAAAGAAAAGAGAGGAAAAAATACAATGGAAGGGTGAACGGAGAGATGATGAGATTTAGGTTGGGGAACAACAGAAGAAAAAAAAGTACTTGAAAGAAAAATATTGGCTGGTCTCTCCCGCCGGGAATTGAACCCGGGTCTCGAGCGAATCGAACTGATTTGATGTTCAAAGATTGACAAGCTCACATACTGACCACTATACTACGGAAGATTTGTTACAACTGTTAAAATCAGCTGTCGTAGTTTGGTTTGTTGGAAAGCGGGTTGAAACTATGTCCTTATATAAGTAGGTGGAACTAGGTGAGAGTGGGAATACAACCTACCTGCAGAATGGCATTCGCGAGAGACACTCGAGGAGGTTGCGCGCTTCGACTCGTTTTAAGGTTTTGTACCTTGGATGACTCTATTTAGCAAGAAATGGGATTTTGAAAGTGAGGAATTTTTGCAGGTTAGGGCTTTGTGGTGTACTTGTGACGGTGACGAAGTTTGAACTGCAGTAGTAGTAGTAGCAGCAGTTTGCGACGCACGATGCACGATGCGTGTTGCGTGATGCGTGGAAGTGCTTAAGTGCAGATGAATAACGCAATAACGTCACGGCACGTCACGTCTTGCACCTCTTGATTTTTCTTTCTAGCCTGGGGGTTAAATCGTCTTCTGCGCTCGTGTTCAGTCTAGCAGAGAGAACAAACGATCCATCTTTTAGCATGCATGCACTTGTGATGACAGCTCTAGTCTAGTCTAGTCTAGGAGCTCGTTACTCGCAGATAGCATGCGCCGTTTTCTTCTACGCCTGCTACCTGCGAGCTTCTTCCCTTCTCCGACGTTGTAAACGTTTGATTGTCGGATATCGACTATCGAGTGTGATTCATATGTTTTGGTATTGATGTCTTGTCTTGGGTGGCAAGTGCTCGTAGGGTCGCCGTCCGCGATACTGACTGTTTGAACATTTACTTCTACGTAGTCGAGACCAAGGTATAGATTGTTCGATATTTGGATACTGAAATATTATGTTAACGTGGTAGTTTGTCGTATTTCTTCCACACATGTATGGTTGAGCTTGGGATAAATCACATAAGATATGGGTCATGTCATGACAGTAAAGGTTGTTTGATGAACAAACTACCTTCAAGATACTTTGGAGCGAGCGAGATGGGCAATCTGCTAAAGT